TCGTATCAACAGGTCCCCATCTGCTTCATATCCCCATCTTGTACAAAAGGCTGGAAAAACTGATATGTAGATACAGATGGCAGCGACTACAGGGTGGTATTAAGCCCTTTTGAAGGCTTCTTCCAATAACGCTTAGGGCATAATATTTGGCATTTGACGCAGACTGCCACTTTGGGCTGCTTGACACACTTTAAATCCAAAAATATACCCACTGTGGTCGGAAATGTTTTGTCCTGCGCCCAAGATCTTCGCATCATGACGCCACGTATCTGTCAAATCAGCTTGTTTCGGTCTCTTCTCTTAGTGCGTGGAGGGGCGATGATCCAAAGATAATAATAAGATCTGACACCAGGGTGCTCTTCGAGGGCAGACCGGCAAACCCGTTGGGTGTGAGGATCTCCCGGAATTTCGACGGGTCCTTTCATGCCCCCGAGACGTGGAGAGCACTGCAGTGAGATGTGTTAAAGGCACAACAGGCCCCTCATCAAAGCCCTTGTTCCCTGTCTGGTGCATGCCCCATAGACCCCTGGCCTAGTCCATGTTCCACATCTCCTTCGTGGTACTACGAGATGTAGTATTACACCCAGCAGATTAATACCTTAAGGGTACTTTGCCGGTCGATCACAGACATCAATTCAAATGATCCCTCATCCTCGCTCATACGAAGTACAAAGTGATCAGTAACGTTGAAGAGGACCAAGTCGTGTGATGGTCTGAAGATGGCTTCGACGAATTACGAAGTAATCTTGAATCGAAGTATACGCGCGCGCCTGAACGAAGTAAGATTACAGAGCATATTCCCGTACGAAGTAATGCGGGATGAAATAAGAAAAACCATTATACTCGCCATAAATGTCGAAAAGAATCTGCAACTTAATTTTAAGCCGCTTGGAGAGAGCCCGGTTGCGTCGTGGCCACCGGAGTCTCATACTCGAATTAGCCGTTGTTTCCGAACTGTTTCTTGCGACTTACACGGCCCCTGTTCTGCATGCACTGTGTTTTGGCCCAAGCCCTAGGAACCCCCTTCCTGCCGTTTCTCACCATCGTGAAATTATCTGCTTTGTAATGCCAGATCTGTTGATTTCATTTTCTCTTTTTTCGGATGGCACCTGTCAGAGCTCGACACAGACCCTTGATGCTCTCTTCAACAACCAGTCGGCCTCTCCACCTCCATCTCCTCCATCTCCACTCAAAATCCGAACTATCAGTCCAATGTTGCAGCTAATATGGACCGAACTCCAGAGTTAGTAGTGCATAAACAAATCGTAACCTAGGTCCGTTCGCTATCTCGGGGAAATAGGTTCTATGATGCGTCGATGGACTGCACATCTTCTTAACGAGCGATCTGGATGAGCACGCCGAAGACAAGTAGGCGCTGAGATAAAAACGATCGATAATCGGAGTTGTGGGCAATGATTTCCGCCAAATACCCCGGCTTGCCACGGCTCGCTACATAACATTGCACCTTGTCTAGCTCGTCGTCACCCCAAACCCAGTAACACTTGCTGAAGGAGATTTTCCGATTATCGCATCAACTACAATCACGAGCCGTGTCATTGATGCCCCCTCTAAATTCCGTTGAGAGCCGGAGAAGATGAGCTCCGATCGCTGTTGCCTCGGGGCTGGTAGATCCCCCAAGAGTTGGGCAAAGTGAAAAACAATAACACACGCCCCTCTTGAGGCTTGAGACTTCTATATGGGAAAGCATTATAATATAAGTACTACATTGACGCCTTCAGAGGATGTGTAGAAACCGCATCTTCGCCCAGCCGTTGATTGAAAATCCCAAGCCGCACGGTTCCTGCATTGTGGCGAATTTTCTGTGGTGAAGCTCGGCTGAGCCTCTCGCTATGCTTCAGATCCTGCATCGAGCTTACTTTATTTTCCACTTACTCCTGTACCCTTGTACCTCCCCCATCTCGCCAGGCTTCTTTCCAGGAACTTGCCGAGGATTTGCAGCAAGTCAACTCTAATGTTGCGGTGGGAACAGCGCTTTGGTCAACGAAGGCGCAACTGCTACGTTTCTGACGTAGGACGTAGGTAGGATGAAGCGGCACGTGCGAGTCGAGGGAAGGCAGCGCTATCGTTCCTGCTCTCGTAGTCAACAGATTGAACAGTGAAACCTCTATTCGCTCGATAACATTGAAGCCTCAACTGGGGAAAGAGCTGCCGCAAGTGGGGCGGAAGGCATCACCGATATCCCTTCCCTGTCAAGTGCATTAATGATAAGGCGATGGGAAGTTGGGAAATGTTATTGACTCGTATGCAAATCACAAAACACGCCGGCAATTCAATCGTCAACTCACTCTGTCTTTCTCCGGGGAAATGCTCAATGATCAGCCTTCGTATCTTGTAGCTCATTTTTTGAAATTCCGAGACGAATATGCCGGATGCGCTCCAGGCTGGGACGATCGGCTCACCAAGAGCCAAATCTAGTCTGTTCCTGAAAATCAAAAAGCATGATCATGCCCGAGCGCCGACTCACGCATCCTCAGTCAGAGCGAGAGAGCCGCAGGAAGACTCGGCCATCTCCGTCGCTCTTTCCCACCATGCAAGCTTTAAACATTCCGAGATCTGGCGGCAAATCCGACAATCTGTGGCATCACTGAAATGTTCAGATCAAAAAGGGCTTCTGCTGTGGTTCCAGAAGGAATTCGCGAGGGTCAAAACACAAGATTCTGTCCGGGATCCTTGGGATGACAGAATGATTTGGCAGCAAAACTATGACACAAGGGCGTTGACCGGCATAAGATCAGCTAGAAAATCCGGTCACAGCACTACGATCATGAAGCCTCTTGTGGCCTCACAAGACATGAGGCACGCATCTCTGACGTGAGTCGTTGCTCGTCTCAAGTGTTGGGTCCCCCCCCAGATACTCTTGGGGACCACCCCTCCTCCCACATCCACCTCTCTCCCCCATGCTCAAACATCAGCCAATGGAGGAAACCTACAAACTCACGGACCAATGCTTTGGAACACCCACCACACGGTGGTCCTTACTTTCCAGGCCTTAACATTTCTCGCACTGAAATCGCCTGCGCAGCTGTTAGAGTACCAAACAGGAAAACGGATGGCAGGCTGCAGGCGTGGATGCTACCACTGGTGAGAAGAGACCCCTCGGCTGAACCCCTTGTCCGGTCTTGTTGTTTTGTGTGACTCGGGTTGTCCACCTTCCGCGATGTTATGAGGGGGGACCCCTGAACTGCAGCAATAGAAACACAACCCTACGATGGCTTCCAGTTCTGCATAGGGCGTGAGAAACGACCGCAGCCAAATCAAGCAAAGCTCGAAAAAAAAGAAAGAAATGTTCAGATGCCATGCTCACGTACATACGTACACGATTGAGATGGAGGGTTGGTGCTGGCATCACTAGTCCCGTGATAACCGTATTCAATGCGCTTTGCGGTGGACCCCAGCCTACTCTGTACTGACTGTCTCCATAACCAAGACCGGCTTTTGGCAAACACGGCTCTTGAGCTGGCTCGAGAGAGCCCCGCCCAGGTACCTCGATCGCGGCCTCTATCCCCCGTCCCGGCCTGGCTCTAATGCAGCTCTGAAGGAGCTTATACATTATTGTGCTGCTCAAAGGATGAAGCCTGCGAGTAGCAGGGCCGCATTGCTGGCTCGTGTCTTGGTCCGGACGACGTGGGACTGAACACTCTGCATGCGAAGTGCACTAGCCTTTGTATCAGCACTGATGACACGCGCACGCCCTCGCCTCAGGCCCACCGACACTGCACTTGGGGTATGTGCACTCCCATTCACAGGACAGCGTCAATCAATTCTAGGTCCTAATCCTGCCTCGAACTTGGGGGAACGGGTATATGAGGGTACACTTCTGAAGCGGCTTCAAGTGCAGCACATGTGAACATAGTTTACTACTGCTCGTGGCTTCCTCCGACATCCTGCGTACAGTAGGCTACCGCAGGTGAAGAACGACGAGACGCGGGACGAGGTTGTGCACATTAACAGGAGGTGCTATTGGTACCGGAGTACGTCGTAGAATATGCGCGGGAAATCCCTCCAACTGACTTCGCTACAGCACTAAGCTACACTAGCACGATATCGCCTGCCCAGACAAATGTATGGGACCCTTGAAGCAGAGGCGAGTGATGTACACACCCCTTCTGTAACCGCACCCCCGGCCCGGATCTTAGGCACACACCTGGACCACCCCCACCCCTGCCTCCATGTCTGCTTCCTTCCCCCCTCCATGCTCCACTCCTTCCCAGAGTACCCACACGCTCCACCTCCAGCACAACGCTAAAGTAGCGCGGATGAGTACGTACTACACTGCGTTGACGAAGGAAGTATCGCACTTGGACGATTCGGGAGGGAGTCTGCGATTTGCGCTTGGAAACGGATTGTGGTGCGTTAATGACATCCGGTTGACTGGGTAGTGCACAGGTGGTCCTAACGTCTGGTACGGCCCACACATAATATGTGACAGGCAGGGATTCCGGGGGTAGGAACAAGGTACCTCGAGGGTCTCCATGGATCATCGGGTGGAGTGTGGATTGACCTCGATCTCTCTTTCTCACCACTCGGCAGATCAAGCATCCTTTGTGGGTTTTTTTTCCTGTTCTTCGGACGAGATACTTAAACTATCCCTCCTCCCCCCCAACCCAACCTCGATATTCCCTCTTCGAAGATTGAGATTATTTACAAAGCAAAGCAACATTAATAACATCCAGCTGGTTCTTGGGTTTATAATAATATTTAACTGGCATACTCAGACATACGCACTCTCTTTATTTATCTCACTCTTTCCTATTCCTGTCTTATACATCACGCCTAATACCCGTTCCACTCTCTTCACACTCAATACCCTCGCTCAAACACACACCGTCAAGACTACTCGGCGTCAACTGCTAATACCTGAACCAACATCCCCAAGACCGCGACTAGGCTGTACTGCAACAAATCGAGGACACCGCAGAAACCGGCCCCGACTCTCACAGTCTCTCTCCTTAATACTTCACCCTTCAACATCCGACACAATGGCGACCACCATGGTACCGAACCACTACGCCGCCCAGCAAGTGGCCTCGTACAGCTACGTCCAGCCTCCTCAGCCTCCGCCGTCGCCTCCGATGGACGACAACAAGTGCTCTCTACCTTCCATCTCCAACCTGCTCGGTCTGGCGGACGCTGGCTCGCCCACCAGTGAGACCTCTCCCCAGAACCAACAACAGCAGGCCTCTCAACAACAGAGCCCTCGGCAGACTCAGCAGCAAGTGGCACAGCAGCAAATGCAGCAGCAGGTCCAGCAACAGCAGGCGGTTCAACAACAGATGCAAATGCAGGCCCACCAGCAGATCCCTCAAGGTAAGGAGTTTACTCGGCGACGACTTACACGCCCGGATTGGAATAATCAACTAACAGATCTCCCACAGTCGCCTCTCCGGCTCCCTCGAGGCCTGACACTAGGCCCAACTCTGCCCATTATTCCCACCCCGCTATGATGCGCGGAGGTATGCCTCCCACTCCTCCGATGACCTCGGATGCCTCCTTCGATAGCTACCCTTCCCCGGCTACCAAGTCGATCGCCGGCATTCCCGTCGTCTCCGGCCACAACTACTACTACGAGACCACTCCTCCTCTCGAGGAGCCTCGGCACATGACTCCCGTAGTCTCTCGCGTTCCGCTTCAGACCTCGTATCCTCAGCAGTCATTCGCTGCCTCGCCCTACATGACTCAACCTACTCTCGCGTCTTACTACCCGCCCATGCAGCCTACTCCTCCTCCCCAGCCTCAGATCTCCGGCCTCTACTATCAGCGCCCTCTTCCTCAGGTAAGAAGATTTCGAAGGATATCTGTCGAGGAGACATTTTGGGGGTAAATAATTCTAATAAATATTCTAGCAATTCCCTCCCATGCCCGTCTCCGTCGGCCTCGGCCCAACCTCCAGCACCAACCCTTGGCAGCACCACCACTACATCGCTCCTTCCTCCACGACATCTTTCCCTCAGAGCCAAGACCGATACATCTGCCAGACATGCAACAAGGCTTTCTCGAGGCCAAGCTCTCTCCGAATCCACAGCCACTCTCACACCGGTGAGAAACCCTTCAAGTGTCCCCACCCCGGATGCGGCAAGGCTTTCAGCGTCCGAAGCAACATGAAGCGTCACGAGCGAGGTTGCCACAACTACGACTCTAGCAACTCGTCCTCCCTCACTTCCTAAGACAAAATCGAAACCCAATCAGGGAAAATCGTCTCTATCTTTTCTGTTTATCCCTTTTTTTTCCCCGACAATATTAGATATTATAGATGTGGCCGGTCAAAGACACTTTTCTCGGAACGATGCCGGCGGGGTTTGACGATCTTTTTACTTTTGCTTCAAAGTTATGTGTTACTGGACCAAGACCATTCTTCATGGACTTTATTTTTCCCCTTCTTTTCCTCTTCAGTGCCTTTGCCTCGTTTTATTGTTCTTGGGGGCAAGAGCTTTTATTATTTCTTGGGGTCAAACGGGAAAGAAAAATAGGGCATTTCCGGGCTGCTTTGGAACGGGTAACGGGCGCGATACTTGGCGGGAAAGGGAAACTTGATTTAGGTTTATGGGTTGATTTCTGGGAATCGAGCGAGGCGCGAAGAGTTCTACCTAAATTTTTTTTTTTCTTTCACTATACGCTTTTTGTCAAGTGGGATGGGGGAGCAACATCACTCATGTTTTGGAAAGCATTTACACGGGCGTTTATGAATTGTACGAGCTAGCTGGAGAGGAGAGGAGTACCATGACAATGGTGAATTGAGAGAGACGGAGATCTTCGGAGTCGAAACATGAGATTTCTTGCCTCGCGTGTTGTTGTGAACTGTGTATTGTAATGCTTTTGGTCCTGAGGGTTGGACAACTTGACGTAAGATCGACATGATGAGAAGCGAGTACGGCAAGGGTCGCAGGGTTGCTTCACGTCATGCAGAGGCAGGGTTCCCTCGTTCTTCCCAACAAGACACAGAGAGAGAGACTTCTCATGTCTGCTCACGGAAACCAGAGCTTCTCATCCCCCAGCACTTTGTGCCCCGAGATAGGTGGGAGGCGCCTCGAACGCGTCTTTAGGTTCTCGATCTCCGCCGCGTGTAGATGTTGGGCCTTTTGTTCCCTTTCGAGGACGTGTAAATGAAGGGTAATATGGCTATGGAGATTTTAATCTAGATTGCCGGGAGTTGGGGGGCGGAGGGCGAGCGGTGACGTGGGATAAAGGATGGTGATTCTAACCGGGAGCGAGGAGAATATACTCCGGTACATCAATCGCATATTATTATTATTATTATTACTTCGTACTACTGATCTTATTGGGTCTTTTGGTAACGATCTGCGAATACCTTTGCCATGAGGTGTAATCTCTCGACGATTTGCTTCGTTGCAATCCAAGCTATCGTCCAAGTTCCGTGCCATGGTGCAAGCTTTCCAACGTCATCCCAAGAAGACCTCTACGAAGGCTGCTTTGCACTCAAGCGCTTGCGTTGTTGACCAAAATAAATGTCAAAACACAGAGCGGGATTCTCTAAGACCGTTCCTTAAAACTCGAAGATCTACAACTGCCTATGCAAAGAACCTTTCCCCCCCCCTCCCCCCCCTTCTGCCAGCAAAATTGATCTCATACTCTGTACTCTTCCATGTGAACTGATGAATTAATCCCTCTTCGACATTCGATCCACACTGGTTCTGCAGAACGTGACTTTGGCTGTTTTAAGCTCCACGGGTAATATATCTCATGTCCAAACCGCGGCTTGTTGCTCGTCCCGTCCAGGACGAGGGAGGCGGGGGCGTGTAAGTTGAGTCAGGGGGGTGTGGGCATTGCTAGTAGGCGCGGCTGTGTTTACTTTCTTCTGGACTTTTTTCCTTTCTTTCGAGGCATGGGAGTTTGCCTCTGCGGAAGTAATGTTCTACTGTGCACGCTATCAGAGGAGATGACAGGACGGAAAGTGTCATCATGGAAAATACTACCTTTCCGGCGAATGGTTTCGGGTTCAATGTGTTTTGCAAATACTTTTCGGGCTAGGTCTGATCTTGCTCATACCTAGCCTATATAAGTCGACGAGTAAGTTGTTCCTCCGAAGCGGCGACATTAGAGTCCTAGCATGCGTACCATATCCGAGCAATAATACTTGCTAGGTTAAGTTCGAACTTCAGGTGGACGAAGTAAGCCTTTGTCAGGGGAGGAAGAGGACGTGCGTCCATGTGCGCAGTGTGACAGAATCAAGGATTCTGTCTAGGGTCGAGCGTGGTGACTCGGGTTTACTAGTATACTATAGCAATCACAGGTGAAAACGCTGAGCATGAAGCCATGCTGGAGTACGATGCTGGGTGTCCCTTGTTAGTTCTTGACCTGGTGGATGAAACTGGTGTACTTTATGCCCTGGTGTTCTAGGAATTGCCGAGATGTATAGAAATAAGTACTTGAAGTGCCTATCATAACCTTTATTTCTTACTTTCAGAGATGTGGGAAGGTGGGAAGGAGTTGGTGAGATTGTTTCGAAGATCTGGCATGTGCCGTACCTGCATCACAAGGCAGGAACAAGGGGATCGACATCCATAGTGTCAGTGCTCGGAGCCATCGGGAGACTGCACTTGTATTAAGACTTGGTACGTCTTCTACTTGTACGGACGCATTGATCCGAAGTACTCCGTAACACCGCCAGCGTCCGAAGGAAGTACCAGATGCTCCTGTTCTGGGGAAGGTGGCAGGCAAGAGGATGAGTTTGTGTCTCTCTGCTGACATCAACCGAGACACGGTATGGGCAGGATGAGCCCCCAGAGTGAAATGCTATTGAAGCCATTCCCACCCTGCAAAGCACTTCTGCTGAGCCAATAACCGCTCCAGGGTCCCGGCAAAATTTACCACCCAATGGAGCGCAGTGTTGCAGAGGTCCTGAAGATCCGAGAGATCGACGCTCGTCCCGAGCTCAAGCCCTAAAACATGTTTAGTCAATGCCCTCTAACGCTCCGTACGGCCCTGGCGTATCATGGACCAACAAGCCAATGCAACTCCCCAGCGTCCGTGCAAAGGGGTTCCGGTTCCTACAGGTCGGCTGAATCACACTCCTTCGTGAGTGCTGAGCAAGATCAATCTCATTCATGGTAGCGAAGGCCCGAGTCGTCATGATTTTGTCCGGCCTCCACAGAGCTAGTGTGATTAGGGCCTCGTTCCTGCAGGCTCGACATCTGACATGTTGTCCGGGAGGTCATGGCGAGAAGCCTAATGGGCCGAAGGATGCGCCAAGCGACGATCTTGGGTGGCATTTGGAAGGTGGCAGATTTTTAAGCTCGGGGATCATGTTCAATGATTCGAGCCTCCATTTGAGTTGTGAACCATCTTTAAGTCATGGGGTCCCTGATAAGGTGGAAGTCCATGAATGGGTGGAATAAACCGGGAGGTTTGCATCATCGGTGCTAGTGAAGCAGCATCGGGAGCTCATGTGTCAACTCTGCGGCCGGGCTCATTCTTTCTCGCCGGCTCCTGTCTCGGCACGAAAAGTGCTCACCCATCAACCCATTCAACACCCCCAAAATACCAACCCCCCAAAAAGAACTGTTCTCACACCCCGGGCACAAAAAAACCCCGAACCGGCGGTGAGCTTCCTTTTTCCAACCCTTGCACTCTTCCCCGGTCCTGCGCGTACTAAGAAGGAGCCTGTTGTTTCAGGAGCTTGCCCCCCTGCCACAAGCAAGGTTGACAGCTCTTGGCGGGGATGGACTGAAAAAGGTCCGAGAGCCGGTTTGGAGTTTTCCTGGGGTGACTCGTTTTATAAGGAATTCCCATACGAGAAAGGTACCAAGTGCGTATCAATGGGAAAGCATCGGCATGCGGTAATGCGGCCCGAGAGAGCTTTGTTTATACATGGATCGTCGTTCAATGGAGGAAGATCTGCAAATCGCTGCTTCTGTTGATGATCCCAGGTCCAGTGCGTCCCTCAACACACTCATCCCCAGGGTCCAAGGCTTGCTTTAAGATAAGCTTCTGAAGAAGCCTCAATCTAATTAACTGATTATTTGCGACACCCTTTGCAGAAAGCTTTCTATTCATGTATGCGAGGGTTGGCAGACATTGACTCCCAGGCTCCATTCAACACTACAGGTCGTTCTTAGGAAGCGCAACTATCCCAGTCGGCATCCTTGGACGTATGATAATGCAGGTGGTGAGGTGTAACAGAAGGTTTGTGATCTGAGCTGCCTATATAATACGTGTGGTTCTTACCGATTCTTTAATATACATTATTTCGGAGCCCGCCAGCCCACGAGCTCTGCCTATCCTCTCGGATCTAGGAATAGTGTATGTCTGGCCTTTGTGGTTGTAGAAGGAAAGGTCCCCACGAGGAACTCGCTCTGCCAGTTGGGCGAGATATTCCCGCTGGTCCTCAAAGCTGATAGACCGTCTTCATCAGGAAACGGCTCCGTCATGTTCGATAGATCTCTAGTAGCCAGACTGGTCATTCCAGTAAAGAGTGTCCGCAAATACCCTGAGAGGGTTTCCGTTAGCTCCAAGGTACGGATTAACCACCTATCGTCATGCCTCCTTGAAAGTTGATCAAACTTACTCAGGCCCAGTTGCGTACAAGTACCAGCCGAACTTCTGCGTGATGAACTGAATCAAATGACTAGCGACCTTGATCTGGCCAACATCAGTAGGATGCCACTGAGGGGCAATATCGTTGTGCTGGAGGATGCCGGTCGTGTTGAAGAAATGGACGAAGGGTTCTATGCTCGTCTCGGTCTTGGTGGCCTTCTCGTTAATGCCATCCCAGATGACGGCGTTGCTAAGATACTCCTCTGAATTGAAGTACTTGTATACCGAGTAAACTTCCTCTCGTAGATCGGCATTCTGGGCGTATGAATTGCCGTCCTGGTAGAAGCCTTGCCACATTTGCTGCGCGAGAGGTTAGATCAGAATGTTCCCTCCGGTTTGGTTGTTAAATGGGAGGAGGGAGCGGAGCCGCTCACCATGACGACGACCTGGGCGTCGGGCCAGACGCCGTGGATACCCTGGATCAGACGCTTGTAATGCTCGACATAGGTCTCCTTGGTGACGTTGTTGGCAGCATTGGCGTCGTTCGTGCCGAGGTTGATGATGACGAGATCGGCGTCTTGCTGTTTGCCAAAGTCCCAGGGCTCGGGTTCATCTTTTTAGTGGGATATATCAGAACCTGTTGAACTCACAAGCAGGGTGACATGCAGAAACCAGGACATCATTCGGGCACTTACCGCCCCAAATCTCCTTGGAACGCCAACTATTGTCTGTGGTGTAGAACCACTGATGGCTCTGGCCCCTGGTGTTTCCCCAGCAATCCTGATCAGAGACGCAGATGCCAGGATATGCCGTGATGGAATAATCAGTGTTTCCCAGGCCCTGCCCGACCCCGTACGCAAACCCCGAGAGCGCCTCATACGAATTATACATGCCCGCCGACAGACTATCTCCAATGAACTCAATGAACCGCGGCTGGCGAGGCAACTTGACGAGCTCTTCGCCCTCAGAAACGTGTACGCTATCGATCTGGACACCGTAGCCCCAGTTAGTGACCCTCATCTCGAAGGTCGACGGGCTGACTGGAGCAGTCAGCTCAACCCCCTGGACCTCGGGACTGATGAAAAGATGGGTGCCGCCAGATGTGACATTGGTGAATTGCCAGTCGAGACCGCTGAGGCGATATCCGACGAGGGTGCCGTCGATGGTATGCTCGCCGAAAGTGACGGCGACGGTTTGTCCTGTGAATCCGAACCGAATTCCGGGGGCACTAGGAAACAAAAAATGTGAGAAGTGAGACCAGCGAGACTTCAAAACAACTCCGGCAAGGCCAATTGGACTGCTTGGTATTTGCGTGTATTAGAATACTTACGCCCACCATGATACCTTCTTTGAATCCCACCGCCCGAGGTAGCTGATCTCAGACGCATCGTTGGCGTACGTCGTGTATGAATCGTCGACCAAGTCGATCCGAGTATCGAGGTAGTTGGTCTCCCGAACTTGCCCGTTTTGAATGATTGTTCCCCTTACAGTCGAGAGAAGGCCAAAGCCGTAGACAAGACCGGGAAGCCACATTGTTGCGATTGACCATCGGCCGGCTTAGGCACTGGCAATTGGAAGAGTCAACCAAGGTAATCTCGATCACGAAGAGCCGAGTTATCTCACAGATAATGAGCTGGGAGCTGCAGAGACACATTGTAAAAGAGGCTCAGATTAAATATATGCGTTATGTGTAACTCAATCGCGACCAGTTAATAGAGCAGGCGGAGGATGGTGCCTCCGATGCCAAGGAGTAAATAGAGTTCTGCCAACTTTCTATGAGAGGTGGAACGCACGCCTAGCAAATGTCCGACAGCACGGAAGAGGACTTATGCGCTTCCTTATCGAGCTAGTTTAGTTTCCCGGGGCCGTCTTTAGTTCCCGCCCGGCTAATTGGGTTGGCCGATTCATGGAGGTTATCTCTCAGGCAGTGTGGTCAGTGATCGCTGAGTGAGGAACGCCTCCCATCTCCGCCCCGTTTAATCCTGAAGACGGATCAATGGCCACTGCGGGGGAATCATTCCTCGTAAGGATGGTGAAGACTCGGAAAAGAAGCCTCTTGTCCACACTTGGGGTCACGTCGCTCATCATTGAAGGTTTCCAGGATTCGTCTGGAGGCTTTAGCATCTCTGAAATGAATAGCACGCTGCGATTGACCAACACGATTCTTGGTAACATCATAAACTAAATCCTTCGTACGGGACACCCACCACCTGCGGCGTAAATTACCATGAAAGGAAGAACGTCCGCTCGGGGAGGAAACCAGGCGATTCGGTGTGGATATGGCGGCATCATGGAACATAATTCCAGAAAACACGTGCGCCATTAAATGCCCTTTTTCTCCCTCAGAGCCGAACGTTATGTCCTAGCCCAAGAGCACCCAACACGATGGAAATGGCGTGCATTCTGGGGCATGGGCATCCTTCGAATACAACGCTGAGATATGCGCTGCAACGTTATGACGCGCTCAAATGAGAGAACCTGGCAGTGCCGAGGAACAAGGGATTTGATCAGGCGGTCATCCTGATCCGGCAGCTGCAAATGTTTTCGCTTGATGTGAACGAGATAAATGCTTCCTCGACGAAAAGGACCGACGCAGACCAAGTCTTGAAGCAGGTTGAAGGGGATAGAACCTGGATGGTTGGGGAGGGCTGATAAGACGCGATTGATAGGTTGGGCCAGACTTGGCGGGATCGGTTATTGTCGATGTTGAGCCCAGAACCACAGGATCGGGTACAGAGAATGTACATGCCTGGCGAATGGCGACCAAGAGAAGAACAGGGGACGACGAGACGACCGGAACCCATCTGCAAAGAAGCTGCGCAGCCGACGGGAATGATGCATGGTGCAGATCAAAATGCTTGATGTTTGCAGGTTCCCGCTCGTCTCAGACTTTCAGCCTACTGCATCGCAGATGGACCTGGAATTGATTGACGTTTGGACATGTGACGGTATTGTTCATGATGTTTCGCATTTTTGTAGTTTATATTGCGGCTTGCATTCCAATTTCCAGTAGTTCTTGCCGAAATGGCATTTGTATGCGGCATCTCCTCCTTTGTTCTTTCCAGTTGTCACTTCGACCTTGAACCCGTGATGCGGGATTCTGTGGAGGTCTTTCATTGAATGCACCGAGACGGAAGCAGCACACCAGTTTATCTCTCCGGTCAAGATCCCCGCTTCCCCCTTCTCCCTTCCCTATTCCCCGTTACACCCTTGTATTTTGGTCTTTCCCCCGAAAGCGTTGCGCAGCAGTTTTACGAAGTATGGGAAGGCGCAGTTGGAATGCTCAGTCTCCGAGAAGTACCTACTGTAAACTTCTTGGTATGTCACCCTCTGCGGTCTCACTTGATGGTTTCGGCAGAGATCCCGCGGCTGCCATCTAATAAAATCATGTCTCGGTTCGAAAGGGAAGGCGATACTTGAGGAGAGCACCTTCTGCCGGAAGTACGGAGTAGTTTAGTTCGTGGGGCTAGTCTCGACCTCGACTCCCTGTCCTCTCCACCACCAACTTCAAGGGAAAGTACGAAATACTTGTATGCGTACTGTACATGCCGAGTACATGTCGGTTCCCATTTCAAGAGCAGAGCGGTGGTGAGTGTTGAATTGTTGCAATGATGCCCTTGGCCTTACGCAAATGGGTGTTGTACAGAGCTCGCGATTTATATTAATTCGTCCGACATAAACGGACGATGAGCAGAGCTGGAGCGGAGGAGTAACACTTCGTACTGTGCACTTACAGGCAGTTCGCGATTGGGGTGGCCCCGGTCTTCGGTGACCGTCAAATCTACAAGTGATCAGACATCGCTATGCTCATTTATTCATGAATGTGGGTATGTGCAGCCGAAGCCTGGGCATTGTCGGTCTTCCGTTGAGATTTTCCAGTCAATGTCGCATCGAATCAAGTCAGTTGGGGTACTAATGTCCAACCGGGTAATGATTCATTCTCTCTCCCAAAAGACAGACAAGATATGCCTTCCTCAAGCCGTGTAAATGATATCGTCTTAAATGTCTCAAATACCATCATCATCTGGTACCGGTAGGGTAATACAGGCAAAAAGCAAATCCTCTACCACCCTGGTCAGAAGCGGAGAGAAACCCACCAAGTATCGAGATGGGAATACAAATTCCCTCACATCCAAAGTAGGTCCGTGTGCTCGACCGCTCTCTTCACTTCGTACCTCCCATCTCGAAGGGCACCGCAGTCTGGAGGCTGGATGGTGCAGCTCGAGCTGTGGCATTCCACAGATATCATCATACTCTTAGGACGGGTTATGTACGATATCGAGCACAGATGTGGGTTAATATGCGAAGGATGGCGGATGAAGCATACATTTGATGTATGGAACAAGCACGGGGTGAGTGATGAGAAGGGTCGGATGGGATGAATGAAAGACGCTGGAGTACCGAGAGGCATCGCCGGGCGGATCCTAGCCTCGGTGTGTGATCGTATCAGTCTACAAGTCTACAAGGACTGAGGGAGGGTGCGACATAATACTATGAAGTAATATGGTGAGTGCCTCGACAGGGAAGGGGACGAAAACCCTCCACTGGCATGCTTTTTATTTTTTCTTTTTTTATTGCTATTATTTTTTTCCTTTGAAAAGTTCCAAATTACTTCCACTCTCGGAGTATTACTGCTGGGGCTCGCCTCGATACTCGGTCCATTTCCCTTATTCAAGACACACGGGGTAGCTAGCATACGAGTACAGACGCAGAATACCCTCCATCAACGGATTTTTCTGCGTAGCACCTGTTTGTTTCTCTTCTGTCAGAGCTGGACCCATCTTCCCACTGGAGTAGACCTATTTTTGACATGCGAAGTGGTCCCCTCACGTCTCACACCTCGTCTCTCCGTGTAATGTGCAGCTTTTCTTGGACGAGACGATGAGACATGAAGAAAGAAAATTTAGAACCCCGTCCAGCACATTTGAATTAGTCGAGAATTCTCCAGTCTGTTCGTCTCCCAACATTATTCCAGAGGAACAGAATGCTAGCAACGATCTCCAGTGCAGCGAGAATAATATTTACCAGGTTCAACCTTCACTGAATGAAGTAATTGCTTTCCAACCCACACCTAATGCCGCTCACATCAAGCTTGGTGCAAAAGGAGTTTAGGGGCAGAAGATGTACCCAGTCCCTGGCTCGAGCCAGAGTCGTAACTGGTCCGGGGAGACGGCAAGGGTAAGCCAAGCAACAAATTGCCTGGTCGGCATCGTTGATGATGTCGCCCACCACGCTGTCGGGTCCATCGAGGACCAGGCCAGGCCAGACGGAACAGATAATCGTTCAGAGCGGGTGGGCTGGGCGGCCTGAATCCCGGGCACTTGTCCTTGTAGATCCTGGGTATCACGAGTACTTCATACGAATACAGTGCAACTACAACCATAGAACATCCCATCCTCTCAAGACTCAGCAGGCCAGGAGATTGACCCCCTCCCCAATTTCCCGCACGTCTTTAATACTTCATTACTTCATCCGAAGTACTTCTTTTTCATCTTCTCTCGCTTGGGTTCATCTTGCCTCTCCCTTGTTCTCTTGTTCTCAAAACCTTCTCCTTCTGTTTCTCGTTCTTCTTCTTCCTCTTTTTTCTTACCTTTCCTTTTTTATTTCTCATTCCGACACGTCTACTCCGTCTTCGAAGAAAAAAAAGAAAGAGGTCATTCCTCGCCATTCCATCTTTCCGGCTCCATTGTTTCCTCTGGCGTGAAACCTTTCACATGCAGCTTCCCCAATTCTAAAAGCGGAGATTTGCCCCCAATCCAAATTCGATAAATCCGACTGCGAAAGAAACGAAAGCGGCCAGCTGCTGGCAGCAGGTGGACACCACACCCACTCCTCAACTCATCGACAAAAGGGCGCTATTTCATTCGAGACTTGAAACGGACTCTCACAAAGCCTGGCGATTACACAAAAAGAAAAGCTCACCAGCCAGGCGCTCTGCTTTCTCCTCTCCCCCTTCTTCCTCTTCCCTCCCTGCGTGCTTCCGCTGGGGAGCTCCGCTGCTCATACCGTACCCCCGGCGTTAATTTGTCTCGGAAACATGTCCCATCGAGCCTCGACGCCATTGCGATTAACTTAGACGGTCCCCTTTCGATACCATGAAGCGTTGCGAGTACGATTCGCCGAAAGAAAGGCCATCGCATACCGAAAATATTCACCCTTGCCTCATGTCATTCGTCGACCGCTTCGAGCCCGACGCTGTCGCCGTACCCGACCACCATCGAATCGCCTCTTAGCTCGTCTTCCTCCCCCATCTAGCATACCGGCAATCTGTGGAGACCCTGCGTCGCATTACAACTCCCGCCGAACAATTAATCTTTTATCCTCATTGCGCCTGCTCCGAAGACACATCTGCTGCATTGATCCCTCAAGAACACTCGACCCAGTGGGCAGTAGCAGCCGTTGCGAACACCCGATTGCCGCTTCTTTTCTTTTTTTCGCCACGCCCTCAGCTAGCAAGCGCAGTATCCGTTCTGCCTACCAACTTTGGCCGGCCGCGCCGCGCCGCCTATCGCGTGCGTCGTTCCCTCGATCTCTTGCTTCTCCCAATCGTGTGCGGTCACACTTGGGCGGCATATCAATTAGCCACCCAGCATGTCCAGTTCCGCCGTGCAAGGAGTGCCCGACTCGCAATTAGGCCTGACTGCCGAAGAAATCCAACTTCTGCGCCAGGGGCAAGCCGCGCTCGGTAATGGATCAAGCTCCTCTAGAGCTGCCAGCAGAGCCTCTAGCCAAGGCGTTCTCCTATTAGACAGCTCGTCGTTACAACAATTATCGCGTTATTTCGATAGCCTCATGAATCAAGTCCAGCGCCGCATGGAATTCCTTAGCGAGCAGAGCGCCATGTTCACAGAGGCTCAGTACGACCGCGCCGGAAACCTGATTGAGCTCGCCGACGCCGAGATTGCGAGATTCCACGAAATCCTTAGGCAAATCGACGAGCTCGAAGAGGACTTTGACCGCATTAGCAATATACGAGACATCGTTCGCGGATATCGGGCGAGGGTGGAGGCAATGGAACGAGACCTCGAGAATAGCGGTGGATCAAGTAGTAAAAGGCACCATGACCACCACCACTCTTCGTCGTCCCACAAGCACTCGAGCTCCAAGAAGCATAAACGGTAATCGACCGCTGCCAACACACGTCCAATACCCCTGTATACGGACCACTCCATCCGTCGTCATTCTCCAGCGTCCGGCAAGTTTTAGACGTTGTTGCCTCCATCTATTCCTCTTTCGTCCGAATTCGCAGCGCGCTCTTCGATCCCCGATCCATATAACAACTCGCTTGACGCAACCCATTGCAGCTAATTAACGCCATATTCGCAGCAATGGGTGCCCGCTCATGCGATTCTAGAACCTCGACAGTGGGGTTGGGAACGTAACCTTTGTATGCAAGGGTGGAAATCAGGTTTAGTTGTCTGCGGGAGCAAACAGGACCGCATGAACTGAACTTGGGAGCCACATTTATACAAAGCACTCCGTTGAACGCAGAGGGCAATGTCGGTCTCGGTCAGCCAACCCGTTACGCCTTTCCTACACCCTAGTCTCTCGGTTTCAAGAGTTCACCCCGACCATAGGATCTCAACCCCCAGCAACCCTCTCCTCACCTCCCACTTGTATTTCCTTTGAACACCCGCATCACCCGCACACCACTCAATAATGGCTCAACGGAGCCGCTTTACCAATACTGTTCTTCATCTCCTTCAACGGGCGGATATTGTCAACGATTTTTTCTCCCTCAGTCTATAAAGATCAATGAGCCTCGCGGCTAGGCAAGAATGGATTGCCTCACGGCTCGGCTGGTTCCAGTTGTTGTGTTCTCATGTCGGTTTTCCTTTTTAGCGTTATTCTTCTATCGTTCTATACCACCTTGCTCACGATCGGTACCGGGTCTCGGTAATTCTAAGCCTGGCGTTCTTGAGCTATGTTTATTTCTTTTTTAAATATTTCAATTTTTTAGTGACAGGCGTTGGAGGATCTGTCACAGATGTTCATTCTTATTGTCATATAGTTCTCATCTCGCCCAAGCGAATCTTGTGTGTACGCTGGCGGGATCCTCTGGCAGCTCTTGCTGTGCCGGGATTCCTCATTTTCTCATCTTTTTTTTTTCCTTCTTCTATTTGTTTCTTTCAAAATGGGTGGGTGGGCTTCAATGTTTTCATTAAGATTGGATATCCCTGACGTCTCACGGCGGCAAAAACGCAACGCTTTCATGTCTTGTTTTTCTTTTTCTTTCTCCAGCTTACCCTAATACTGCCTCCCTCTCACGATACGATTCAATCAGTCGTGTCCAGGGAGAAGCAGCGCAAGAGGGATTGTATATTCTTTGTATCTTTTTCGGTGGAACCGGCGGTTGGTCTTCTGCACGTTTATTTTTACTTCGTATTTTAATTTTTTTTTTGTTCTTTCTTGATGGAGCAGGCTGTTCCAGATATTCCAGAATTTGGATGGACACGATGGTGTCCCTCTCTCTCTCTTGGACTTTGTTGAGCTTGAGTTAATATGTTGCTTCTTTTTCTCGTGTGGAAGATGAATGCAGTTGCACTGGTGTCGCCCTGGCCCTTACTGAGACCAGCCGAGGCACGAAGTTTGAAATGGTCGGAGACATCCCTTTCATCTCCTCGAGCTTGGGCAGCCAGCACACACCTAGGCGGCCTCCTACTTGGTAGTACGACTAAATTTGAATGCCTATTCGCACGACACGGTATATGCGAGGACAATCAGGAGATGAGCCGGATGACGGGAAGGGTTATATGGAACGGTATGGGGCGATTGCCCTCATTGAATGACGACCTCCCAATTAGGGGCGTCGCCGATATGGAGACTCTCGGCACCTGATCATTTTTGTCTTCTTTTCTTCCTATTTATTTATCTATTTTAGTGTTATTATTTTTTTGGCAAGGCAAAGGACAACCTATCCCACCATGATCGCGTCAGTCGAGAGCGAGAGCAACCCTGAACTGCGCTTAAATGTCTCATGGAGCCACCTTCAAACGGACTTCATGACCAGCTGGGAATAGCGAGACTGATACTGAAATGAAGGACGTTTGCAAGGTAGTACGGAAACGAGGCGAAGCTCAATGCCGAGCTTTCTAAAATAAGCAATCTTTCCCATTGCCCAACTCGCTCGATGATTCGGCTTTCGCCCAAGGAAACCCGAACCCCCGCCCTGTCACAGACCAACATGGCGAAGAATATTATCTCCTCCCGCCTGCCGGGGGATGCCCCTGCATTCTTCTAGTTTCCTTCTGACACCTTTCTAAAGTTAACTTTAAACCTGAGGCTGTGCTGTATTTGTGTCGCCCCCTCCCTCCTTAATTCCCCCATTACCTGCGTATCTTAGTTTAGAATATGTGGGTGTGTTAGTTCGTAAAGCTCCCTCTCTCTTTCAGAAACCCGGGTTCGTCTGTTGTGAACTGGCTCTATGAGGTAGGTTCCCTCTGCCAAGCCGAGGAGATCAATTGATGTTTTGTTTCTTCTCTCCTCTCGCTTGGATGACCTGCAGGGTCCAGGGTCGCAGCATGTAACCTTTGCGCAGTGTGTCTCCCGTCCGTCATCGATCCTTTTTTTGGCCCGTAATATCCCTCTCTTCGCACCAGATGGGAAAGCGCTTGATTACTATTGAGCGGAGGAGGTGCATATCTTCAAGGGTTTGGAAGCGGGGAACCTGCGTCGTGAAGGTGATAATAATGATGATCGATTGATGCTTTTCTTTCTCGGTGGCCGGATCGGATTTGGGATCACTAAACGTGCATTATCGGAGTGAGCGGTCCGCCATGTGAAGTGAAGTGATACCCTGTTGTGCGTCACTCCATGAGAACTGTTCGTCAACGGAGCACTCTCCTGCATCTGCTCCCGAATTGACTTTTTGTTGGGGATATCTAGAAATAGAAGGTGGCATCGTGCGGCAGGGAAACGTGAGAAGAGATAACCGGGATGATACATACTCTCCTCACCACACCCCGGCGACTTCAGCCTCCCTTCGCCTCCGCTGAACCACGCCCCGTTCTTCCCCTCTCGTCGTCGATAGGGTGTTTTGGTGGGCGCAGGGATAGCCTTGGCATCAGATAAGGACACCGAAGGAGATGATTTTTCATGCGGGGGAGGGATCATGAAGATTGCTTACGGCTAGGGTTTGTCCGTGATAGTTCTGCGGGAAGGGCTTCTTGTGGTATTTTTGAGTAAGTTTATTCTTGACATGATGGGATGACAGTTGAGGTTCAGGCCATGTGTTGGTGATGAGTGGTTGTGAAGATGGGATGGTTGCAATGTGAGGGGGAAGGGGAGATGAAGGGTTGTGGGATGGCTCTGGTTTTGGACTTGGCTTGTTTGTGTATAAGAGGAAGATGTTTCCCTCTGCTTTTTTATGTCGAGGAAAAGAGAGAAGGACATCACCATTCGGATCAGAGCCAAAGCCCCCGAGTTCAAAACATCACATCGACTACGATAGCCCTACTCTAAGTTGATCATCATGAAGATCCAAAACATCCTCGCCGTCCTCTCCTTCACGGCTTCGGCCCTCGCGGCCACCAACGAGCCCTGCATCGGCAGCGGAGGTGCAGCAGGTTAGTCCCCCCTTCCCCCCTTCCTCCTCCCGCCCTTCCCGCTGCCTGATCACTAACACGTATCTTGCTCCAAAATCCAGGTGTCTGCATCACCACCTCCGCCTGCTCCGCCGCCGGCGGCACCTCCATAACCGGCGCCTGCCCCTCCGACCCCTCCAACGTCCGCTGCTGCACCAAGCCCAGCTGCTCCAACGGCTCCAACGGAAACTGCCGCTGGCAGAGCGACTGCGCCGGCTCCACCGTCGCCAACCAGTGCCCCGGCCCCGCCCAGATGAAGTGCTGCTCTTCCAAGGCCACGGGCTTCGGCGGCTACTCGCGCCCGGGGCTCCCCGCCGCCTCGAACGCTTGCAAGGCCGTCTCGGTTAATGGTGCTAAGAAGATCCTGGATGCTTGGCCTGGTAGGGTCAGGCAGGTTGGGTGTGCGAGGGCTTGTACCTGTGGGAGCGGGTCGGATCATTGCTGTGGGAAGGCGATTGATTTGATGTGTTCGGATGCTGGTGGTGTAAGTTTGTTTTTCCTTTGCCTTTTCTGGAACGTCCTTTTTTTTTTTTTTTTTTTTTTTTTTTTTTTTCTGCCCCCTTTGCTCTTCTCCTTTTGGGAAAGGGGGTGAACCTCCTTGCTGACCTGAGCGTTATACAGGTGCCCACCATGTCTGGTCGTGAGATTGCCGAGTGGGTTATGAAGAACCGCTCTTCGCTCAATGTCAAGTACATCATCTGGGGCCAGCGAATTTGGAATCCCAGCCGCGATGCGCAGGCTTCCTGGACTTCATGGAGGGCCATGGAGGACCGCGGCTCCATTACCCAGAATCACTGGCAAGTGGAGAGTCCAACACGCCTAGACATACGATTCTTCTGGACTAACGAGATTCTACAGGGACCACGTCCATGTCAGCTTCAACTAGGCTGAACTCGTAGCTGTGTGTTTATTAGGGGGGCGTCGTTGTCAAGCAGGCCTGGGGTTGGGAGCAAGTTTTTATTCGTCTGTTGCTTCTTTTACGGTTATGGGTTTTGGGGATTCACGAGTGATGCCATAGGTTGAGATATATGTAGTTTTTTTAAACTTGGATTTATTGAAACTCCCGACTCTAAACTGTAAACGTCGTCGAGCTGCCCATATCCTATCCCATCTTCGGCGGATACTTGATGGATACCAATGGATTAAACACTTCGTTTCTTGCCTCATAACTCCTGCTTCCTGCTTTCGCCCAGTTAGCTTCTACATTTAAGATTTCGACTTTGGGGCCATAGCCTGTATACAACAGGGGACTTACCTGACCAAAATAAAAAGAAAGGGAGAAAGACCACCCGGCTCAATCACTCGTTAACAGCATGAAGCACCGCATGCGTATGAGACTCAAGAGCGGCCAATCGGCGACTCATATCCTGGATCATGGCATTCGACTGAAGCACCAGCCTCTCGAGGGCCTCCAACCGCTCCATTATGTCTTCAGCAAGCTCCTCAAACGAGTCGGCGCTTCCCGAATCGGAGCTGCACTCTCGGCAAGCAGGGCATTCTTCTGGCGAGGGGGATCGGCGGGGGCGACGGAAGTTGAAGGTGGTTCGGAAGGTCGCTGCGCCTTTGCCCTTCCCGCTGTCTTTGTCGTGCTTGGGCATCTTGGGGTATGTTGTCTTTGGGAGTGTGCTATGTGTGGAAAGGTAGGTTGGTGGACGCAAGTCGAGTGGTTTTTTGGTTTGTTGGCGAGAGGTGTGTGGTTATGAGGATGGTTGTGGGTTTGAATAGGAGAGGGAGAAGTTGGGAAGACGAGGGAACGATGGTTTTTTATAGCCGTCACCTCTGTTGTGAATCAGGATGGTGATTATGTGCAGATACTGGATCAAGGGTGCTCTCTTGCCCCTGCTGTATCTATATCCCCCATCTGTGATAGCCACTGGAGCGTGATTGACCATGATCCATGAATCATCATCCCCTCTCAATGTAGAGACAAAGAGATTAATCCCAAGTGGAGGATCAAGCTTCTCAAGCAGAGTCATACCTTCTTGTTTAAACTAGGAAGGAAGCAAGATGGTGTTTGTTTTGTATAGCTCAGCTGTCTATTCACAACTCATTTAGAAAGTAAGGATGTAAACTAACTTACTCCAGTATTAACATAGGCAATGGGTAAACAACACTCGAAGTCATGAAGCCAAGTTGCGGAAGTAGAGGTTTCATTTGGAACGCGCCTTCCCAGTTTCGAGAGTACCAGTTTAGGTGCGTGTATGTGTTGTGTTATATATGAGATATATGAGATTCTGGGTCAGGATTCCCAACGTCTCATGGAAGCTCAAGCGGCCCAGCGGTGACGCACTGCTTACAAACTACTTCCGCAAGGCACCGGCGTGGAATCCAGTCTGGTCAAACCATGAGACGTGAAGGAATCTGGGAGATGGGAAAGGGAAATTGGGAATTCGGGAGGGAGAAGTGGGGATTCTTTTTTGGTCAGATTATCTTTATTTTTCTTTTGTTTCTTTTCTGCGGGAGAATTTTCGTTTGCTTGTCCTGTTGAGGCTGTGATGTGCTTCGAGATACTCGGGATGTCCTGGTCTGAGGCGAAGAGGGACGCTTGGTGAGGTTTGTTGGTTCGAAACTCGCACTGGATATTTGCACCTCTTTTTCCCCACCTGGCGTCACTCACCAAGTGACTTCCGGAGGCTCCACGTGTGATTCTCGACTTGGGCGGCGTGGAACCGGCTCATGGCATTCTGATAAGATTTAGATCGTTGATCAAAGATCTGGAAGCACTGCTGGCTATACTCTTACTCCATCTTCTTAACCGTTGAACATCCTCCGGGGAGATGGTAACTGGACTGAACATAACAAAGCCCACTCTCCCAGAGCCACGGAAACCTATCATCGCATGGTTGCGCTACCCTTAGCTAACCCTATGGGAACCCTAGAACATGACTTACAACGATACCCATCCCTGATATCGTCTTCGCTCGGTAGATATGGGGGCATATTGTACGCCGGATTACCAAGACTGCAAAGGTACAACTTATAGTAGTTACTAGCATTGGAGGGCAGGTGAATAGTCCCCGAGAGGGCGATTCGTCCACGGGCGAGCTTCTTTAACGGACTTACGGGTCTGTCTCCTGCCTGTTCACAGACAGGGCTTGCCGGGCTGGCGTTAGACCTATAAGTCTCCGACGGGCGGCTATCTCGCTGTCTATGAAAAGACCAGCTTGATTCAAGAAACAGACACTATTTCGGGGATTTGGAGCGGGAAACAGGCGAACAGAAATAACGCAAAAGGAACAATTAGAACATTGTTGACAGTATAAAAGAGAATTGTATGAAAGTTCAGAGCATATAAAACAGGGAAGAACTATAAAATTAAGATAGTGTAAAGCTATATGGAAAGACCTACCTGGCGGCAGGAGAAGTGGGGGAAATAGACCATTGATGGGAGTTCTTGATCCTCGCCGAGCTGCTCGCAGCATTTAATCGTTGGGCTTTCCATGCCTTCCACCAACTTGGAGGGTACGAGCCCGAGTCTGAGAAGGAGCATCGGCCGGAGTTAATGCGCCAGCCGGCGACGTGAGTGGGAGCAGGTCGAGGCCGAGGAGTAAGCCGCATGGAAGGATCAAAGTGCCGCCTCCCTTGAAGGGGCAGGTCCTGTGGCGAGATGAGCGCGTCCAATGCCGTGGTCCCGGGTGTTCGAATTCTTGATCACCGTAGCGCAAGGGGTACACAAGAGAACCCAAAAAACGAGGGTGTCTCCCCCTACCTGTTGCGCCGGCATCTATCATGATGTGATAGTCAGTTGCAACGATTGACGAGGGCCTTCAACAGGAAGGGGTGACGTTACACTGGGGTGTTAAAGGTCTTTTCTTTTTCTTCAACATAGTGAGACGTCCTCAAAATGGGTGTAAGTGGTAAGAATAAGCAATGCCATCCGTGAACCAAGAATCTGCTGCTTCTCGCCTAAAAGGGAAAAGAGGAGGCAATGGCGACTTCATCGAAGGATCGTGCATTCGATAATACACTGCTATCTCCGGATGACGGACGGCTAGGAATTGCGGTCCGAGAAATAGAAGAACTGAATGGCTGAATGTCCCAAGGCTCCCCGTGGACCGTGACGATGGGGTGACAGGATCGCACGAAGGACACGAGAAGAAATGATTAACAAATTCATTTCGTTCTGGTGAACCCGTCTATATCTTGATCTGTATTCGTGCTTGAAAAGTGAGACAGTGGCGGAGGGCATCTACGAATCACGAGACCGGAAGCGGAAGTGGGTGTTCCATGTCTCAGGCGCACGAGGCCTTAAAAAAAGCTGGTCTCAAACAAACGATATTGATCCTTCCATTCGAATGCATGGTCAGCCCAAGCCACGATCCGCCCGCCGCTCCAGTGCTCCACCAGTCTTCGTTCAAGCCGCGGAGTGGTTGGTTTATGGCCTGTCAGACACAGGGCGGCATGTGTGTTGCAGTTGTTGTACGGAATCTGGGGGGTTTCACCAAGGCGTCTTGGTTTTCCGCAGCGGATAGGAGCGCCACATTATTTCATGTTTCGGCTTGTGATAGCTCGGGTTTAACAAGTAACCTGGAAATCGAACACCGTGCCGCAATACGAAGACAACCATGTTTCACCGTGGAGGGTTTCACATGTTTGCTTAAATTGACGAGAACTGGGAAAGAAGCATCATTGATCAATGGCACGAGGAGTAAAGACGGAAGGCAAGTCCATTGCTGAGATTGCCCCTGCCGGTTGTCTTGGTTTGTCGATGATGACCAGTAAGCACAAGAGGACATACGTCGTGGTCTCAGGTATCACGAATAAAGTACAATGGTACCTCGCAGGCAAACTTAGGATCCATGCCATCCACTTATCGCAAGGATCAGAGTCGAGGCTTCCCCTTTCAGTATTGCTTGGTAATAGTGCCAGTAGAACAAGAACGAGTTCAAAATATTGGAGGACGGTGGTGATTAGTATTATCCTCCGTACACCGAGGCATGCCGATACCGAACGTTCATACTTCCTGATCTATCCGGGCGCTCTGGATGTAGATGTACAAACTGCTTTTCACTTTGTTGTACCATCGACACTACAATCGTAAGTGTACCCACCTTGCGGGGATCTGCTCCGTCCAAATCAAGCTCCAAATTTGTGTCTCGGTTCCAGCTGCCTGGACAGCCATGGGATCTTGGACGTTGTGCCTTGCACCATAATCACTAAGTTTAGGGCGATCATGACGACTTAAGACATTTTGTACCTATCAAGGGGACTCGGACACACGTGGATAAATGAATTGATATCTGACCGATCCTTGGTGGGGGAACAGTAACGTCGGAAGGCTAAAGTTGATCGATATATGTCATTATCATGGGAAAAATACTCGGGGACACTTCGAGTCTCTCAAAATCCTTCGTGACCATTGTCCAACCAAAAACCTGTTCCTTCGTTTGATAGTTGTCTCGGCCATCCTTTGTCCTGAAGGGTTGCGCATCATCCACTCGCTCCGTCATTCGACACCGTCTGAGTCTTCCTCACCCACCTGAAGCATAGGAAATTGATGTTCTTTTCTTTTTCCACATGTACGTTCGAGTCCTGGCACCCTCCGCTCGGATGTTCCGTATTACAATTGATGGAGGGTGCGAGTCTGTCTTTGTAAGCGGAATTGGAACTCGGATTGCTACATTTAATGTGAGGTCACAATAAGCAAGTGCGTCCTTGAACAGTTGGGTTGGGCCAAGCAAGGACATGGGAAAGGTTGCAACCAACTGGATTTATCCTAAGCCAGAAGTGGAAAGGTGCCTGAGGGAGGATCTTCAGCACGATGGGGACCTCTAATATTAGGACATAGTGGACGGTGGTGGCGATGCCCTCTGTGGAGTTAAAATTCACTGCCCCCAAACTTTGGAATGTTGGCTGGGGCCAGGCCAGAGCCCGGGTTAGGTTGAGGACTTCTCACTGAGCTTTCTTGACAAGAATTACTCGGAGATAAAGTCTGAGTTAGAGTTGTAATGCGGCTGCTACAACCCAACGACGTCTCAGTCCGAGTCTGGGCTAGCACTCACACCTCTTCCACCTCTTCTCATCTACCCATGTGGTCTCATTGTCTGACAATCTCAACCATCTCCAAGTAGTGTGGGCGGGGAAGAGGTAGATCATGTTGGTGCAACGGCAGATTCCCTTGGGGCGTACTTTGTAGCACTTCGTTCTTGGTTCTGTGCAGCCGACAAGTACAGGAACTTGGAGACCTCAATGTTCCATCAGTCCCGACCGCAGGAGCGAGTGGTGGGACCGAAAGCTGGACGGACAGAACGCCCCGCATCATCTCGGCCGCCCATCTCTGCCGGTCCCATCTCCCAATGCTGGCTGGTTGCCGCTGCCACCCATTTTCCGAACAGGATCAATGTGGACAGCAAGGCTCCCCGGTATCACTCTCTCCAACAGGAGGGCAGACCCCGATAATCGAGAGCTCATCCATCGGCACTGAGGAACCAAGACTAATATCTGCTTAAGCCGTGCTGGACGCCGCTGAAAAGTACGGAGGACCAATACGAAGCTCATAAAGCCCCAGTACGACGCAACCACGGTCGTCTACCGGCGCCTGCTTCTACCAAGAGGAAGTACATGATTGTGGCCGGATTGATTGACACTGGTGAGTTTTCTCGCGGCGATTCATCCCTGTGAGGCCGGAGATAATGTCGATAAGATCCAATCGAGCGTGGGAATAACACTCTTCAGAGGAGATGTGATTTTAGCTGTAAAATAAAATTAAAAAAAAAAAAATAAATAATGGAAAACGAAAAAAAAAATAACCAAAAATATTTATTTATATTATATTTATATTTATATTTATATTTTTTACAAACATGGGGAAAGAGAATATCGATTATCCTTCCTCACAACGCCGATCACTAGTGATTACTGACAATTGTGGGAACTAAGAACGACACTTCTAACCTCCACAGTACCGCCTTTAACTGAAGCGTCTTCGTAGCACTGGCTCGCAGCATCAATATTGAATCACATTGTGTAGATGTAGACTGTAGAGGTAGCTGTTGGTGTTACCTTCCTTGATGTTGACGTCTAATATTAATGCGAAGCAAACTGCTCTTGTACTTGTACTTGTCGTTGTATTCTTTTCCTCTATTTTCGTCTCTCTGCATTGCGTTGCCTGTCTGGCGTCCACTGTACCCTGCAGCCTCTGCTGTACCTTGTACTCTGTTGATGATCCTCAACAATTGTATTGTTACTTCCTGCTTGTACTCTTTCGCTGTTCCTTCCAGGCTGTTGCCGCTGCCGCTGTGGTTGCCGTTGCCAAATCCATCGTGCTCGGCTGGCTCAGTCCTTCCCTTGTTATCCGCTGGCACCTGCTCCAGGGACGGCTCCGGTGTAGGCTCGAGACACCCGAAGCGAAAACGTCTGGACCGGGTCCGAACATTGAAGTGATTGATTTCGATGTTATTTCCGCGATCAATTGACGCCTCATCTTTGACATCTTTGAAGCTGCCTCGCATCTATCTATTGTCGTTCTCCTCGCCACGCCCCCAAAGCCCGTTTCTTGTAAGCTGCATTGCATCAACCCTCTTCGAAGCTCCAATGGTTCTCCTCCTCCTCCCCCCCGCCCCCTCAAATCCGTGTAAGACATCAGACATCCATTTACGCCCGGCAGCCATTGCCCGCCCCTCGCTGAAGTCATCCAAAGCCATCAAAGGCCAAAAGAAGCGCCTGCATCCGAACCCACATCCGGTTCGCTAACCCCTAGCTCATTTTTTTTTCTTTTTGTTTTCGTTCGTTGATTTTTGCTTTTCCCAACTGGCTACCACCTTGATCAAAACCCATCCCCTGCATTGGCGTATTCGGGGCACTCTGCGACATTCTAGGGACGCTCTCGGCAGCACCTGCGCCGAGCATTTGACGTTTTTGTCCTGACCGGTTCAAAATTGTTTGGTTCAGCCCCTCGTCACCAATATCTCAGCTGCTTGGACGTCTCGCTTTGCATTAAAGGGAGGAGACCTTTGTTGCCCACACGTCTGTCTGCTGTCCATGACAAAAGCACGCCAGGCATCAGACATCAGATATCGAAATAGAGTTGACATCCCCGACGCAGAAAAACGAAAAATAGAATCAAAAAAAAGGGAAAAAAAGGAAAACCCTCCGATTCTGACGAGAAACAGACCAATCTCGAGTCGTTTGCCCTCTCCACCGCCCCCTACCGGATGAGAGACCTTGTGCCTCTCGCAGGGCTCGGAAGCCTCATCCCTCCGTTGATGATTGCTATTGGGGAGACTTCATTCGCCCCCATTCCGATCCTAATACCCAAATCCCAACCCCGAATGTCAGAAATTTCCGCTCCTCTTGAGCCCTTTCTTTGCATGGAAATATCATCCCGTCCGCCGCGTCTTCTCGTCCCCTAGATTTTCCCTTTCCCTTCTCCCTTCACCCCCTCCTCTATCTCTCCTCCTCTCCCCACGCCTGCTCGACTTCTTCCCCACCTTCTCCGCCGGTTTCCCTTGAGAACAGTTGCAGTCGGTCGCGCGCCGCCCATTTGCCTGAGGCTGGCTTTGCGGCCTCTGGAGTTTGTGTCTCGATCAACTCCTGTCCTGACCTGGACTGGACTGGACTGGACTGGCCCGGCAGATGCTGCTCCTCGCGACCATTCGAACATGGACTTTCACTCTCGGCCATCGCTCCCATTTCCTCTTGCAGCCTCAGCGAATCCTCCTGCTTTGAAAACCGAATATTCTGAAAATGGATCACCGGTTTCTGATCAACAGCAGCCGCCACCAATCAAGAGGAGAGCGCCAATTGCCTGCCGAAGGTAGTACTCCTTTCTTTGCGCCCACTTTCCCTTCCACCCACTTCCAATAGATCCTCAACCATAGCCTAGCCGTAGCTTACGCCATTATGAATATCTCAGATGCCGTCGCATGAGAAGTAAATGTGTGCATGAAAAGTCGATTCCTCCTTGCAAGGGCTGCAAAGATGCCGGCCTGTCCGCCCAAGAATGGTGGGTCCAGCTAGCTCCGCCGCCTCTCCGGGGACGAACCCCGGAGCCACGCTATATTTGGCGTCTAGCGGGAGTGCTCTAACGATAGCCCAGTGTCTTCCCGGTCCGCGGCCAGCCTGACAATGACAGGGAGTACCGCCACCCCCGAGTGCGGGCCGACAGGACGTCCAAGCGGGACCTGAACAAGACCCGCCGCGAGATCATGGCGCTTACCGTCAAGCCCGCACCTTTGCTCGATTTCCGAAAAGCTTTGCCTGTCGACGAATGGGAGCTTCTGCCGCCCTTACCTGAGATCATCGAGGCCGTAAACACCTTCACCCGGCATTACTTCCAGCTCGGGTTTGTTCCGAAGACACTCTTCCCCGCGAGACTCGAGAGAGAGCATCGCTCAGTCAGCCCCTTCCTGCTCCTTAGCCTCCTCAGTATATCTGCGAGATTCACTTCTTCCTTAACCCACAGATTCGGCTCCGGTGTAAAAGCTGCCGAGATTTTTATGGAGCGTGCCGAGCAGTTAGCCCTTAGCAAAATCTACGACCAACCGAGTCTCGAGTCTTGCCAGGCCTTCTATCTCCTGAGCATTGCCCAGCAAGGAAGTGGGTGGAAGAATTCTAGCTATGTATGGTTTCTATTCTCCTCCTCCTCCCCCTCCTCCCCCCCCTTCAGTTGGGCAACATGGCTGGCCGAACTTGGGCCTCATGGTAGGGACCATGATTATCTGACGAGCTGGGAATATAGATCAACATGGGCATATCAATAAGAATGGCCATATTGATGCAGCTCCATCGCGAAGAGACCTACATTTTGGATAACCCAACACCCGAACTCGTCGTGAGAGCCGAATCTGCGAGGCGCACTTTGGTATGAGGCATCACACTCTCTATTTCCCTCAGTCTCGATGTAGCGTTCGTTTTAAACTAACAGTTCTGGCTAGTGGATGCTCCATAGTATGGCGTGGAATCCCGCTTCCTTATCCAATGTTTCCAACTAACATGAGGTTCCAGGCCAAGATAATCTGCACTCGGGACCCATATCACCCGTGTCGCTTTCCGCGAGCGACATTACCACACTCCTTCCCTCCGACGAGGAGAGCTTTGCTACCGGTCGAGAACCCGAATCCCGCGCCGCGTTAGAGGATACTCCTCCAGCCCACGATAATCCTAGCCTTCTTGCCGATCCGAATCGTTCCCTTTTCGCGTCGCTTATCCAAATCCATTATTACTGGGGTTCTATCGCTCGGCGCGCCGTGAACCGCAGGAAGTCTTCGCAGCAGCCATGGGATCCCCGCAGCGAGTTCACCACAATGGCAACCAAGTTAAAGTTGTGGGAAGAGGGTCTCCCTAGGGACCACACTTGGAGTCCATACTTACTGAAGGGATACAAGGCGGAAGCCCAAGATTTGGTGAGTCTGGGACAAGATTCCCCCTCCTAGGTAGCCCAGAAAGCCCCCGTCTTATCCTCTACTAACGAGCCTAGGCATATCTCGGGGTGACGATGATGACCCGGCTTTGTAATATCGTTTTGCGCAGAGCCCATCTGCAAGAGTATGTCCTGCTGCCGGCCTCTTCCCCGCTCGTTGCAGGCAGCTTGTTTATCTAACGACTCTATAGCATTATTCACATTGACTCAACGAAGGACTCCGCGAGACAGGCGTACTTTTCGGAGATGTCACTTCAGCTTTTTTCAAACGTGCGAGATCTCTACGCACAAATCAATGCTCAGTTCACGCTTAGGACTCCCGATGAGAGCGTAGGGGCCCAAATGGCTGTAAGTTGTCACTTGTCCGCTTCTCTAAAGCCTAGAGTTGTCGAAATTTTCGCTAACGGCGTTCCCTCATAGTCGTTTTGCGTGTACAGCTGTGGCCTCTTCTCGGCATACCTTGTTAAATATCCAAGGAGTGGGTTGTTTACCATGTGCTCCCTTCCTTGATAGAGCAAGGCGATTAACATGCATCCGACAGTCTGTCCCGATCCTGCCATCTCAAGGATGGGTCCTGAGATGCTCCAGCGCGCCATGTCCATCTTAGTGGAGTGCAAAGAAGTATGGCCCCTAGCTTCTCGCTGGCTTGAGGCACTCGAAAAGTCGTCTCGCGATCCCAAGGGGTCGTCTTTTGGGCTAGAGGGAAGCATGGCCGATGGGGTAGGTAACACCACTTCTTCTCATATCCTAGTGTCTTCACCGACTGGTACCTAACCAAGGGTTATGCTTCGTCTGTTGTAGCGCGATCCCATTCCGAGAGCACTCCCGGGCCCGAAGAGCATTTTAGCCGCTAATACACTCCCATCGCCAACCCTGCCTCGACTTGCTCTACCTGAGGAGCCGAAACGAATATTCCCGGTGACGACACCCAGCCACATCTTGCCGCCTCCGGCCCATTCTATCCAGCTACCTAACCCGCAACTATCACCCGTATACTATCCCCCAACACAACAATATACGCATCAGAGCCAGTCTGGGGGCGGCTCTCTTAGCCTCATACTCGAAACTGGTCCGGCCACTCCCAAGAGCACCACCCAGGATATGTATGACCCTACTGGTGCTTACTACTCTCCTGCGACGACGACTCTTGGTCCTGGCAACGACGGGTTCGAGGGCGAGCTGCAATTTTATATTGACGGAGCACAGGCATGGCCGGGTAGCTCAGCGCTCTTTGATTATAGTTGAGGCTCCCCCACCCGTCTGTCATCCTGCACATACCTACCTTTTTATGGGTTTTCTTGCATCTTTTGACATATTACCCTTAATTTTTAGTATTTCGACTAGCCCCAGTCGATTACATGACAATTCGTTTGGCGTTGGGAGGTTATAAGCGTCTGAAATAAAATATAATGACTTGTGACGACTTAGTATGACTTTCTTTCACTCAGGCTTCAAGCGTGTCTCTCATCTGTATCCGAGTCTGTGTTAGTTGTCCCGAGTAATGCCAGCCACCTCGAGTTGCACCACCGCAGGCCCTGAATCATAACTTCTCACCATTGTTTCCCCGACTCCGTACCAGTTCTTTTATATCACAGGAATCTTTCTTTACCTTATGGTTGATAACCTTGTAGAGCAGAATGGCTAAATGGCCACCCAAGGATGACAAGTACGAAATGAAATGTGATCAATCCCATCACTTACAAAAACACAGCACAGTCACAAGCAGCAAGAAGCAAATACAAGCAGTTAAGAGGAAGCGGTAAGGGGAAAAAAAGCAGGGTGTCTGTTAGTTAACTCATTCGCCATCTATTCATCCCTCTCATCAAATCTTCCCTCCTCTCCAGACCCAGGCAACGAAAACATAAAAAGCGCTCAAAAAAAAGGGAAAAGCCCATTCACTTGAAGGGCGAGTCCCCCTTAAAAGAGAAGTCCGGGGATTTTTTCTCTTTCCGATGCAAACGTTCACTCTCACCAATCTTCCCTTTGTCGTCGAGCCTGCCTTGGTGTTTGATATCCTCCACCCCATTCCCCCTTTTTTCGTTTCTCTACATGACTAGTGGGTTCGCCAATCGCTAATCGAGGGGGTATATTGGTTTTGTTTTCAACCTTTACCTTCGACGCGAGGGCTGTACATGATAACGCCATCTCTATTTCCATTGGGTTGTGCAGCATTTCGCAAAGACGCAAAAAAAGTAAGAAAAAGAAGGAGGCAAAAAAGAAAAGAGAAAAAAAAAAATAGAAGATAAACCGGAAGCGGATGGGGGACAACCATAGATTTGAATATGAGAATGGATGGATGCGTGTACTGTATCTGGGTTAAAACAAAGTAAGAAGAGGCGAGGAGCGATACAAGTCGTACGCCGTAACTCGTGTGTAGTGTAGTGTCATGGCAAATCGGTGTATGGGGGATCCAGGGAAGGCACGAAAAAAAAAAAAAAGGCGAGGGAATGATGTGTATGGAAGGAAGCAATGATTGATTATGAAGTGAGTAATGGGGACGTTATATACACAGGCGACAAAAGGTGTCTTAAGTGCTAGGTTGATGATATGCAGTGACGGGATTGGGGTATTCCGCTCTAGGCCTTGGGACCTACTCAGCCTGCTCGCATCGTCACATGGGCGAGCTGGTAGGATCCGAGGCCGAAGCTATAAGTTGGGTGTAGTGACGCCGCTGGTAGGGGAAGGGGTGGAGGAACTAATCGGACCAAACACGAGGCTCGACTTGAAGGGGGGGCCGAGTCAGGCCGCCGTTTTTAGACCAGTGTTGAAGGGCGGGCGTTCATGTCTGCTGCATCGTTCCGGCCTGGCCACCCAGCTGGCGCTTGACCAGCTCGCGGGCCCAACGGGCAGTCTCGATGGTGCGGGGCTGGAAGTCGCGGTTCGACTTGGTCTGCTTGATCATGGTGGTGAGCCAGTCTTGGCGGAAGGCTTCGACAAGCTCACCGTTGGGGTAAGCATCCGCAAGGTCACTAACGACACATGTTAGCGGCTAGTTACATGGCAGAAGAATCAATAGAAAAAGAACTCACCCAATGACGCCCATGGCCGATCGCATGAGAGCCTCACTTCTATTGAGATCATCCGCAATCATCTGGAGCAGGTTGAAGATGGACGGCACGAATTGTTGAAGGACACCAGCTGCGATGTTTGGTTAGCGATGCGGCTCTCCATCAACGGGAACTACCGTTTGTCCTGTCGAGGGACGGAAAACTCACTTTTGTTGCTGGCCTTCATAGCAGGGACAATGCCGCCCCAAGCGTCCATAATACCCTCGCGTAGGGAGACGACGTAGTCGAACATCTCGTACGGGCCATCGGGAGAGGCAGTAACGCTCGACGCCTGCTGGAGGACTTGGGCGACAACGGGCAAGTAGGTCTCGAAGTGGCCCTCGATGGCGACGGCGATATCACCAAAACATTGGAGAATCGCAGGCTTGAACTGGTTCGAAAGGCTGGTGCTCTGTTCATGAGAGAGAAAAAAAAAGGTTAGCAAATGAGGGGCATGAGACAATTGGGAGAGACGACAAACCCTAAGATTGTTCAAGAGATAGTTCATAAAGTTGTCGCAGTAAGGCTGGCTGCGCTCGCCCAGGGATCGAGTAATGTCGCTGACGAGGCCAATAGCCATGGAGCAGAGACCGGGCTCATCCTGGTTGCCGAGCGCGCTATACAGGAATGGGCTAAAGGCCTCCATGTACTTCAAGAAGTCCTCGCCTACCGCTGTCGCAAGAGCGCTGATGGCGGCAAACACAGCCTCGGGAACGCTCGACTTTCCACCCACAGTGCTGAGGATCTGAAGGAGCACCTGCATAATGCGGTCGCCCTGGGGGGCAATCTCATTGTCGAGGCGTAGGATAATGGCTTGGAGAACGCTCGACAAGCTGGTCTGCATGTCGGAAAGCGTAATCTTGTCCTCAACGCTGACTACCTGGGTCTGCATAGGAACAGTCTCCTCAAGCCTCTTAAGGATGACGTCGGAGAGAGAGGCCACAGCCTGCAAGCTCTCGTTGGCGGCGTTCTGGACGAAGACGTTGAGGACTTCGTACACAGCAGTACGGGTCGCCGAGTCGCAGTCGTTGCGGGCGGAAAGGTTCAGCAGGTGGGTGACGCTGTTGTTGAAGTGGGGCGTGAGCGGGTTAGTCTGGGCACCGGGTTCGCCGGCAAATCGCTCGGCCAAGTTCATAAGCGCCCAGCAGCACGACGCAGCCATCTTGGGGTAGTTGGTAAGACCGTTGAAGAGAGACTGGATAAGGGGCTCAAGGTGAGTTGACGCGTCAATAGCGCTGGGGCACGCCTCCGTAATGCGGCCCAGTGTGTAGGCGGTCGAATCCTTGACGTGGAGCGAGCTGTCTTCCATCATAGCAATCAAGGGAAGCAGAGCCCGCTTGATAATGGGATCGAGGACCTTTTCCTCAGGGCCCTCCATCACAGCACCGAAAGCGGAAACGGCGGCATCCCTGTTATGCCAGTCGTCGTTTCGTAGGTTGCCCTCGACAAACTGGAGGACGGGGGTAAGAATGGAAGAGCCAACAGCCTGGGCATAGAGCGACAGACATTGGTAAGCAGCTCGGGAAATGTTGTACTCGTCGTCCGAAGCATCCTCATCCTGCTTGGTGAGTAGCGTAAGGAGAACGGGCACAACTTCGTTGGCGGCGACTCTCGCGAAGTTGTAAAAGGGGCGGATCTGATCAGAACTCTCAACCTACATTCGAAATTCGGGTTAGCCTCGTGTTGCCTGTGGAAGAGGCGGGAGGGCCGCCTTGAGTAGGAGAACAAGCAATAACAATAGCAAGAAAAAAAGATGAGCAAAAAAGCAGGGGATGGGGGTAGGGGCGGTACGAACAGTCGCGTTGTCATCTTCTATGCTGATTTCCTCCTCGCAGACCGTGCTCCAAAACTCGACAGCGAGCTTCGCAACATCCTCGTCTTCCGCCTTCATACCAAGAATGGTGAGGCCAAAGAGGGCACGCTCCATGTAGAAGCGCATGTTATCGTAGTAGAGACCCATGATTCGGTTCAAGCAACCGAAAGCACCCTGCTGGATGCGAGAGTCGGAGGCCTGGGTAGCCTCGCACACGACTTGCATGATGTAATTTCGCTCGCCCTCATGCCTGAAGTTGTTACCAACAAACTCTAGGGAATCACCAAGGGCGGTGATGGCGGCGAGGCGAACTTCCAGGTTCTCCTCCTCTTTTCTCGCACCCTGGACGACGGCTGTGAGAATGGCGTTGGAGTGGCTGATGAGGCTGGCTCGCAGTTCGGGGTCTTGGGACTCGCAGATGTAGCCGATAGTGGTCAGGGAAGCCTGCTTCTGATGGGGAGCGCCGTCGCTGACGTTCTTAACGAGGATGGTCATCAGGTCGGCCCACTGGTTCCGCGGTAGCTCGATGGCCGCGATGGCGGAGATGACTTGAGCGGCGGCATTGCCAGCTTGGGAGTTGGATGACGCGAGGGTCTGGAGAGTAAGCTCCTTAACCCTGTTTTTCGTGTCATCGTCCGTCTGCTGTAGCCACTTGGATTGGAGTTCTTGGTGTCTCGCGAAGTCTCGGGCGGTGAAGGCGTTTTTCAGGGCAATACCGGCAGCAGCTCGAATGGGGCCTTGCGCTGAATCGTTGGCAAGCTCTTGTACTAGCGTGGCGAGATATAGGGGCTACAGAACATCGAGAAAGTGGTTAGCTTCGTTCAACAGGCAACAAACCAAGGGTATGGCAGGGGCGAGTGGCAAGGGGAGGAAGGGGAGGAAGGGGGAGAAGAAGTAGAGAACGGGAGTGCCCGGAAAGCACGGGAAGGACATACAAAGTTGTTTTCAGCAGCTTGTGAGAGTTGTTGTTCGGCATCATGGCGCAATGTCGCGTCTGGGAAAGTGTCAGAGGAATGCAATCAGGGGAGAATTAACGTAGCGGAGATATTTGCAAAGTGGGCAGCCCGAGGTGTTGCCAGCCATGAAGCTGGCGTAGCCTCGCAACTCCAGGTTGCATATCTGCTCTGCCTCAGATGCATGTGCATGTAGCCCTGCCAGAGAAAGGAGCGAGGATGATAGGCAGACAGGAGCGGGAGGGGTTTAGGGATGTATTTTTCCTTGTTTTTCGTGTGGGATTCCTTACCTGGAGACAGCGAATTGGCCAGAACCTGGTTGATCTCGGTGTTTGACATGTTCTTGTTTTTTTGTGTTTTTATTTCCTATGATCACTCTTCCTAAACAGGCGGAGGTAGGAGAGAAGGGATCAAGGGAGGGTTGTCGGAGAGTTGATCCGTGATGGCGGCGAAGAGGGGTGATGCTGTTTGGAGTTGGAGGTGCAGAAACTCGACTTGTTTTTTTACTTTGTACTTGGTTGTCTAGGAGTAGGCAAACCCCGTGCAGGCTCGAGGACGCGGGGTGGGCGGGCTAGAAAGTTCGCTGAGAAGAGAAAGAGGGAGAAACGGTAGAATTGAGGGTAAAAAGAAAAAAAGAAAGAGGGAAGGAAGCAGGAACTCGGCGAAAAAGGGAAGTCGAAAGTGAAGGGCCAAAAAAAGTTCGAAAGTAGTGTAGCAAACGGGGAAAGGTTGCAAAATAATGTAATCTAGCGTACGAAGGTAGCGTGGGTGGTTCAAGCCAGGCGATCAAGCCCCAGCAGCTGGCAGCAGCAACTAAGGCCGCAGCTTTGGACAATGCCTGTGGCAGAGATTGATGATTTGATTACATACTTCAAGCCAGAGAGGTCAGGTCTATCTTTAACTTTGGCCTTCACATGGTCATAATCCGAAGTAATGCCTGCGCGGGAATCTACTTTACAGGGCTCTACAAAGTGCGGACAGAGCACACACAGATAACTTCATCCACTGTTCTCGTCGCCTGGCTGGGACGGAAGGACCATGCATGTCGACGTTGTGTATAAGTACGAAGCCTGGCGAGGCCAGGCAGTGTACACTAGGTTTATGCCACCGACCACTGACATTCGTCATGCCCATGCCCTCAATGAAGTCGCACCTTCTTTGTCTGAGCATGAAGTTTCTCAACCGTCCACCTTGACGCCAGTAATGCGCTCCACTGAGCTGCACAAGAGTGGGAAATGAGGGTGATAATCTTGTCTCCTAGCCCAACAAGCCGATCCAAGGCTAGGCCCGTTCCCTCCCTGTAAAGAACTAAAGTAAATGATGCTCAGGGGGGCGGTCCAGCAATTCCCACATCGATCGAAAAATCCGGCGGTGGCTGTGGAGAAAACAGAAACGGAAACGGAAAAGATTGAGGGGTGAAATCATTTGTTTGTGTCCCGGCCAAAAGTAAACAGACCCCTCCATAGTCCAGCCTGCTCCGAAATGCGCATGTCGCCTGGCACTTTCCGTGTTTTCTTCCTTTGTTCTCTGCGCTGCATATTCTGGAGCTTTCCACGCGAAGTACAGGCTCCTGACTCGGGGACCTTGAGAGCATCAATATTTCGTAGGGCGTTTATGGACATCTATTTTAACTACTTCAGCGAGTTCATAACTTTTTTTTTTTTTTCTTAAGAGCGAAATGGAAGTCAAGAAGTCAAGGAGAAATACCACTTGTACTTATGCGGGGGGATTAGGTGGTATAACTTGTACACATCTTTTGGATTGTGTAACGAATGTGTCAGGATCACAATCCCACGCACTAACAGGTACCTCCTCTCATCTCCTTGGTACAACAGAGTAAGTACTACGAGGGGCAAGAGCACAAAGGAACATCGCAGCCACACGCATCTCTGAGCTACTTTGTGATACTTCGCACTAGGCAGCCTGAAGGCCTTTCTAGCCTTGATTGTGTTGTCGTGGAGTGTACCTCGGTACACAGGTACGGTGTACTTCGTACATTACTTCAAGTTTGTAGGGAAGTACGAATCATGCCCACCGCCGATTCAAGGCAAGCCCGGAATCCAGTTATGCATGGAAAATGCAGGCCTTACCACTGCCGGCGGAAGCATTGAATAACATGTGCTTCCTTGCCCGTTTATCACCCCCATCTCCGAAAATTGGCAACTAACTGAAAATAGGACGTACGAAGAGTGATAATTGGTGCCGGTTTCGTTTCTCGTTTCTAGTATATTATCAAATGGCTCAATTGTTGCCCAGTAATGATGACGTGAGGACCAGAGGTACGAAGTACATATCAACACCTCCCTCCCACAGCGAAGGCAGACATGTCAGAGGCGCTACTTCGTAGATTTTGGTAGGACCTCAATAGTACCACGTCATTCAACTAGGCCGCTTGCCAGCTACATTGAACATCATGCGCCCCATGCATCCGACCTAAGTCCCGCACGCTTCCTATCGATAACCCTAAAGTCTCTCGAAAGTTCCATTTTAAGCCTCCATTTCCTATCTCATAACCACGCCCTTCCAAAGAAACCAAACGAGAAAGGAACAAAGAGACGTACCATCGGCTTGAGACCGGACCCGATGAAGTAAAGGTCCACGAGGCAAGCAACAACTCGCCCACTATCAGGTAAATCACGATCTGAATGACCCTCGCAAAAAAGCGCATTTACGATCGATCTTGGCTTTATATCTCCCGTCACAGGGCTGCTCTACTGCAGGGATTGATTCGCTGTTGGTCACTGCACGTGATACCTTTTTTTCGGTGTTGTTCCTTCCTTACAACCCAGACCGCTTCATGAAGCCTTGACCACGGAACGCCTGCCCTATGTACCAGTAAGTCTGCAGCACCAGCTGCAGCTGCCTGGAGGGCACATGGTCCCTGCCATTCTACCATTTCGACGTGGAGGCCTTAATAGTGTAAACTACATAAGAGGTGCGCTACGGCTTTCGAGAAGCTGGGCCTTGGTCCACTAGCTTCCGTCCGGGCAACCCCGACAGCCGGGCTCAACGGGAGGGAAGCAGTGGATGCATGCTCTCAGACACGACGATTTACATCCCAATGCAGGGTGTGTTCAGCCACATATCACACCCATTCTCTTCACCGCAAAACATTGTTGAGCAACAGTGTCCGACATTTAAACTAGTTATGAAATCTTCTACTTAGCACATTTGGAATCTGCTCCTATCTTGTAATGTAGAAACCAAGTCTCTGCATAGAACAACTCGAGCTCCCATTTCACTAGTTCTCCAGCGTCGGATGGAATGGGAGAAGATAAGAAATAAGATGTTTGGAGTATATACACCAGCTCTCTCGGGCTCTAATACTAGTTTTAAACCCTATCATATGTTAGAAAAATCAAGGTGCATAGTGAACCGGACGGCACCGTTCGGAGCCGCTGTTTTACTGCGTCCGTCGACCTTTTTTTTTTTTTTTTTTTTTTTTTTTTTTTTTCCAGAATCCGTCCTACAGTAACACTCATACTCACGCCAGCGCACCGTTCGCCGAGTCTGTCGGCTCTGTGGAAGCGTCTCTGGCTCGCGGGTCTCCGTGGCACGGGCTTAATAGAGCGTTCCTTGTACTCCTGGGGTAGTTGATCTGAAGTGACATGTGTTCATTTTCAAGTTCTTTGTTAGTTCCCCGTTCCAACCTCGATGGGAGGACTACAGCCAACTACCTCATCATCGTGTCTGGCATGGATGCCACTTTTCCTCCTATCTTTCCACCTTAGTCTCTCGTTTTAACATAGAATCTATAATACTCTAGAAATTCCAGTTCCAAACGATCTACGAAAACCCTATAGTAGCATTGCTTCCGGTAGAATCAGTAGGCCTCTTCGTCAAGCATATCCGCCTCCCAGGACTATGATCATGCCAGGCGTATACTTCAATTGCGGCCACTTCCTCGGGAAGTCATGCACAGCCCTTTCTCTTGCTCAATCCAGCAGGCTGAAAGTCTCTGTATTTCTTCTCCATGTTGAAGTCGGGCATAGGCCGTGTCTTTGGGTCAAGTATCCGCTCATATAGACCCAATTGTGGCATATCACCTCATCGTCAGCGTTGCCCATCAGAGTTTGTAGAATCATCAATGATGTGAGGGCAATTCGTTTTATGGCCCTGATGCAACTCGTCCGGGGGCGACTTGTAGTAGTAGTCGTAATACAGTTTCTTGTGTATTTCGTTGAGGCAACGGATCTGATTGACACCATCTGGGCGATGTATGCATCTGAACCGTCATTCTAAGACATTGGTGCCTTGACGCAAATCGAGGTGTCTTTGCCTAACCACCTCAGATCAGTAATGGATAAGGGAAGCGGACGAAACCTTCATAATCACACATACAAAAGACTCCCATCTTCTTTAGTTCGCCGTTGACATGAGGTCGCAAGCATCTTTCATCGAATCTACTTGATCAACACAAGACTGGGAATATCTTCTAAGACGCACTCTCTCGGGTCGCCTTATTGTTTCCTGCTGTCTCTAGTCCCCCGCGGCTCAAGTGACAGCTGGAAACAGAGGAGATTCTGTGTACTGGGCAAACAACTATCGCGATCGGCGTTTTCATTTAAGAACCAAGAAGATCAATAGCTAGCCACTTATATTCAGTTGAGTCTCGATTCATCATTCTGAATGTAGTCACTCACTATAAAGTCAGCTCTCAACCAACAACCTGCGCCTCTGTTATCATCTGAAAGACCTTGCGCTATCAACAAAGTTTTGAGCAAGTTCCATGTTGACGCTTCCCTCTGTGCTCATCTGCCGATGCCCTTCGGTAGCAGTTGGGGGCTCAAGAACCGCAAAAGTTCCTACAATTCACCCGCCCGATTAGGAAGTCATCCCATTCCAGAGCCGTACTTTTGTAGCTGTATCCAGTCGGTGATAGGTCAATTAAGCGCCACCGGGTGAAGTCGCCGGGAGGTGCAGGTCGGAACTCTAAGACTCTGAGAGTCTTGAGATCGACAGATCGGGCCTCCCAGTATGGCAGGTAGTACAAGCACCAAAGAGCTGTTGGATCTGGTTTGGTCCGCCCAGGAATACGAATCGCCAACATCCGGTAGTTTCAGTGTTTTGCAAAAGTAGCATCGATGGTAGTTGACGTGATTTGGTCGCAGCCGGCTTGTTGGATATAAAATCAGGGGATGCCCTCACCTCTCGAGACTTGACGGGATCTAGATCACTGACCTTTATAAAGCTATCCTAGCTAATTCTGTGTGAAATTCTACCCGAAACAGCTCCTGCCTAACAATCTTCGCCATGAATCACGAAGGCTTTCAATCTCGCCTTGACCAAGTCAAGGATGTCCTCCAACGATTCGGGCTGAACGTAAGTGGGCGAAGGCACACCACTCCTGTTAACAGAATCTCCGTGAAGCATGATCGCAGTATGTAAACTAAATCCGCCCCTCAAAAAGGCCAGAGATATTAGCCCGATTGCGTATGAAGAGGACTGTCCATTTCCATACAACAACTTCATCTACAAGATCTCCCTCTCGGAGCCTGTCACCGCAGACTCCTTTGCAGCAAATGCAGCTCCATGCACCTTCGCTCCCCGCAGCCAGGGCATAAACGACCTAGTCATCCGTCTCAGCAACAACAAAGCCGAGGGTCTGAATCAGGCCAATCGTGTAGAGAATGAAGTCGCCTCCCTGTACCTCGCCCGCAAGGGACTGGAGTCATCACATAAGCCCGAACTAGCCGAGGTGGTTCCCGCCGTGTTCGCGTGGCAGTCAGCCAAGAGTTCAGACCGGGAGTTGGGTTGGATCTTGATGGAGTTTAAACCTGGCGAATCGCTTGATGGGCACTTTGCTTCTCTATCTGATGTCGAGAAGAAGAGTGCCATCGACCAGATTGCCGACGTCTTCTCCGGAATTCAGACCGCCGCTTTGCCCAGCACGGTTACGTCCTTCGGAGGCCTTACTGTCAACGACAAAGGGGAGATTATAAGTGGGCAGATGACGACTATAGACTCTGAAGGTGCACCATGGAGCACTTACATTGATTTCTGGAAGGCAAAATTGGCGTCCCAGCTCAAGGGCGCTGAGGAGAGTCCGGCTTTGAAAGGTTGGGAACCTAACGGTGTGAGAGAGCGGATAGACAAGTTTCTCGCTTCTGATCTCGAGGGATACCTCGTCGATGCTGGGGTAGACCTGACCAAGCGCGCTCTGATCCACGGTGACCTAAGTAAGTGCCGCCCTGTTCCTGCGTTTCTTCACTTTCAGTATGTACTCTACCTCTTCTCCCAGCTTGCTGACCCCTTAAAATCAAGCCCTGAACAACATACTCTTCGATAAACAGTCCACCAAACTCACAGCTATCCTCGACTTCGACTTCTCCACCATCCTCCACCCCACCCACGAATTCTTCACATCCCTCCAAGACCTAGGCGGCAACACCGGCGGCGTCTTCGGCCCGGACCCGACCGCCGGCCTCCTCTCCGACGCCCTGCTCACGGGCGACTTCGACGTCCCCGGCGTCCCCGACGAGGCCGCCGATCTGTGGACACTCGCACGTACTTGGGACGCGGCGCTGGCTGCGAGGGGCACGCTTAGGCCTAGCATTATTGAGGGAATCGCTGCGTTGGAGGGGCTGAGGAGGTTGGAGGCGGCGTTGTGTCCGTTTCGGTTGGCGCATCCGATGTTTCTGAAGAGGAAGACGGGGGAGGAGATTGAGAAGGAGCGCGCAGTTGCTGAAGAGACTCTGCTCTCCCGTCTTGCTTCGCTGGGGTTCTGATATCAGTTGAAAGAAGCTTCGGTATTTTCACTCTTGTTCAAGCTGAGCGGTTTGGAGATCGAAGATCTAACTGGGGCTCACCACACTAGCTGTCTACTCAGTGGCACGGGAATGTGAACTAACTTATGGATTGATCCAAGAATGTATGAAATCAGTTATATATCATGGCGCAGCCGTTTGAATCAAAGGCTGCTTTAAACTCGTGTTGGATGGCTCCAACTAGGACCGTAGAGGGAATGCAATGTTGCCTCAATATCCATCAGCGCCTCCCCACCTCTGCTGCGCCGTCTTCTATCGAATCGTTTGAATGAGATATGTACAGAGAAACCAATTAATAAGGAGAAAAAGCTGTCGCCTCATGAGAAATGAGAACGACGGATGAGAAGCCAAGATGACGTGAAATGTATACAGAATAAACAAGAAAAAGAAAAGGAAAGAAAAAAGAGCTCTCAGGAACCCCTAACTTGAACTCTCTAACCCTTGTGCTGTCCCCCCAGGAATGCAAAACCCATGTTCAGTCATTGGAGAACCATGTCAAGTTCGACCAAGCAATCGATCGGGCTTCTACCAAGTGAAGCTCTCCTCAATAAAGTCAACTACCGTACCTTCGTCTTGAACCTCACGTGAAGCACTGCGGACATCATCAGCAAGAGCACCGGACCCGCAAACAGTGACGCAGAGAGCGCCCTGTTGTTCGCGGACTTCTTTGCGAAGAAGCATCGGAATGTTAGGCCGACCGGGGAACAGCTGAACCGTCCAGCTCGCCGACGTAATCTCTCGGGGATTCTTAGGCCGAGTGATGAAGAGCTGGATACGGAGAATGTCCTTTCGGTTCGGTAGCCTGAGAACCGTGTCCATCCAGGGTCGAACCCACTCGAGGGCCTCGTAGTCTCGGACCACCCAGACCAGGGTTATCCTTCGAGTCGCCACAGTGCCGGCATTGTATCCTTCGATGAGTGGGCGTAGGTACGAGATTTGATGCGTGATTCCGGTGGAACCGGCGAATAGGACCACATGCCCGTAACTGTTGAGCGAATGGTGACCCCCGTAAGGGCCCTCCATGGCTGCTCGCATGCGCAACACCTGCGTGTTGTTCAACGCCGCCATCTCGTAGAGTCTCCTGGTGAATCCGGTTTGCGCGCCAATGACGAAGGAAACTGAAGTTGTCGCTCGCTTCTTGTCGATGAGAATGCTGGAGCATTCTTTCTCCGCAATTGGAAGCGCTTTGGAGTCCGGGGTGTGTTCGACCCACGCAATCGAGAATGGGTGCGATTCCCACGGCTTGATGCCCTTGAAGCGGATGTACGCGTGGGAGCCGGGCTTGATGTCGACGTATCGAGGAAGATGCATGGTTACTCGAGTTGTCTCGCCAGGCATAGCTTCTACGATTGCCTCAGTATAGCCCTTCGCGGACCAGTTGTTCCAGGCAAGGTTGATCATTCGCCAGAGCCTCTCTGCGAACCAGAGGCACATGATGGCCATGATCCAAGGCAGTTGTGGAAGAGCTCCTATGTCAGCCACAGCGCAGTGGACCCAAGTGCAGACGAAGATGATGAAGGCAAGGATAATGTGGACGTTGAGGAACGTCTCGTAGAATGCGTGTCGGAGTGGCGAGACAGACAAGATGAGAATGAGTATCAGCGCAACGGTTCCAACCATTCCAGACGAGATGAAGGATTCGCCCATGACCCTATCTGAGACGGACTTCCAACCTCCATCGGCGACCTGAACGATGAGCCATGCGATTGTGTGGATGACGGCTTCTATGACAACCAGTCTTCCCAACCACCGGTGGATGAGGTTGTATGTGTCGAAGCTCACCTTGAGCCAGGGGATGAGCAGGTTGTTGCGTGCAGCCAGAAAGATGAGGGGAACCATGTTGACCATCGAGAGGGTGCCCGATCGGCCTCGAAGCTCGGCACAGAACGAGTACATGTTCTCGTTGTGCCAGTTCAGCACGAACATGTAGACGATGTTGCTGACGATGAGGATGCTGAGGAGGACAAAGTGAAACCTGGAAGGCAGGGTGCCGATGTTGACTGCATTCGAGAGCTTGATCTCGCGGTTATGCCGTTTCTTCCAGAGGGGAGCATAAAGAATCTGCTTCTTGAACCAGGGTAGCCAGGTCCACTGGCTGTACTTCCAGTAATTTTGCCTATCCCCGCCAACGGACATGGCCGACACCCGACGGATGTGCATCCACATGATCTCGACAAGGCGAACTGAGAGGACAACGAGCACCATGATGCCAAGCGTCCACCAGAGCACGTCCTTGAACACGAGGTTCATTGGTTGGTTCACACCGTTAAGGGCTGAGTGGTAAGGCGCAATCGTCGATGTTGTCTCGGCCTCTTCGGCTCGAGTCCCGAGGCCATGCAAGGCCAAGGTCCCTGAAGGACCATCGAATTGTTGATTCGGATCCATCGTGGGCTGTGTTCGAAGTGTGAGAGAGGGTATGTGTGTGTGAGAGGGTTGAATGTGTTTTCCAGTCAGGAGAGATCGTATCAAGCACTCCTTAACGTGGCTAGCTTGGGGTGTATCAAAAGAACACTGGCCAGGCCGAGTACGTCACAATGCAGGAATCGTTTGATAGAAATAGTCAAGAACAAGGGAAGTCCTCGAACTCAGGCCAGTTGCATTGCAGGCTCGTCAGTCGAGAGACAAAGGATAGGCGAGGTCCAGAAGAAAGGTCGTGACCAGGAAGAGGGACGGGGCCCAGGTTGTTTAGAGTCAGCTTTGTAGAGAGCGTGACAGGTTCTTGTCGTCGACAAACAAAGAGAGGGTAATCGGGATGCCGGTGTAAGTCGGATTCCTCCGTCTTCACAGGGCCAGTAATACCCGTCGTCCGATTGCCTGTTTGGGAAGTTTTGGGTTGACGGGCAATATATTATGGCGTGTTTGCCCCACGATGTCAGGGTTTTTTCTGGTCTTCTGTGCCGTGTGCCCTCTATGCAGTTCGGAAGACGGGAATGGGTAAGGCTAAGAAGGAGGATGAAGTCTGGTGGTCGGAGCCAAATGTATACTGGCTACTGCTGGCTGCCTGTCGAATCGAAGGATGGTAAATGAGTTGGAGCTCGTTGCTACTGGAAACCTTGCCAAGAAGCCCGAGTTGGAGTTGGAAATTGAACGCCGAATCTGTCTCGAGCGATGCGATATCTAGTCGTCTCGTTTACCTGCTCGAGTTCGGAAATTGGATACAAGAAGTGGATGCTTGCACAGCGAGCGTCGATTGATAATGGTGAAGAATGAAACGGTGGCTGGTGATCGAGTCGTGGATGAGGGTTGGTGTCTTGGATGAATCCGTTCTTTTCCTCGTGGGCGGATATAAAAATAGAAATGAAAAAAGAAAGATGAATAATGAAGAGAAAGATGAAAAGAGAGGCTGGAGCAAGTGAGGAAAAGAACGTGTTCACTAAACGTGAGAGGAGGAAGATGAAGTGGAAGCCTGGTGAAGTTGATGACTTCTCTGGATCGCTCTTTCCTTGTCTTTTTGTTCAAGCTCTCAGTCACGCCTGGTGACAACAATGATGCCTCGACTTAAAAACAAAGAAGGACAACGACGAGGTTGGCAATTCAGGGTCCAGAGCCCATTTTTAAACGGACCTTCCTATTTGTGAGCTCGTCTGGCCAGGGTCTAGAAGAGGTTAAGAACACGAGACATTGTCTTTTTGACTGCAGCTGGCATGACCCCTGACACTATCAATCGCGGCGTGGAGTCGCCAAGATCCACTCGCTCAGCACATGCAAGGCAAACAAGCAAGAAAAGAACTGTCGATTCTTACACTACTTCGCAGTTGGGGCCCGAGATGGCACCATCAACCTTTCCTAGCGTGCTGTCGGTTCTCTGGATCCATCGCCTAACGCGGCGTCAGCAACTCCCACGAGAGAAGGGATGGGAATCCGGCCTGCCGCAAAATGGACCTCTCCTCGCCACGATGGCTCTCAATAAGGGGCGGTGGGGAAAACAACCATGGCTTACGAGGGACGGGATTCGTCGCCGTGGACAAACGATAGGGTAGAGTGTTGCCCTATCACTTCGGGTGCCCATCTCAGCTTTTCGTACAATCCAGGGAAACACCGCGCCTTACTGGTTCAGTGTTTCTGAAACACGCTTTTGGGGACTGTCCAGAGCCAGTGGTTCGTGGGTCTACGAACCGGCTTCCCGAAAGGCAAGGTACTACAATCCAGGTGGGCATGGCTTCCACGGGAAGGTACCCAACAAAAGGGGGCCCAAAGGTGGAGGAGGACGCCGACAGGGTGGTGCTCCCACTGCAACGTGATCCGTCCTCCAACCAGAGGCAACGAGGCCCAGTGGAGAAGGAAGCCAAGAGCGCACCAGGGGTTTGTGTATTTATGATTGGCTCCCACTCTGTGCAGGGCCTGACGACCCCTGGCTCCCGCAGCGTAGTGTAGCACTAGATAGATCTCCACTGAGTGCTCCATTCTGGTCACCGGAATCCAAAACGAAAAAGAGGAAAAAATTGGATGACATCTCTACACTCTCCACGGCTTCGTAACACGACCCCGCCCGCAGCGATGGTAGTATCCTGAATCGATCCAGCAGAGAAGCCATGCTTGATTGATGGAGGTCAACAGTCCGCTATATACAGATGGTTCGATCGAGCCGACCAAGTCGGACCACAAACTGGTTACTGGGTTCCTCTTGACCACTTCAGGCTGCTTGTGAGTAAGACAAAGGGAGGGGGGTCCAACGCGGAGGCGGGATGTTCGGCTTCTCTCATCCATATGGATCTTAGAAAATCTATCCACAACCAGACCGAAGAAGATGATTGATGGCTTCTGCTTCTCTCATGGCTGGCCTAATGGAAGGGCTCGGGGATCACACTAACACTTGCCCTCCATCTTTTGTTCAAGCACACAGCTAGGCAATATCAACAATCGATCAACATCGTACCACGGGAAATCATAACACCGCGGCACTTCACATTGAACAGAGAATATACTGCGGATAAACTCGCTAGCGCTCCCCATGACCGACAAACTGCGCAGAAGCGCTGATATCATCGTTCGTGGCATGCCCAGTGTACTTCGTATGTATAAATGAATTAACCATCAATAGGGCTTGTTGCATTTACTCCCAACAGCCAGGATCTAAAATATGGGGGAGGCTGGATTGGGCGCTGTTTAGGATTGGAGGCGGCCCTGCAAATCTTAACCCGCTCCGCGGGGAATAATAGAGCAATGAAGCAATCTAGACGATGCAACCCAAATTGAGAGAGGAACTCGGTCGGATTCCAGTGACCTGGTGGCCTGTTTTTGGGGCAGGAAAAATTTAGAGTTACAGCTGGGGACTGCATGAATCAGACGATGGCGTATATTTTTCCAAATCGCTTATCGCCAAACTCGTCGATCCTCAATGTCCAGGATAAATTCGGCCCCCAACGAGGTCTACCAAGCATGATCAATTCTTGCCGCCTTGTTTGGTTGCTTGAATGCTCAGGCTATCACTTACAAGTACATAGCAGACGAGACCCGATATACTTCTGACTGCAGTAGATGTGGGTAGGCTCTCGGCGCCGGAGCCTGGATAACGACGGCGCCCAGAGTCGAAACCAATGTGCCTTTGTTTTTCCCCATTGGTTCCAACATCGATGACTGGACCCATCTTGATGGGTTTTCGACGACCCAGTGAGCTCAAGTTGGTTATTTTCTTCCGCCTAAGATAATTACGAAGCAGAAGAAGAGTTCTAGTCACGGTCTTGATAACCAGTTTCGGGATTCCCTGGACACTTCTGGTTCATGCGACGGAGATTAGGTTTTGGGTGCAATCTTAGACTCACCGTTATCTGGACATCTCAGACAAGGGACAAAAGCGCCTTAATATACACTAATAGGCAGGGGCCAGGCCAAGAACGACAGGGAGGGACCACATCGTGGAGAGGGCGTTGTGCAATGGAACATGACGAGCTCGTTGCAATCCAACGTTTCCTCCAAATTTGATAATGATACGGAGTACCTGGGTACATGTTCGAAGTGCGTGCATCGGATGACAAAGCAGAAACTCCTCGGTGTCTCCTGAAATATTTAACAATGGAGCCTGCAGATGACGACACCCGTCCAAATTGAAAATCATACTTAAGCCTCAGGCAGAAATTCGCATCACCTCATGCATCAATTGAAAACACGAAGAGCTCGGCTTTTCGCATGTTGCTTATGTAAACATCCGGAGAAATCCGGGATTATTCCGAGGCGCTGGTGAATTTGCCTTGCACGATGTGAACGTCTGGTCATTAGAACTACGTGAGTGGCTTTTGCATCAGCATCACCTTAAGCCATCGATCATGGGTACCAGCGCGTCCAAACCGTCCGCCAATGGCGCGGCCTACGAGTGGAAGGGGTGAGTTTGCCCCGGTCTTCCCGCTTGCCGCCGTGCATGCGACAGTCCAATCTTGAGATAGAAAGCGTGACTGACAAAATGCCTTGTCTGCGGCATTACAGATCGGGACCCATTGGCGCCTCCCAGGAGCTCGTAGGCTCGATACAATCGAGCAAGGAGGTATGGAGAACTGACATCATCGATTTCACGTGGAGATCCGGACTGTATCTAACGCATATTTTCTCTTGCCGCGAATGCTAGACCGACGCATCCAGGGCAAAGCTGATGGAGATCCACATCGAAGCGCGAGTCGCCGAAAAGCTCCGAGAACTCCACGAGAACGAAGCCGCCGCCCTAAAGGAGGCGCGAGAGAAGGTCTCCCTCGAGGACCTGCCCGCCGACGAGACGTTGACGAGCCACAAGGTATCCAAGGAGGTCGAGGCGCTGCGTGCGCGTCTGGAGGGCAGGAAGAAGATCAAGGATCTTCCGGAGGGCGTGGAGACGGCCCGGAATAATGTTATACGGTGCTTGAGGGATAATGATAGGAAGCCGCTTAACTGCTGGAAGGAGGTCGAGGCCTTTAAGGACGAGGTGAGGCAGCTTGAGAAGGGTTGGGTGGAGAAGACCGCCTCGTGAGGCTAGGACTTGGACGAGAGCTCGAATGCAAAAAAAAAAAAAAAAAAAAGTGATTCACTACCGAGAAGGAACTGGGCATCGTCGGTCATGCCATGTAAGACTACTGCCATGGGGATCCATGGCATATTCCAAAGAAGAAAAGAGTGTATAGACGGCTGGGTATAAATGAAAATCATAGTTTCGAATTTCTCTGTATTTTGGTCTCCCTAGTTATAGCCCTAAATCTGTAAAAAGGTCCGCGGTGCCCTCGGCCCCGTCTGGATGGCCGTCTCTATTCTGGAGTTGTTCCGCCTTCTTCAATTCTTCTCTTCGCTTCAAACCCTCAGCCCTTTTACGAGCTCTCCGCGCCTCGCTATCCTCCCACCCTTCCGGTTTCTCTCGGCCCGACTTACGATTCGCAATGAGATTTTCGAATCCCGAACGAAACCTCTCTATCCTCTTCTTGTTCTCCACGAACCTAGTATTGGCAAGGTCTACAAGAGTCTCCAGATAAGACGTAGACACCATAGACTGCCGTTTCCCCTTGACCTGGAAGCCAATCAGCGACTCAAAACCCAGCCCCATCGTGCGGATGGCGACTATCGGGATGACGTCCGACTCTCCGGCCGCACTGGTTACGTTTATCACGCCGCTTTCCCGGAATCCCGCCTGTTGTGCGCAGCGTAAGAGGGCTTGCGCGTGCTCTAGGGAGGCTGAAAGGACGTGGAGGATCTACAACAGGTCAGTAAAACTTCTTTCGTATGTAACGGAAGCATTTCTCCAAACTCCATAGCCCCTCCATGGTCAACGAAGTGCGCAGTTAAACCACGAACGGTTCTCTGCTGTCGCCCTTGCTTGGTTTTCTCCTTCTTCTTTTGTTTAATTTCACTACGCATACCATTGGCTCGAATTTGAAGTGGATGAACCTCTTCTCCTCATCACGCGCAGACTCGCCATCATCGCCATTTAGGCCGAACACGGCTTCCCAGTCTCTCCCAGGAGACGTATTCGCGAAAGGGTCATGCGAAACGTACAACCACGTTCCCCCACCTCCCTTCCCGCCAACCCCAGCAACGGTACTGCCCTCTCCACTTCCCGCCTCCGGACGCACCCTACTCCCCTCGAGGAAGACGCTAGCGCGTCCCGCGCAGCTGCTCGTCGTGACGAAGCCCTCTACGGCATTGACCTCATCGATCACGTCAATCAGGGCCTCATCGACCGAGCCCTTGGGGGATAGGTCCGTGTACTCTTCGGGAGGAAGCTGAAGCTGCGCAATGATTTTGGCCTTCTTCTCGCTGAACGTTGGTGGGGGTGGGGGGAAGTCGGGCATTGGTAGGCTAAAAAAAATGAAAGGTGGGCGGCGGGGAGGAGAGTTGACGTAAGAAAATGACGTTCCGCTGCAAAGAGAGTGGCAGGACAGGAGACAGCCGAGAATCGGAGACTCGAAAGAGAAGAAAGGGTCACGATGGGAATTAAAAAAAGAAGATGGGATTGGGGTCAACAGAGTTGGAAACAATCAGATATCGTGGTCACTGGGCGAGAAGCGATTACTTTAGCGATATCACCGTTTAGGTAGGCGATCACGTGATCGTTGCAAGTCCACTCCGCTCCCCAACTCATCCCAGACGCTCCTCATCACACATCTAAACCAACCCCTCCCACTGCTCTGCTCACAAAGCCAGACAACAATAAGTGATAGTGCACACTTTCAGAGTCTTGAAACGTTCCGGCCCGCCTACTCAAGTGATCGGTCTGCATTGCGGGATGAAAAAGTGTTTGGCACCCAACCTGGATTGTGGAGTCGCACTCCAGAGAGAATCTCCGAATCATAGATTCCGTTCGGCGGGATGAACCCTCTCTTGATGTGACGGGGTTTGGCGCACCATGTGTCCCTCACCGGCTATCTTGCACATTAGTAGTTCAAATTTTTGAAATATAGCCGCTTTCTTGTTCGGTCGGAGGGCCGGCCTGCACCTCAGGAAGAGCCGGAAAAGCCTCTCACTCTCACTGGCATTTCGAACAGTCTGCATGTCCCACAAGGGCACACGAGACGCGGATGTTGACCCAAAGCCGCATCAAGTTCTTCGGACTATGCATACCTCCAGAGCCAGAATAGATGGTCATACCTCCTCGATAGGACCTGTCCCACCTAGCCGTAGGCACGCATAGGGCGTCTCAAGTCCTAAGATGTTGTTAGTGAGAGCGCACCAGTCGCTGACGTCAGTCAAGATTGGCCTTGGCTGGCCTGGCCAAATGTAAGGGCCGTTGCCGTGTGGAAAGGTCCAATCGTCAAGTTCTTGTTGTGAAGTGTGAAGGTGGAATTCGTGAGAATGAAAAGAACAATTTCTCGAGTATACGGAAAGACTCGTTTAAACTTATAGATCCATGGGATTATTGAATAAAGCCGAAGTCGTGATCTTCGTTTGTTCACGTTTGAATTCCACGAAGGACCAAAAGAAGTCTTCTCGATAGGGCCAGATGTTGTTGTTGGTGGCAAAATATTCACACTGTCTAAATGATAATTAGCTTGCTGTGTTTTCAAACACTTCTCTAACAAAAGCTCCGTGTGAATAGTGGCCGTCGAAACCCGTCGATCCGGGCTCAAGTGAGGGGAGGAGCAGAGGAAGAACCCCCGGTCACGCATCCCCGAAGAAGAAACGACATCACCAGACCTCTTCCGGACGGGAAACCGTGCCAACTTTTGCAATCTTTTATTATTTTGAAAAATATAGGCAAGTACGAAGACTGTCCCGCTTCATGACGCCTCTAACAGATGCTAATGATTTGATTGCCCTTCCTCCTAGACAAAAAGAAAGGAAAAATGAAGAGATATCAATCCGAAAGTCCATTTGATGACCCTAATTTTAGAAAATGCCCATCTGCGCCAGCATGCAAAGAAAAGACCAGATTATCCAAAGAAATGATTCATCGCCTCATTAACCACCGCCGCTCGTAATCGCCCTCATCACCTAAGCCACGACTGCGCGTGCGTTCCTCTGCATTTCCTCGAGGTACTGAGCATACCGCGACTTCTTATTGTGAATGCCGCACTCAGTCTTCTCCTGGCCCTTCCATCGTCCGGCGCGCTCATCCTCACCTTCGCCCACGGGGCTAGTCGAGTGCCAATCACCGACCGACTTGTAGCCCCTATCGAGAAGGGCGTTGTACGGGACATTGTTCTCCTTGATGTAGTCGTGCACCTGGTTGAAGGACCAGCTCACCATGGGGTTGATCTTGATGATGCCCGTCTCCTCGTCCAGTTCGATGACGGGGATCTTCTGGCGGGAACCGCCCTGGGAGCGGCGGCGACCGGTGAGGATGGCCTTGACGCCGAGCTCGGCGTAGGCGCGCTGGAGGGGCTCGACCTTGGCAATCCAATCGTACATCTCGGATGCTGTCTCGTACACCTTCTCGCCGTATAGAGACTTGAACTCTTCGACGGTCTGCGCGCCGTGGGGCTTGAAGATGTGGACTTTTACCGAATATCGTTGTTGGATCTTCTCGACGAGGTCGTACGTCTCCTGGAAGTGGTAGAGGGTGTCGAGGAAGATGAGGTCGATCTTGGGGGATTCCGGCCAGTCCTTCTGGATCTTGGATAGCATGTCGATTGTGGCAAGGCCGGTCAGGCCGAAGGCGGTGGATTGGTATACATTAGGGAAGAGGATCTTGGTGAATCGGAGGATCTCCACGGGGCTCATCTTCTCGAGCTGATCGTTGAGGAAGTCGAGATATGGCCCGGTAAGAGTTACTGCAGGGGCAGGGGATGCCTTGGCCTTGGAGGAGGCTTCGTACTCGGATGTGGACGACACATATCCGGACTCGACCTCGGAGTCATGGGAATCCATCTTCGTGGTGGTGGTGGTATCAAGAGACTCGCTGGGTGCAGGAAGGGCCGTCTCAGAAACGGTACTTTCAGTCTGGGAGGTGAGTTCGGAGTTGGAGGGGGTCACGAGAGATATCTCGACGGCGGTCTGGGTAGATGTGAGGGTCGCCATGTTTTACAGGGGTTGAGGGGTAGGGGCTTTGGTGAGATATATAAGAGGCGTTGAGGCGTGTAAGAAGACTGGGGTAAAGATTAAAGGATCTGCTATGGAGGAAATATCTTCACTAATAACGCAGCTCTGCGGGTTGAAAGTGTCTTGATGAATACCAGGCAGGTCAGGAAACGCAATGATCGAGCCAAAACCAACGTTGTCGAGGGGATGACGAGGATCTAAGTGTGCTTTTGAGAGAATGGAGGGGACGGAGAGAGGCCGGGATGTTTTCTCTTAAAGGCGGTAGTCGATCACGCAATAGCAGTCCTCTTCCGAGAAAGCAAGTGGCACACTTTGGGGGTATGGACTTACACGCCAGTGAGATATGGATCCTTGGCCCACACCTCCAGTCATCCACTTATACCACTTACACTACCTAAGGCTGGTGGTACAGTACATCAGACGCCATGCTACACCTCCGGGTTTTCTTGAGGGAAATGAAGGTTTGAATCAATGCCCCATTCTCCCTCAATTACATGCATAGAACATCATCGATGTACCATTGACCGTGCCAAAGGTGAAATACGAGGTAGAGAGGAGGCATTGGGTCCTTCTTTGCTCGACCTGCCGCTGTTTCTCGAACTCGACCCTTAACACCCGTTGATCGTGTCGATGGCAGCTGTCGATTTCACCTACACATATCTGATACAGGGGCTCAACCCGATTTGAGCTGACCCTTCTAGGCAGATCCATGAGGTATCCAGTCTACGTCTACCTAGCATTACTAATGAACCAAACTTTTCTTCTTTTTTTACGCTTTTTTGCGGGAATAGGCAGGCGTAATGGGCACAAAATCTCTTACACCGGCCCGTAGTGAGGTTTGCTTGTAGGTCATCGATGTGGTTATAAACCCCAGAAATCACGACATCGGCGCTAGTCCTTTCGTGATCGAAGCGAAGAATTTTCATTGGCCGGCCGCTCTTTCTTCCCGATAGCCGTATGGGGTATACAGGTTTCTCCGAAGTACTACGGCCTATGTTTAGCGGCGGCACCAAACCCAAAATACCGCAAAACTACATAGATGTACATGGCGCTTCACGTACCCCTGAAATAACTCGTCGAACGGATTTAGCCCTTCTTTTTGATGCTGAGAGAAGAACAGAAGAACTAAAGGCTGTGGGCGAGTGCTTCCCAGCAAGGCAGTCCGCATGTTTGGAAGAGTTCGCCGAGTTGAGCAGTAATATGCCGTAGGAAAAAAAAATCCGTTACCAGGCTCCTGGTAATGGGGGAGTTTTCGATCGCGTTGGGCTGCCGAATTGGAACATTGAAATTCTATGACGCGCTTCAGCCTCATCTTGTTATTCGTGGCGTAAGTGACGACAGCTCTTGGCCTGGTGAGACTTATCCACAATCCACCGCGCCTCCCGGCCTTACCAATCAAACGCCGTTAGGGTTGTACGTTGGCATCTTTTAGTCTCCTCATACGAATGGACGCTTCTTTGAAAAAAACTTGCAAAAAAGTGCCGGAGAGGGGGGGCAAGGGATATTACCATCCGTTCAGTCTCCTAACGGCAGGCCCCCCCGCAGTGATTTAACTCCTCAACCAAAGGTTGGTACAACACGACTGGTCCATCGAGGTCATGAAGTCTGTATAATGGCCTCTTCTCCGACCAATCTGCTTCAAGACATAAAAATATCCCAGTACGGAGGATCCGACCATGGGAAGGGGGCAGTGGTCGTGGGAAGGCACTTACACGTTGACGGCCAAGGACGCACCTTATTCCGGCTCTCGCAGCCCGACCGAGTTCCTTGACATCCGAAGTCCCTGACACCCTGCGCGCGTAGCGGCGGCTCCGAGTCCCGGAGCGAAGTCCGATGTGAGGGGGGTGTGTTGTTGCCCACCCCTCGTGTGGTCTTGGTTTGGGAACGCACGACCGAGGCTCTAATATCAAGAAGCCAAGCCAAACCATATTTACCAGCAACTACCTCCCAGGTTCGAGCAAGTTGGACCTGATAGCTACTTGTGAGAGGAACAGCTCCTCAAGTGTAAACCAAATTATTGTAGAACATTACCTGCCCGGGCTTAGAAATCCCTTCAGAACGGTATTCGATTATTATGGTATCAGTCTTGCCACACTTCTTCTACTCAGCGGTATGGGTATGGGTGCCTTGACATTGCCTACCGTATAATCCCGCACGGGACCCCACGGATAGGTCGTTGACACACCCCCCCTACCCTAACCATAAACCAGCTATCACCCCTGGTTCCATTATTTTCTGATTTCTCATCATTCTGCAGCGTCCTTGAACGCACGTTTCCTTGGCCTTATCCAAAATGCGACCTCTATCGAACGAAGTCTGGAAACGCCACTGCAAGTGGGCTATTGCATGGCTGTGCATATATAAAACTTTGCTATGTGAATTTTCTGCTGGGTAGCCTATTTCTCGAGGTTCGAAGTACTGTACTTTGGGGAGGGGATGCGTGGGGCCGTGTGGACTATTCCGAACTCGCAGGAGATTCGGCGAGTGTCGTGCGATCTACGATGGGGGCTGTCTTTGTTGATTTGTTAGTCCTTGCGTGCTGAGAACGATGTGACTGTAGATAGTGGATTTCCATTTCGTTGGGTTCTATCGTAAGAGATTGGGCCTTGCTTTCCTTTATTCTCATCGAGCGGAGTGCTGGCATTGCTTCTGTAAATTCTGGGCGAAGTAAGGTCCGGCATAGAGAGGCCATTTAGACTGCAATATTACGAGAGACATTGCATATCGACAGACTCTATTTGACACCAGGCGGTGCTCTTGTAGGATTTCAGCAGTGGTACTAAAAGGGCCTGATGAGAAAAAGAAATATCCACCAATGTATTCGGAGAGACTCCTCAAGCAAAGGGTTGCAGTCATGGGCCAGGCGAGAGGGCTTCGGTATACATACTACCTGCCTAAGCAAGCTCTATTCGTCGTTTTGTGGCCCCGGGTATCCCGAAGACAATGGCTAGATTTTCGGCGTACGTTTTTAAGCGCCTTCTAGTGATTACTCTAGAGGAACGGCATGGCTTCCGCGCTCAAGACAGAGGGCTTGGGGATGATCGGAGGGGAGTGATGCATTCGTAACGTAATACTCTGCGAAGAGTGTTTCGGCTTGCCCTACAACAAAGCTTTACATCGATGATCGACCCCGATGAGCACCTCGAGAAAACCGTTCTTCACAAACCCACCAGATGGCTTTGTAGACATCTTCAATAGTCACCTAGCGCGTTATTCGAGCTTCTTTCCATTTCTCATCATCCCCATGGTTATCCCACTCAAGGGGTTTGGCGGGCTTCTTTGCCGCTGTATCCAGTCTCCGGAATAGACAGAACTTAGAAATGAGATTCCATTGTCGTCGAGATGCTGGATTTGTAACTGAACTCAATCGGGTCGATACTTCTCGGGAGTAAGCAGAAGTGATGATTCGGTCCGGCTATTCGTTATAATTGATCTTCATTGTGAAATTGAACAGATGACGACGGAAGCCCATATTACTCAGACAACCAATTATAAATCCTCGTGGCGATATGAAGGGCTCCAAGGTTGTTTCGGTGTGTGTTCGTTGCCCTCGGTTTGAGATTCTCATCTCGGTCAGGCACGGGCCAGCGGGTCCCGGTCATCGGGCGGCTGCGCCGGCGAGTGTGCCCCGGCTGTGAGCCGGAAACAAATCGTCATGGATGAGAGATCGAACATCTCCTGTGAGGGCACCGAGGTATTTGAACTTTCATCCATCTCATATAGATACATCATTGAAAGTATCACACTTTCTAGTGACTATAGAGAGCGGGCAAGGTTGGTGGAAGTAGAGCTGGCGCTGCTCGATCGTGGAGGATTCGGGTACAGTCTACGAAGTATTAAGAGCACAAGAGTGTAATGTTGGTTTCTCACATGCGCATGTTGTGGCGATGAGTTTATTGATCCATCGATTTATTTCCTCAATGCTTTTTTTCCCTCTTGTGCCAGTCCGATGTTCTCCCTGGTCCGACCAGTTCCTTGGCAACGGAGAATTTTAACCCCTCATGTTCTCAGTCCAAACTACGCATGAACGGACTCGGGGATAACGTTGTTGCTTGTTGGTCTCTCTTTCAAATTTGTTGCATCTTGTATAATTTACGCCGGTATTTTTGTATATTTTGTACAGAAACAAGCCTACGTGGCTCGTATCGAATTGTTCTCCGTCGTGTTCCTATTTCGTGCCTTGTTGAGGAAGCTCCGATTCCGTCATTGCCACTCATCAAAATCAATTGATCTTTTTGCCCCGCAGATTCAAGAAATTCCGTGCCCCTCATTCATTCATTGTTCCCCCCCACCACCAACCCAACACAACAACCCCTCAGCATCCAACCACAATCACAATGGGCAGCCAGACAGGAAGCCCTTCGAGCTCATCGAAGGCGGGATCGGCCCGGCCGCAACTCACCTCTGAGATGCGAAGCAGCTCCTTCCTGCGCGAGCACCAGCAGTACCGCCCGCCCAAGAGCCCGGACACCCACTACGGCATCGACACCGTGGTCGAGGACATCAAACCCCTGTCCGTCTCTTCGCCCCAGAAGCCCTACGTTCCATTCAAGGGCATCCCATCCGAAGAGAACCCGCCGACCATCATCGAGGGCGTCAGTCATGACCTGAGCCATCAGATTTGCGCGCCGCTGCCCGGCAAGAAGACGAGTCGCTTGATTGCGACTCTGTTCTATAAGAGGCATCCTGACGGTCCCGGCGGGAGCCCCATCATTCCGGCTCACCCGACGGCGGCTCAGCTCGCGAGCTCGGCCGCTTCCATCTCGTCTCAGACTTCCCAGGAGATCCCCGCCAACCTGGCCCCGACGAACGATCCCGAGAAATTCCCCCTCGAGCCCCCGGCCACCGTGGAGCCGGAGCACCTCGACCACCTCTATGGCTCCTACATCTCTCCGCTGTGCATCACCTCCTTCCTACATCTCATGTCGACTTTCCCCCTCGCTTCGGGGGAGAACGAGGTCCACTCGTCGCATCGCTGTCTTGATAACCCGGAACACCCGCGCATTGTCGAACTCACTCTCTCGCCAATTCCTTCCCCCGACTATCTAAGCCTCGCCGATTTGCGAAAGCACGAAATGATTTACCGCTTCGAGCGCGAATGGAATGTCGAGGTCATACTGCAGCACGACACCCTCTGGAGACGGTACCCGAGGCTCGTCGTCTTCGACATGGATAGCACCCTCATCACGCAGGAGGTCATTGATCTCCTAGCCGCCACGATCAAGGACCCTCCGGACCTGGCGGACCGCGTCGCTGACATTACGCACCGCGCTATGATGGGCGAGCTCGAGTTCGGCGGCGCTTTCAGGGAACGGGTCAAACTTCTCACGGGTCTTCCGGCGGATTTCTTCACCGAGCTGCGTGCCGTCCTTGATGTCACTAACGGCGTGCGGCCGTTGATCAAGGCTCTGAAGCGGCTAGGTGTTAGGACGGCCGTGCTGTCGGGCGGTTTCTTGCCCTTGACCTCGTGGCTCGCTGGCGAGCTTGGCATCGATCACGCCCATGCCAACGAGGTCGTTATCGATGAGGTGACTAATAAGTTGACGGGCGAGGTGAAGGGTATCATTGTCGGCAAGGAGAGGAAGCAGGAACTGCTGCTCCAGATTGCGAAAGAGGAGGGAGTTGATCTGTCCCAGGTCATTGCTGTTGGTGACGGCGCGAATGACTTACTCATGATGGCTTCTGCTGGTCTCGGCGTTGCGTGGAACGCGAAGCCCCTGGTGCAGATGGAGGCTGCGGCGAGGTTGAATGGCGATAGCTTGCTTGATTTGCTGTATCTCTTTGGATTTACCTCGGAGGAGATTGCGTTGCTGACTGAGTAAGCGGGGAGAGAGCGAGAGGGCGGCGAGACAGAACCGTCGTTGTTGGAAGATATCTTACGCTGTTATTTGTCCCTGTGATACCAGTCTCACTGCATGGTGCCACAACGAAGAGAGACGATTTACTTGTTTTGCAAATAGCTTGCCACCATAGAATGCGATTCATAGATATCAAGGTAGAGCTTGGGAAAGGAGGGACAGAACTATAAGGGAGCTAGCGAAGCACATTGGTTAAAGCACCGGGGATTAATGAAGGCTTCCGAGGAAATCAAGCATCACCACTTAGGCGTCGTCGATGTGTATATAGTAAATGTCCGCTTGTATAATCTGTTTAACCCAAAATGCTCACTCCATTCGTCTATGTATGTACACTAGGGGAGCCCGTTGGATCCTTTGCAAAACCCCCGAGGTTCAGTCTCTATTTGTCCGACCCAAGTCCCAAGGTCAAAAAAGTTGTTAGAAGGCTCCCGGATCTATCTAAACTGGGAATTTAAGGGTATCCCTCCTTGCCCCACTTGTTGAGCCTGTCGTGGACATCCTGTTGTATCGATCTCAATTAGCACGCTTTCCTTCTTATATTTGTCGTCGGGAACTGGCGGGAGCACATACCTTGGGGAGGGTAACGGAGGGAAGGACGACAGCGTTGAGAGCGCTGGGCGCCTCCTTGCCGACCTTGTGCTTGGCGAGGGTCTCCTCCTCCCAAGGGTTCTCTTGAGCGGCGTTCTTGGTGTTGCCTACACGGAATGGGACAATGGATTAGCCTATGTGTTCTTGTCCATAATGGAGGGTTCTCGGTTGCGGTAAAGCTCTTGCGCGGGCTCTCTCGAAGTCGAATGGGAGGGAAAAAGTTGGGGATTGTAACGTACGGAAGTAGGTCGCAGCGCCGACGAAAGCAACGGCGACACCAGCACCGAGAATCTACAATATATCCCCAAAACACGTCAGTCCTTCATTCACTCCTATATCCATCATGTTTTTCCAAGAAACCTAGCACGAGGATGGTATGGCTATATGACGCACGAGAGGGGTGTTGCTGCCGGAGCGGCTGGCAGCCTTCTCCTCACCGCTGAGGCGGCGGGCAGTGGTGGAAAAGAGTCGTCGGGAGGCGATCGAGGACATTTTCGTCGGTTTGTTTGGCGGGTTTGGAGGAGTTTTCGGGGTGGATTGGAGGTTCAATGGGTTGGAGTTTGGGTGAGAGAAGGGTTAATTCTGGGGTGAAGCTATCTCGTATGATTATGTTTTGCTGCGAGGTTCCCGTTTTCTTCCTGTTGAATCACGTGGTTGGGTGGTACGGTGCGGTCCCCAACCCGAGGAGAACCGGAAGTACCTCGCCAGCATCTCCGGCGGGAGTCTGGAGAGCACGACAGTTTGGGGTCCTTTGGCTTGGACTTTGCACTTGCATAGGGAAGTACTCTGTACAGTACTCTGTACGACGGTATGCGTATACAGGAGTCTCGGTCTAGCTCTATCAAGATGAGAGCTTCGTCGTGGCACCACCACGCGATTGCGTGCAAGATACCCAGTCTCTTCCATCATCGATGTACACTCTCTTGTCGCATTTTTGTTCTCCAGCTGTTATCTTGCATTCCGGGATTATAAGACTACAAGAGATTGGCTCTTTTAACAGCTTCTAGCAATTGAGGGAATGCTCTTATACAGAGGTAATTAGACTCGGATTGCACAATCTTGACTCTTTCTCTCGCAGCTTGGTCATGAGAACTTGATTGCATCAATTGATTCTCAATTGGCTTCTCAGCCTGGGCCAATGAAATTCTTGGTGTTTTCATCATCGCTGCAGCTCTGAGTCTCAGTAGGGCTGTCTGCCAGGTGTCCTGTCGGCCAGCCGGGCCGTCAAATGGAAATTGAACCAGGCAATTCTCTTTTGGTCAAGCCAAACTTGTCGATCGGTCTGCGAAAGTCCACGTCTCTCAGAGGAGTACTTCGTAATTACGTAAGCGTGGGCGATCTCGGACAATAGCCAGCAGCAATGGAGGAAGGAGTCAACTGCTGCATGCAAAATGACTTGATCAATTGCAGCATCTCGCGGTCAACCTCAACTCCTATTGGAAGCAGCACAGCTCACAAAGGTGAAAGCCAAGGCGCGTGCATGTCCAATTGTCCTTGAATGTCCCCCACGAACACGGATTGCGAAATGCCCATGAAGAATCCTCGTACTTCGAGATCGACTCGTATTCTTAAAAGAGCGTGTCTCGACTATTGATATTGATAGAGAGAATATTAATACATTAGAAATCCTCTGTGGCCAAAGCCCGGTTTGGGGTGGCTGCCCAGTAAAATAGCAGGGCTGGCGTTTAAGAGCAATTTCACCTTGTCATGCCGTCCAGTCTTGGTTTGTTCGTGGTGTCTTTGGTGGTCTTGCTCTCCCTCTCCGATTCTACCCCCTTTGTGACCTCGCTTCGTGTTGGCATGGGGGACTCGAGTTTCCCATCGTCACTCAGCAGCCAGCACGCACTTCGCCAGCGCTTTGGCCCTTGATCATCCTACCCATCCCTTCGTTACGTGCCCATCCCATTTCCCCCCCTCCCTCCTGTATTTGTGTGTCTTGTCTGTCCCTCCTTTTTTTTCATCACCCGGGTGTTGCCCGTCGATCCTACGACTCGACCAGTCCAAATAATAATTTCACTTTCTTCGATTCCGTTTCTACCAGAACCATATTTTCCGGCCTGCCGCTCCTTTCACCTGAACCCGCCGCATCCAGCCATTTTCATCCCTCCTTTTTACCTGTTTCATCACCCGCTCAAACTCTGGTTCTTCGACCACTATAACCAACGTTTGACGGTGTCGAAACTTTGGTTCCGCGTTCAACCACCCTCATTTGCCCTTTCGATTTCTCCGCCGACGTCGACGCTCCTTATCTCGCATTTTCCCCTAATTCCCACCTTTAGTTCTTCGCGTATATCTCTTCGAGAAAGAAAACCGCTGGTCGCAGCCATTTCTCGCATTCACAACAAAATCTAATCTCGCGACGACCTGCAATGCTTTAAGAGACGCGACGACCCAAATCAGAGAAAAGAAAATAGAGCGATTCGTAACCCCCACGGATTCCACAGACACCGACACCGAGAATCGAATCGATCAAAATGGCATCCCAAAGCCCACCCCGGATGGGGTCCCCAACACAAAACGAGGACGGATTTCGAGAAGTACCCGCGAGACCCCCGAGTATAGTGTCCTCGCGGATGACGGATATTGCATCAGACGACGGAGAGGAGCCGCATTTTCAGTCGACACGCCCCGCTCAACGACGGAGTCTTGTACCCTCAGAGTCGCGACCAGGAACAGCCAGGACAGGCGTCTCATCGAAAGGCAGCCGGCCTCATCCCCAGCCGCTCAGAAATAATTATCTCTCGGGCGTTGCAGCTCAGCGGGGCAGTGTTGGAGCGGGCAGTATTACGAGCTCGATTGGAAGGACGCCGAGCACGAAAAGCCGAAGCCATGTTCCTTCTCTAACCTCTCACGCATTCTTCCGTCCCATGAGCTCTCAGAAACTTCAAGCCCAGCGAGGCGGGCCCCGGCCCTCGGCGATAGCGAGACAAGCAGAGTCGGCACAGGATCCGAGCAGCACCGCACCGAGCAACCTCCAACAAAGCCCGACCTCCCCTCCCCCACGACCCTTAGGTTTAGGCGAACCACGCAGCGAAGATGGTTCTTTCAATGCACCACCATCCCCCGGTACTGAGGTGACCGGCCACGAAACTTTGGATAGGACGGCGAATACTAGTCCGACTCAGGGCCACCATACCGCGCATGGAAGCATATCGGAGAGCATGCGGCCACTTCAAAAGAAGAAATTCGAAAACCAAAACCTAAACATTACTGTGGATAAAAGTTACGCAGAGAGGTCTTCAGCCATCGCCGGGGTCCTCAAATCCCCTCGTTCGTTCCGCTCAAGCTTCTTGCTCCCTGGCAATATCAGCGATCGTGCGCAAAGTTCAGCGAACCGAGACCTCGAGGGGGCTGAGAAACTATCATCAGGGGCATCGACACCGCATCCGGAATCCGTCCACCGCGGAGCAACCCCGAACAAGGCCAAGAGTCCTCAACCTCAACCGCCCCGCATCGGAAAGGTATTCGAATACTTCGAGGGAAATACCGTTTTCTGTCTAGGTGGAAGATGGCAGAATTCGAGGCAACGGCCGGTAAATGTTGCGACTGGGCTTATGGTCGTTGTGCCTGCTGTGCTTTTCTTCGTCTTTTCGGCCGATTACCTTTGGCATGAGGTCTCTCCAGCCATTCCCATTACTTTCGGTTACTTGTTTTATATCTGCATCTCGTCCTTTATTCACGCATCCGTGACTGACCCCGGGGTATGTTTTTTTCTCTTATGTTTTCATAAGAATGTTCGTGTTTGCTGAGATAATTTGCTAGATTCTCCCACGAAATCTTCACCGATTCCCACCTCCCGAAGACGACGATCCACTCCGAATAGGTCCTCCGACGACCGACTGGTACCTCATTCGATCGGCAGACAAGTCGTCTGCCGCCATGGAAGTCCCTGTTTGGCATTGCCGCACCTGCCACATCTGGCGACCGCCTCGTGCCCACCACTGCAGGCTCTGCGATAATTGCGTTGAGACGCAAGACCATCATTGCGTGTGGCTTAACAACTGCGTTGGACGCCGAAACTACCGATACTTCTTCACCTTTGTTAGCACAACGACGCTTCTCGCCGCCTATCTCATCGGGGCCTGTCTTGCCCAAGTCCTGATCTATCGGGCCCGGGAAGGAATATTGTTCAGCGAAGCTGTGAGCCACTTCCGGGTCCCGTTCGCCATGGTGATTTACGGAGTCGTTGGTCTGCTCTACCCGCTCGCCTTGATGGGTTACCACATCTTCCTCATGGCCCGCGGCGAGACGACACGAGAGTACATCAACTCGCACAAATTCGTCAAGACCGAGCGTTACAGGGCTTTCAACCAGAGGAACTGGATCAAGAACTGGATAGTTGTCCTCTGCCGGCCAAGGCCGCCGACCTACTATAAGTTCAAGAGCAAGCATTCCTTCGGTGACCAACGGCTTAGCGAGCATCGTGGTCGGAGAGCTCGCAAGGATGCTACCCAGGCTATGGAGATGGAGGCCGTCAAGCCGGCGTCTTCAGGCTTCCAGGGTCCTGTCTCGCTCAGGAGTCAGCGGAGTCAACAGCTGAACAACTAGGCGTGCCATTTCGAATACACTTTCTTTTCTGCGAGCCGTCTTCATCATTCTTGACACATCGCGCGCTCTTGTTTTCTTATGTCTTCTTCTTTTTCTATCTTCTTTTATCGTGTCCTCACTTGTAGCGGCGCCTGGCGGAGTCTCGTGGCACTCGTCTTCTACTTTTCTCACGTACCGATATATTACATTCAGCTTCACAAGCGGAGACCTCAGTGGTCATTCTTGATGCGTCAAGTTACTACTACCTACCCACTACTTACTTAATGTGTTGTCACTCTCTTGCAGAGCTTTCTCTCTTATTTTGTCTCCCTATTTCCCCAACTTTATATATACCCACATCTTCGATACACTACCGACTTTTTCGATTTTTATTCTTCTCTACTTCTTATCTGTTCTTTATGTTTCGACGATGTTCTTTTTTCAAGTTTCTGGAAGGAGGGGAAAAAGAGGAATGTTATAAGCTGGACAGAAAAAAGCGGCCATGTATTCTAAGGATAAGACACCGCAGCAGTTGGAAGTCTGCGTGAGAAATAAAGAGCGTTCTTGATAAGCTTCTCGATCCTGGTCGAGCCGGGTCGTTCATTGTACTTGAAACTGTTATCGCTTTTTTTCTCTCCCTGGAAGTTTCATAGAACTTGTTGAGGATGATTCGTGTGTTTGGCATGGTATGGGCAGCACTTGAGTCTTCGAGAAGAGGTCTAGAGGGAAGGCAGAAAGACCGGGAAGTCCTAGATGCCTACATAGCTCAAGGTATTTAGAGCCCCTCCTTCGTCTCGAATGGCCAAATTGACTAAAGCTCGCAGTCAGAGAACACATCGGAGAATACCGTGACGGCAACGAAGCAAACTTCCAGTATGGCCGCCTCGTGGATGAGCACATCGCCTAGGCCGGTGCCGCTTCGATCTATAACACTTATTCCCGATCCTAAGGCACCAATCTACAAAGGAATCAACCAATCTATCGCTACCACACAGATACAACAGAACGTTCATTGGGTTAGCAAAAAGAAAAGTCGCGAGATCTTCCGCGTAAGCCTGGTAAAAGGCTTCAGAGGCATCTGGGCCCGGGATTTCACCATCGGCACGAGCCCGACTTGCGATCTCGTCCTGCCGGAGCTGCCCTATGTCGATGACCTTCACTGCATATTGCGGCTAGATCGACCCTGGAGGCTCATCCTCCAGGACGTTTCGAAGTACGGCACAGAAGTGACGTATAACGGAGAAGGACGACACCCTTTTCCCCGGAAAGGCGGGAGGTGGATCGTGGGCGGCGATCCCAACCTTGAGAACTTTAAGATCACTATCGAGATCACCAACTACCTTCGGTTTCGGCTGGAGACGAACTACGGCCTGGTGGCCCGAGACGATCTGTCCCTGATCGCTAGAACCCACGGTATGGCGGATGTGTCGGAATTCTTCTACGACGGGACATTTACTGCCACTCTACCGCAGCCGGACAGAAGCATGGGGATCTTGCTGCGGGTGGAAGACATTGGTTCCGGCGAGTCTTCGAAGGTGACGAAAGGTTGGGATGTTAGCACCGGGGCTATGTATGCGATCAAGGAGCCGGCGAGAGAGCCGAAGGATGATCCCAATTTCGACAAAGAGAAATGGAGGCGGGAGATCAACACCATGTCCACCATCTGGAAGACGCGGGCGCATGGACAGCAAGGTATGCGTGAGCGGCGGCGGGTCATTATTCAGCTCATCTGGGCCAGCTCTCCTGAACACCCTATTCTTATTTACGAATACTCCCCCTTCGGTACGGTCAAAGACCAACACGCCAAAAGACGCATGAGCCTGCCTGAGACTGAGCGTATCTTCTCCCAGTGCCTTCAAGCAGTGGAATTTTTGGACGAGGTAGTGGATTTGCAACATGGGGATATAAGACCGGAGCATATACTTGTCATGCGACGTCCTTTCTCCCGGTACGACGACGACATCCAGGTCAAACTCATAGGCTTTGGGGAGGCCGGGAACCCAACCCGTTACTTCCGGGGCGAGCTCGAATGGGACGTCTACCGCTGGCCGCCGGCATGGTCTTCCAATAAAGGATTCACGCGTGCGACTGCGGATATATGGTCGGCCGCTATGGTAGCACTGGAGATGGTAAATCCATCATTACTTCCTCAGAGTGAGCGTGATTGCACAACTCTAAAGCGTCGGGTCCTTCGGGCTAGTTTCGACTCCAACCAAAGTACACAAGAGGTCTTGGCGATCCTATTGCGATGGATACCAGGCGGATGATGCGTCGCCATTGGGAGTTTCCATTGGCTTGATAGAGGCCCTGACACCTCATCCCATGTCGTTTGGACACACGAGGATACTAGTTTCAGATAGTTAGAGTGAATCCCTTCCAACAGAGAAATCAACCCCGCAACTACCTTCCCTCCCTTTCGTCTTCTCCCAAACTCCCATCCGGCGATGCCCAAGCCATCATTCCGTAGACAGCAGAGCCGGGGCAAAGTGTTCTCTCTTTCACGCAGGCCGACCTAAAAATCCTAGAGCAGTGGATCGCAGGTAGTCTCCTCCCTATGCCTCCCCCTAAGCTCATCCTATCCTTGGATCAACGACCTGCTAAAAAAACCGTCAATCTCCGCGTTGCAATTCACGGGAGGAAGATATACGGCAGCCAAAGTCACTGTGCTGCATCATTTTCGCGTAAACATAGTCAAGACTTAACGAAGGGTCAAGGGCTATTCCCAACGAGATCCCCTCTAGAAAAGAGACATCGCGTCTAAGTTCCCAGATAAGCTGGGGCACATCGCCCAGAGGTATTCCGGAAGGAAGTTATACCCGCATATACTTCCCCAGGGCTGGAGGTATGTAAGATGTGGGGCATAATCATCAAGGTTATATCCGAATGCCTCCCGGGAGAGTTCTTTGTTTCTTGCTTTCTTGTCGGCACTCACTAGATGTGACTATAACTGGCTTCCTACACTTGATATTCATTCAGAGCTGCTGTCTCCTAGTCTGTAGATGACGCGGAATAGCTTCCTTCGAGCACATCGATAGACGCCACATTGACGAGATTTGGCGATAACTGGACGCCGATGCCCGTAAATGGCGGGCACTAAAGAGAGCTATGGCAGATATTGCGAAGTATACAGACCATGAGAGCAGAGAGAGGTCTCGGAGGATATTCGAATCGCCTGTATGTACTGAGGTACCGAGGTGGTTGGCTGAAATTGGGTTAGCGTTAATTTTTTACAAAAATGGGCTGGGCAGACGACAAGGGAGGTACGTAGCCGGATTAACATTAGTCCGGAATCCTCAATGGCACGAGACGGAACATGCCGCGAAATAAATCTTTAGCTCCAGCAGCAGACATCCAAAGCCGATGTAAAGATCCAACACCACTCTCCAACGCCGCCAAGGACAACCAAAGACCGCAAAGATGTCGATGTTCCGAGCCAAGAAGCTCGATCTGGGCTGCTTCATCAACACGCGCATCATCCGCGACCACACCAAGCGCAAGGTCTTTGAGCAGTTTGAGCCCGAAAGGTTAGCAACGAGCACCACGCGATCCCCGATTTTCCCTTCTTTCCTGCCTCCTTGCTAGACGAAACCGTTTCAATCCGGGGCAATTCTGCGGATATGGCGCGATGGTTCAATTGGCTAACCGTCGGGATTGTAGGCAAGCTCTGCGATACATTATCCGCAACACGACTCTCCCCCCTCGCGTGCGCGCCGAGGCGCAGCTTCAACTTTCTCAGATGCATTGCTACACGAGGCCGACGCAGGTTAGGAACAGGTGTATTCTTGGAGGAAAGACGAGGGGTATCCTGCGGGACTTTAAGCTGTCTAGGGTAAGCATTGATCGTTATGTTTCTGAGCTTGGAAGCTCCGGCGGTTCAGAAGAGCTCGCGTGTTAACTATAACCTTTTCAGTACAACTTTAGGAGACAAGCCCTCGATGGAAACCTCCCTGGTGTGAAGAAGGCGAGTTGGTAAAGGAAAAGGAAACGAATCTTATTGTACTATTACGGACGGGTTGGCGTCTGTGTATTATAAAAGGGAGACCGATCTCCAATATACATCTATTCAAGTGGGGGTTTCCGGCATCTGAATACGTTCCGTGGGAAGACTCCTGCCGTTTGAATCCCGCGATCAGGATGATTCTACCAATGTCAATTTCTGTGTGAGGTGAATCCACGACACGAGACGTCCAAGGTGTACTAACACCTCCGGCCGGAACCTAACACAATTCATGGCAAAGGGCATTTCATGTCCACTCTTGAATCCCTGGGGTAACTCAAGCACTTCAATTACGTCTCTTGTCTTCGGCGATGAGCCTTGCCTCCCGGGCGTGTCTAATTTCGCAATACTATCTTCTTTCCGCTCTTTACTCGCCGCTGCCCGCTGCCCGTCCGCTGTTCACCGTCCGCTGTCCGTCTCCATCACAAAAAGAAAAGCAAATAAAAAAAGTTTTCCTAGACCGATCTATAAAGCCCATGCCTCAAATCTAGGTTTTCAACGCAGCAACCGCCGGCCGCGGCGGGATGGTGGTGGCGGTGGGACGACCACAGGAGTAGATGGCGCCGTCGGAAGTCGCGCCGTCGGAGGTGCTGCAACAGAATTAGCTTCAAAAATGTGCTCACCAGCCAAGACGTAGGCGGAGTGGGAAAGACAAAGGAGAGGAAACGGGGTTCCCTCACTTGGAAGACCCAAAGGTTCAGAATCCGGCAGGAGAGTGCTGGCGGATTCGTTTTCCTCGGGGAAGTTGCTCTTAGCATTCGGCGTGCTCTTAGCATTCAGTGTCGTCGCCGTGCTGTGGTTGAATGCGGGATTCTGGATGTGCAGCTCTATGCCGGAATCGCCGCTCCCGGCCGAGGCTGCATTCCCATTCCTTCTGCGGCACCAGCCGACGATGTAATAACAAGCTATTCCAACGACTATGAATATGCCAATCCCGGCGCCCAAAATACCGTAGTCTCCGGCCCTCATCTTGTTGTTGTCGGGGTTGCCTGCAAGTTCCTCGGATGGGTTCGTGTGGATTTGGCCGCCACCACCGCCGGCACCGCCGCCGACTTGGCTTTGGGGTAAGGTATCTCGGTTCAGGAGAAACATGGTGATAAGGCTATGTAAATTGGGATTTAGTTGCCCCGCGAGGAGAGATGGCTCGTGGGTGAGAGCTTCTATCGGGGAGTATCGGATCTGCAAGTCTATGAAGGATACGTCGAGTAGGCCGAAAGAGGAGAGCCAGGATAAAAAGAGCTAGGTGAAAGAGAGAGCGAATCGGTGTGTGGTGGACTTGAGAAGGCCTGCGATGACCGACGAAGGAACTTGGAGATTTGATGGAGAGAGCGGCACGGACTGATTTGACTCGGAGGTAACAAGGAAACGACGAGAGATGCAGAAAGGGCGCGGAGCAGAAAGGGCGGGAGAGAGATTGTTGGCAGATCAGAAGGAAGAACTCAAGCAAGCATTCGACGTCGCTCCTGCTTAGTAGAAGACGGAGGGGACAGGCAACGATACGGGGAAGGAGCAGCCCGCTCGCCGATTCGCTGTCTTCCAACACGGGCCTGTAAACCTGCACTTACACGGATTCAAGTTCGAAATAGTCCAAGTGGTAGCGGGAACTGCCCTCGTTTTGCAGAGATAACTGCCCTCTCTTCTCGGGGTGAGACTCCAGGAAGTTGGGATAGTCGACCACCGCCTCCCTTCTTGGTTTCCTATCGCTCGTTTAATTCACTCGGTCCCTCGTACGAGTACGGCTAGGCGACCGCGAAATACTTAGGGAACGGATCCTTGACAGAAGCAAGTCAAGTGCCAAGCTCGTGGTCTTCTCTTTGATGTTTAATACTACGGAAGAGACCAAGGCCAGTATCCTTTCGGCGAAGCCATTTGGCAATTACTTTAAGCCTCCGCTAAGGCGTGATGCCTCTCAAGCAGTAGTCTTTTCCCGTTTCCTCCTTGTCATCTTGCTTAAAAAAAGAAAATGAGAGAAAATGATCTTCATCTGCTAGTGGCGAGGTGAAATGTACCCAGCTGAGCTGACGCTCACGATAGGCCCTCCACCCCCGAGATGAGCGAGCCCAGATTCAAGGAACTGGGAGGTTGGTTGAAATCGCCCCTAAGGAAGAAGCAATTCTACATGCGGTTTCACCGCGCCTCTTCATCTCCCGCTGAGTCGTTCAATCCCGTGCAAGCAAGCAAACAAGCAGGGTCTACGTCGACTAATAGTCTCAAACCGTGGCAGGCAAAGGAAAAAGGAAACATATGACATATCATCTGGATCGCCAAGTTCTGAATCGCCAGGCCTCTCCACACTTAACGAGCTAATTCTAACGAATGACGGCAATTTCCCATCTGGTTGCTGCTGGATTCCTGCATCGGAAGAAGCGTGTCCAGTTCCGCGAGAGCGCCATCTGCTTCATCCCATTCGAGGACGGCGGCATAATCAAACACTACCATAGGAACTTATGTCTCCGTAGTTGGTCAGAGAAACCTCGAAGAGCAAAGTATTGAATCGAAGTCGCTTAGCGTTTTCTTTTCTTTTCCTCCTTTTGTTGGTGCGCCTTTATGACTGGTCGATTTATAGATCTGATATTACAGATCAAGGCCTTCGTTTTGATAGTCCATGCCACGGTCTTTCGTACTGCCGTTACCGGCGTCTGAGTGGGCTCACGGCACACGATTATTGCCGCCCCCGGCTCCAGTTTGGCCACGAAGCTGTGCACAAGAGAGAACCATGGTCATCTGTAGATGGGTAGAGAAGTTGGGGAGTCAATCTACCTCGGAGTTGTGTCTTAGATTCATAGGGCAATGAGTGGGTGGAATGCAACGAGCACCGCTCAAGGTTCAACGTGGTTAGTCGCAACACTCTGCCAAAACTGCAGGACGCTGAATCGTGTTAAACACATTTCGAGGAATGGTGCCTATGCATTCTTGACGTCGCCTTGTCTCATATCTATCTCGATGACCGATCAAGGGAAGACTCAGAGGAGATCGACCTTTGTGCGGAATTTCAACCCTCATTGGGCTTTAAGGAACCAGCACTCTGGTGGAGGTGCTTCCCACTCTAGCTGTTACGCCAAAGAACGTTCCATCTGTATCAAAGTGTGGGAACAGGCGGAAATAAATCTAATTCGCTCCCGAGTTCCAATCTTCCCCGAGGTCCTCTTCTAGAACGCCCACAGCGTCCAAGTGTACTTCGTAGTGTTAAACTCCCCCCAACTCCCAATTCCCGTCAGAAGCAATAAGATAGGGCATGAACACCTAAGCAGGAGTGAACGCAACTTGGCATCCATTGACAAGCGACAAAGTAATCCCAGACTTTAATTGTATCTCACGCTCATCGGATCTTGGCTCGACAGCACTGAATCGTTGAAACATCCTTACTACGGTATAGGAGAGCAGTGTCAAAGCTAGCTGTTGGCCGATACATATGCGAGGCCCTCCGGAGAATGGAATCCACTCCCATCTAAGAAGATGATGGTGTTAGTGATAGAGAATAATATGCCTTGCAAACATGGGCCATAATACGTACGGGGTCCGCAAGTTCTCCCATCGTTCTGGACGAAAATCGTCGGCATCGGGGCCAAAGAGATCTTGTCGGCGATGTAGACTGAACATAGACCACCTCACAATACATCCCTTGGGAATCAAGAGAGGCGAAGTGCCGTCCGGCCCTCCACCAACAGGAAGAACAACGTCTTTTATCGCCTGTCTACCTGTGGTTGGGACGGATGGGTAGAGGCGAAGGACTAGAGTAGCCGTATCATCATGTTAGACGAGAGGAAAGATCGGGTAGTCTCTGCCTTCGCGAAAGAGTCTTATACACAGGGGCATCATGTGTTCACTTACGCTCCTTGATAACAAAGTTCACGTAACGCATGTTCTTCATCTGCTCCCACGTCGGCTTCTCACCCCCAAACAGAGAAATATCTTCTCTCAGTTTCGCCACCACGTCAGGCCGTCTAGCAAGGATCCAAAACAGCGAGGACAGCGCGCTGGCAGTAGTATCCCGCCCACCGAGAAGGAGACCAAGAATCTGATCGCGGATCTGGTCATGCGTGGCGCCTGTCTTAGCTAACTCCTCCAGGAAAATGTAACTCCGTTCGGACGCCTTGTTTTTGCTCAGCGTGTCCTTGATGTATCGCTCGACGAAGTCGACGTAGACCTTGCGGCTCGCCTCGAATTCCTTTCTGGGGAGGTACGGGGCGATGCTGCCGATGCGGGAAAGGTTGGCTGCGCTAGGCACGGCGGCGTCGAAGGCTTTGATGAATTCCAGGGCCCCTTCTGTGGGGCTTGTAAGAGTGTTGGTTGATTGACCGAACCTGTTCTGTTGAATTAGCTAGCCGCCATGGGATATGGAATTGGGGGGGACCGAAGAGGTGGTGGGCCTAACATAAATTCGGTCGATGAGTCCATCGTGAGCATGTAAAACAGACGTTGCATGTCCACCGCCGATCCGTCAGCGGGAATCTTATCCAGGAGATAATCAACATGACGATCCATGATAGCCAAGTCAGACACCTGATTTCGCATAAAAGTCGGCCGGATCAAAGCCCTCGCATCATGCCACTCCTTCCCATTCGTCGAAAGAATCGAATTCTTGCCCACCAGAAGCAACGTTGACGTCAGCCTCGGACCCCTGATGGGGAAGTTCTCAAACTCGCGGGTCAGCACGGCCTTTATGTTCTCGGGCTCATTGATGAAGAAAGTCTTCGTCCCGAGATATTTCGTCGTGAATGTGTTGCCGTTTTCCAGGAACCATTCGTGCCATTGTTGGACGATGCGCCCCTTGCCGGCGCTCTTGATGGTGCGGTAGAAGACGTCGAGGCCGAGTATGGGATCTCGTTGGGGTAAGGCATTTGCTGGCTTGCAGCCTTTCTTACGCGCCGTTCGGGAGATGACGTAGTTTCTGTAGCACGCTCTCTGAGCCACGAACGCGACGGGGACGGCCCAGAGGGAGAAGATTGTATGGCATGCCGTGAGATGTTGGCCGTGTACTACAGAGTAGTACGTATCCGCGGCGGTGCTGACAATGTAGGCGGCGAAGGCGGCAGAAGCGCCTAGATAGCTCAGCTCTTCGAAACTCATTGCGTGTAATACAGTGATTAGAACAGCTCGTACATGGAGAATGTTGTAAGAGTACTCTTAGCAAAGATATTGGGTCGGGCCATTGATAAGAAGATGGGGGCACATTCCTACCTTTATAGCAACGGAACCGGCGGGTCATGGCCCTGGAATGTAGAATACGGTGTGAGGTGAGATTCACGGTTCAGCCGGTCTTGAGGAATATGTCATGTTACTTTGAGTTGGCCGACGGGCATGCAGATCCTTTCCTCTGCGTTTTGACCCGATAGTCTGGCAATCCCAGAGCAAGCGAAGTGTGGTTCCCGTGAGAATCTCACGTCAGCCCTTGGGACGTGTGAAATACAAATTTGGCGATTCCCCGGGCCTTTCCACGCTTTCACGGCCCCATCTCTGGTCGAAATACGAGGGATTTGTTCTCACGGCTGGCGATGCATTCCAGCCGGCCTTAAAGCCAAATCTTGTGAATCCGCCGAGCAGGGAAGCCGTCTCGATCGATGAAGTCTCCCTTACATCCTATACGGCCGAGCTTTTGTAGAACATCGGGTAGGGGGCGGAAATTATTCTCGACGAGCCGATTCCGTTTGTTTCTCCCTCGCTGCCATGTCCGTTATTGGAAAGCAATAAGGCTCGTGATTCGTGACGAAGACTTCAGATATGTTGTGTGAGACAAACCCAGGCCCGCGTTGCACATCTTTTGTCGGGGCGCCTTGTTCCTGTGAGGAGACTGGGAGATGGACAACACTTCGAGCTTCTTCGATTCATAGTAGTAATTCTATTTTCGCGTTTCCATTCACCAACACGCCTCTCGTCCCCAACACATAAGTCTTCGATCCAGGAATCCCAAGGTTTAGAAACCTCCCACAAAACAAATAGATGATAGCCTTCCCTATTGCAAACATGTTGTTTTCCTAGGTCCTCGTACCTTGGCCCAATCCTATATCATAGAAAACGGGACCAGTAATTTCCTTCGTCTAGTCCAACATGCGCCCACCCCCCAAAACGCCAGAAATGCAGTTTCCCTTCTTCGAATTCGTTATAATGATGTTCGCCCCCGAATAGCTTACAAAAAAGCACCAAGCCTTAGCCGTGACCACAACACGGTTATACATCCAGATTTCTCCTCGACGATCTTTGCGAGCCCCTCTCAGCCGGCACCCACGCATCACTCCCTTCCGCGCTCGACCCAGACCCTCCCGTCATGGCGCTAACGCTAACGCTCACGGGAGTAGGAGCAGTCGCAGCCGGAGGAGGCATCTGGACAGGAGACAGCACCTCACCCTGCTGAATCGAAGCCTCGCTCGTGTGCTCGGCGACGCCGCCTACTTTCTCCATCGAGTCGATCGACTCCTTCTCCTTGCCCTTCCCAAGACCGCCCATGAGATGACGACCTGCGACGGCCCCGCCAATTCCGAGCGACGCGAGAGCGGAGCTGAACTGACCGGGCAGTTGACCCAGGGCCTTACTCTTCCCCTCGTTGTCTTCTGAGAGCACCCAGACCATACCACCGACAAGCCCCATGAGCACGAGGGCCGTGAGGATCCCCGCGCCGGCGCGATCACCCGTCGTTATGGGCCTGAACGTAACGCTTGTTTCCCGCCCGATATCGTTCGTGCCGGCGTCCGGATTCCCCACACTCGTGCCTCCCGAATCGGCCGTGACGGGCCTCCGCGACTGGTCGATCAGATTCGCCAACGTAACCTCCAGCGCCGCCATCTGCTGTCCCAACCCCGTCGATCCGTCCCAGGTGCCGTTGTTGTTCCACTTGAGACCGCACATGCGGCCGTTGTCGCCGCCAGTGCACTGCTTGGCGGCGGCGATGGACGAGGCGCGTAGCCACGGCATGATCCTCCCGGCGGATTCCGGGTACCACTTAACGACATTGGCGAGCCACCGGCTAAGGTAGGCCTTGAAGGACTGCTGGTCGATGTTGCACCTATCGACGGGTTCACAAGCCACTTCCGTCATGATGTCGTTGTTGTCTCCCTTGAAGAAGATCGCCGAGCCGTTGAGCAGGCCGTCGACCCGGTCCTTCCAGACCTGCTTTTCGGTGTAGTTGTACATGGCCGCTGCGCCTAGCACGAACCCTCCGATGTTGTACGTCCATTGGTACGGCGTTAGCTCGCTGCAGTTGTCGTGGATGTGCGCGCCGTCGTAGACATTCCACTGGTCGTCGATGTACCCCACGCCCCTGGTCCAATCCCACGTCTTCTCGGCCCACTGCGCGTACGTGTCGTTCCCCGTATACAACGCCAGGCGGGCGCCAAGCGCGAAAAAGCAGGCCTGGGAGATGGTGTTCTTGTAGTCGTAGCCGTTGTTCCAAGTGAAAATCTGCCATCGCAGCCCGCCGTTGCAGTACTCCATGTTCCACCGCGCCGCCTGCGTATTGAAGACGGCCTGGGCCAGCGCCAGCCACTGCGGCTTGTCCGCCGGCGGGTTGGGGAAGTTGTACTCGGTGGCCGACATGACGGCGAGGCCCCAGAACCCTTGGTCGTCGTTGCCCTCCGTGTGGGTCTGGTTGCGGGGCATGTAGTCCGCCTCATCGCCCACTTGGAACAGGAGTCCCGCGGTGGTGTCTTCATTCCATGAGGTGTCGCCCGTGTAGTACCAGTAGTCGATTAGCGTGCCCATGAGAGCGCCGGCCTCCCACCCTAGAAATGGAGGTTAGTTTCCCGCGCATGGGTCGAGAAATCGGACGTGTGATGGTTACTTTGCTTATCTTTAGACTTACAATAGTATGGTAAGGGGATATACCCCGGTGTGCCTCCTGGTTGGTTTCCGGGGTAGAAGGACATCATGTCCGCAGCCATGTCCTTTGCAATGCTCAGGACTGACTCTGCAGGTCCAATGCATTAGCTCTCCATCAGTGATTCCAGCGGTTCCCAACAAAAGGTTGTTCTATTCCCCCAATTTCCCTCCTAATTTCAAATTGAATCGAAAAAAAAAAAAAAAAAAAAAAGATGCCACTCCGAAATGGTTGATATTTACCTCGTGAATCGGGATTTAAATCGTATGCTGCCGTAATGGGACTCAACGCCAGCATCGTCATGATACAAGCGTGGACCGCTGAAGACCCAGCTCGCAGGATCGGTGTCGGCCCCGTTGGCCGCCCGGCGTCTGGTTGATCGGCACCCCGCCAAACAAGCATTTTCTTCGGTTAGGGCGGGTAAAACCCCAATTGGGATAGGAGGGGTTTTAATCGAAATTGATATTAATAAGTTCGCCGAGTTATAGCATCAGACTAGTGGAAGAGAGTGAGAGCTGGGTGTGTAGTAGCAGGAGTCAAAAGAGATATATATCATGAAAGTTCCAAATCCAGAGCTCTGACTGTAAGAATACTATGTAAAGAGAGGAAATGTTCGTCGAGGGATCAAAGAGAGGGTGAGAGAATTTGTGCCCAGAATGAGCCAAGAGTGTGTATGCGTCAGCTATATAGATGGTGATCGGAGCAGCGACGTCAGATTTGGGGATGAGATCACTGGCGACCAAAGAAAAGGGGAGCCGGAGTAGTAGTGACGCCACAAAAGGGAAGAGCGGAGTGTATAAACTGGGCAACACGTTGAAGTGCGTCTCCCATCAGAACCCCTCATGTGAGTTTGCTAGATGGAAGGTGGTTTATCCCCAAGACTCAAAATAGGTCAGAGACCAGGCTTGAGAAGAACACGTTCTCAGCTGTGCCTGCTGGCGATTGGAGCCCCGAGGTGAACTCGAAAGGTGGCTGCGGGGGAAACGGAGGGATTAAGACCAGGCTGCATACGCGCCCTTTCTTTGCAGAACGGGGCGGTCGGAAATATTACACTCGGCTGCGATGCGTGATGGTAGGTTGAGGATGTATTTTGCATGTGTTGTGTTGGTATGCCGGTATGGGATGGGGAGTCGCCAAGCTGAGGGAGTTGCTGGATGCGGAAGTCAACGAAAGTTGTCTGGTTGTCTTCTTGCTGAGAAGTCGTCCTAACGGCATGCAGGTCTCTCACGTCATGTCCGGACCTTGGCGACGGGGTAGGCTACGGGCATAAGAGAAAGGAAAAGGCTGGGGGAGAGACAAGAGAAGAAGTGCGGAGAAAATAGTGAGAAGAGAAAGCAGAAGAAGCAAGCCAAAGGCAGCAACCTGAATAAGATCAACCTTGAGGGTTCAAGTTGGGTAGGGCAGGACACAACGTATTCTTCGGAGCTGTTTAAGATCCAAACGTGGTCGGGACTAGACCAAAACGACGATTGGAGTAGCATTATTAAGGTTCCGTTCATTGTTTGCATCCCTGACCTGCAATCCTAACTTGATTGCTTGGATGGGCAGCTTGAGCCAACACGAAGTGATCCACTTCCCAACGTGCTCTGACTTGGAATCGGGGGTCCAGTCTGTCTCAAAGGACCCTCTTTTGTGCACACGACACCACATGGGGACGAACATCGTAAACTAGAAACGGCATGCGCGTTGCCCTCGGCTTCGGACGGACCTACGAAGTACGAAGTAAGAACACGCTGAAAGATCTGGGGTTGCTTACGCGCTACGGGATGGCAGTTAGCATGGTCCTGCAGTCCTGCAGTTCTGCAGGTTTTCGGCAGCTCGGCGAACGAAGAATGTGGTGCTCGCTGCCACCATGATTTGACTGATGGGAAGGGGACCATCAGAAAAAGTGACGTCTTCCGCTGCCCTTCCATTGCCCTTCCAGGGGTAGCGCCGCCCCCAAGGTTCCCAAGGGCGGGAATACGAGGTGGAACTGGGAAGGACAAAGTCGGCCGGGTGGGAGCTGGTCTGGTCCGGAGATGGGCATGCACCCCATATTTGGGGACAAAACCAGTCCGGTCCAGGCTAGGTTTCTCTTAGTACGGAGCACTGGATCGATCGCGGTGCCACCCTTGGAAGTTAAACTTTCTCGTCGGCTCCCTGTTTTCATTTCGATATTGGTTCTTGCGATCTTACCAGGTATTACGGACCAGGCTTGAGAGACTCAGAGCTCGAAAGAGTGGTAACTGGTGACGTGAGACGTGTGACAAGGACGGCAAGGGAATATTAAAGAACAAGTCGACATGCACGCCGAGGCAATAATGGCAATTGGGTCCAGGCAAACGGACGGGCAGGCAAACGAAATACGAAATCGGAACCGGATTATTGTCGGCCACCAGAGAACAAAGGCCGTTGTGCTCTGGTCCTTGGCTTTGGACGAAGAGGATGGAGTACGAGGACAATGGACGAGGACGAGGATATCACTCTCCACTGCAATTGTACATGTTCGTACTTCGTACTTCGTAACGTTCTTTCCTTCCATGACTTGACTTTGAAAGAGGTGAAATGCTCAATGTTCTTTCCTCAGTTACATTGCAGTCCCGGACATGGCAACTACGACTCAAGCCAGGCATTGATTCAATTGCTTGTTTGAGTGGGGCCGCTCCTCCCGCTTTCGTATTACTCAACACTATGTAAATTTCTTGGTCCAATCCATCAGTCTGGCTTCGGAAGGTGCATCCCAAAATAGAACATTAACTATCAATCTACGGAGTTTGAGGACTTGGCCGAATTGAAACTGCTCTTGGTTGCTTGAGCTGCTGGGAAAGAGGCTAGCACTAGAATACGATATTCTGGAATTTGCTAGGGAAAAAGGAGAAAAAGAAAAGAAGAAAACCCACATTGTGTATTTCTGCGAAGTCGGTATCCCACTTCCCACTTGAAGACCCAGCATGTTTACGTGGCCTGGCTTGGCCAAGCACGTAACACCAGCCGTCACTGGGTGGTGTGATACTCGCCACGTGGGGTACAAACGGTCAACGGCTTCTGAGGGAAAGAAGGTTATGAGATGAAGAATCAAGAGTGGCGGATCAAGATAATGTAAACTACGGGAGCAAGTTTACTTGTACGCGTGGAACTGATTGTATGGAGTACGATATTGTGTGAGCACTGTACTGTTCCTTGGGTCCGCTGAACCCAACCGGCAATTACCTTTCTCCTCTGGGCGCCGCCTTGCCGTTTTCAAGATCGCTCTCGAGGACTCTCAAACTAGCTTTTGCCGATGAGAACTAGATATCAATAACTCAGCGGCCGCCTCGGGGTCTAATCCGCCAGTCTTTGCTGAGTCGTGACGCTGCATGATAATGTTGCACCGCATCACATCTCCTCTGACTCTCTCAGTCAGGCGCAGGAGACGGCACTAGAGCTACGGGAGGATATGGAAGATAGAGTTATAAAGTTGCGACTTGGAGCCAGTGTATAACTAATGACCCGGAGGACAATCAAGAATCCTTCCTGAGTCGCGCTTGTATCGACGCCTACAGCGGCCGGCTTCCGTGCCCGGATCCGGCCAAAAGACAATGAGAAATCCTCTTTCGCGCTAAGAATCTTGGGAGGCCGAATACGCGAGGAGGTAACTGGTCTTTCAAAGACCACGATGCTCAGGCCCAAGTATAATAAGAGTGCTCTTATTGACAGCTTTGGGCTGAAAGTAGAAAGAAACCGCTGATTTCGCCGTCGATGAAACGGCTTTGCGACACCTTCTGAGCGGGAGGAGGATATGAGAGCTGCGCTGGGCAAATAACAATCGTCCTATTGCTCAGTATAATGCATCCTACCCCTCACAAGCTCCCAAAGCCACGTGGAGGCCTAAAAAGACAGGACTGATGACAAAGATGAATGGAGCAACAAGGCGATGCTCTGGAAGCTGGGAATGACGTTGACGAGGGAAAAGCCTCGACAAAGGAGACGCCAGCCCTGGGATTTTTTGGCTTGGATAGCCTATATCTCTGACTGCGGCCCTGGCATCAGCCTTTCAGCTTCATCAGCGCCTGACTCGGGTTGGTCTAAGCCATTGAGATCCTGTCTGTTCGTCAAGCCCCGACAAACCCCAGCCTGAGCGGCAAAATAGCCTATTCACCCCCTCGAAACCATCGGCTCTGGGGATCATCAACGTCCAAGTCTCCCAATTTTCCTATCTCTTCTTCCAGATCTAACAAAGGCCCCGAGGCTCCCGTTCAGAGCTTGAACCATCCCATGTTTGAAGGCCGATATTAAAGAAGTACCCCGGTATTGTCACGTGTGGATGTAGTCATGGTTAACTTTTTCATATCCCCAATTGAGGGTGTCCTGGCCTCGCCGGATTGAGCAAATGTTGCAAACCTTGGATGCACCGCCACGGAGAAGCCGCGCGGATTCCAGATTGGTATTCATTGGACTGTCCCTGACACTGTGAAGGTTACAGCTAGAGAACTATCTCATGAAGAAGAAGGCAAAAAATCGTTCTAAGACGTTAGGGAGAAGAGGAGCCCGAAGAAGACCGGGCCGTCTGCTATCTCTTTCCGTTCAACTATTGCTGAGGGGTATAGTGCCATCATAACCCTCGATCTAACCTCTTCCTGTCTGTCATGCCTGCAGAAAAATGTTCAAGGCTGGGAACAATGAAGTCTCGCGGTTACCAGATTTAATCCTGCCACCTAAAATGTACACAGTATTCTTCATGTTAATAAACACTGGTGGGAAGCTGAAAGAATCACACCTTTTTCTGCGAGTACTTGGGTACCTCCCATTATCGACCCCGTCGTCACCCCACTGTGTTAGGTACCTAGGTACCCGCCTCCTTTGGGTGTCTGGCGGTTGCTCCCCCAGCGCTGGCCAGACGCAACTTGTACCCTTGGAAACTAAGCCCGTTCCAAAACCATCTTGTTTCGGCCTCTCCTACGTTCCTTCCCCAGCGTCTCAGTTCCCATTTCTTCCCCGTCATCACCAACCACAACAAATTCTCCCTCCCTCCTCCCTCCTTCATCCATTCCCGCCATCAAAATCTAGTGTCTTGTCGCACGATCACAAATAGCGAAATTTAACGGATTTTTCCTTGTTCCCTATTTTTCTCCCGACGCAACTTCTCGCTGTATCACGCTGCTAGCAAAATTACAGCTTTTGCGAAACGCAACCGACGAATACACACCACCTCCGCAACACCACCACCACCGTCACAATGGTCGAGCAGGACGCCCCCTATGATCCCTACATCCCCAGCGGCCAGCAAGGAGGCCAAGGGCAGCAGCAAGGTGGAGGAAACTCGAGGACGCAGGCTCTTCAGGCTGTAAGTTTTTTCTCTGGTGATGCGATTTTTTTCGATGTTGCCACAGTTGCAAAGCCTCCTATTTGGCATGTGCATGGCGACGGCGACCTTGGTGTTTGAAGATGCGAGGCTTCATCGACGCGGGTATCTATTCCACGGCCTCGCGTCCTATTGCGAGTTGCTCGAACGTATCGAGCATACCACATCCGACTTGCTCCGTCGATTCCTACTCCCTACACAACGGTTTCAAACGGTCGGGCGTCGTCATCGACCAAGCGTCATCGGACGTCTGCCACGACCGAGCCATCACCAAGCAACACATCAGCCTATCATTCGATCCTCAACATTATCTTCGCGACATCATTCTCTCATTAGTTGACTCTACGGAGTCTATTTGCGCCTCCTTAATTTCGTCGCTCGATCTGGCTCGCCAAGACCCTCGGCCTCATCGGAACAAGAAGCCTTTCAACACAAGCCCGCCTACCAAACACCATGGCTCCGCCGTCGCTTGCCTTACCATACTAATCGCATTCATACTTCATCTAATCCCCATCATTCGCTAACTTTATTTCCTCTAGCAAATCGACGACACCGTCGATGTGATGCGCGAGAACATCAACAAGGTCTCGCAGCGAGGTGAACGCCTCGATGCTCTCCAGGATAAGACCGACAACCTTGCCGTCTCGGCGCAGGGCTTCAGGCGCGGCGCGAACCGTGTCCGGAAGCAAATGTGGTGGAAGGATATGAAGATGCGAATGTGCATCGGTATTGGCATCATCATCCTTATTGTCATTATCGTCGTACCAGCGGGTATGTACAAGATTCTTCCCTTCTCCAGTTCTGGCAAGCCACACAGACAAATGCTAACTCTTCTTAAACAGTCGTCACATCTCAGAACAAATAAATCATTTACCCCAAATACCCCCGATAATACCCCACCAAATCCACCCAAAGACCTCGATGAACTCTGGGTAGATGTGTTCTCTACCGTCTTTTCTGCCGCTTTTTTGTTTCCCTTTCTTCACTTCGACTTCTCCCGACGGCATTCCCGAAACCTCGATGATTCCGATCCATCCTTCTTAGACAAAAAACACAACAAATGTGCTTGAAACAGCGTGCATAGCATTGGGAAGGGGCGGGAAAAGAGCATGGAGCAAGGGAGAGACAGTGGGGAAAAGAAGGAGGAAAGAAAGGGATGTAACGACAATGACTCTGGAAGGAAAGGTTAGATATGTCCTGTTATTCGCTTATGAAAGGGTTTCTTGTCTTTTTTTTTTTTGATTTTTTATTATTATTATTCATGGAGCACGGAAATGGTATAACACTTGTTGTTTTTTGTTTTCCTCTATCTTTTCTGGTTCAAATGACCTTGTCAGCCTAACTGTCTGGTTTCTTTCCCTCTCCTCTCCTCTTCATCGCTTTTCCCTGAAGCCTTGATTTGTGTATCTCCACTAGCTTTTGAGGATGTTGTACTTCTGGAGGTGGAGGAAGGGAATAGCTGTTGGATTGGGATCGATTGTGTAGTAGTCACGGGAGGTTTTGGAATGTGAAACATTTTGTTTTCCTTGTCTTAATTCATGAAGAAAGGAAGGTGCTTTGTATTGCTTTTTGTCGTTGATGGTGAGATGGAATATCCCTGCTCGATGTCTTTGTGCTTCTACCTAATACGGAGTATTTAATTGGAAGTAGACGACAGTCAAAGAGCCACAAAGAGCACTATGGGCGTCTCCTGTTAATATATCATCTCTATATCACAAGAAGAAAGGAAGAGAGAGACACCTGGATTTGAAATCTGTTTCTAAACCTCTCACCCAAAAGCTAGAACTATGTACAAAAAAAGAAGACAGGGAAAGCCTACAGCTAGACCCTTCCCTTCTTCCCCCAACCTTTTAACGCCAAAGGAACAAGAATCAGAAACACATCAGGGGTAATAGATACTCCAAAAATGAAGAAAAAGAAAAAAGAAAAAAAAAAAAAAGGAGCTCCCATAGAGGTGTTGGAATAATGACAAAATTCCAATACCTTCGCTGGCTGGCTGATGCTATGCTCTCCCTATGCATGCTTGCAAGTGTCGATATTTTTTTTAGTGTTGTTGAGTTGTTGTGTAGTGCGGTATGGTCTAAGAGATAAAGAGCGCTCCGTTTTCCCCCTTGCCAGCAATAACACAATGGAAGAATAAAGAAAAGAGAAGGTGATCAATCCAACACTCTATTTATCACGGGGTGAAGAGTTTTACATGGTGGGGATACCCTCGTACTCGGCGAATCCGAGAGCAAGATTCATGTTTTCTAAGCAAAAGAATTAGCTTCGGTTTAGATCTAGCTTGACAGAAGGGAGTAAAAGAGAAGGAGAGAAGCAGAGAAGGGAGAAATCCGGTTGAAGTCACTTACGCAAGCACTGGGTGGCGGCACCCTTGAGCAGGTTGTCGATGGTGGCGCAGACAACTACCCGCTTTCCGCTGCTGTGGACGGTGAATGCGCCAATCTCGACGCCGTGTTGGTTCATGATGGACTTGACCTGGACCTCGCCAATGACCTTGACGAGCTTCTCACCCGCGTAACGCTCCTGGTAGATCTGACGGATATCTCGAGACGTCATGGTCTTGTTGAGGGGGATGTTGATGGTGTGGTGGATGCCGCGGAACCACGAGGCGACATGGGGGGTGAAGGCCACGGGGACGCCGAGCTGGTGGCCAATCTCCCGCTCATGGATGTGGTCAGTCAAGCTGTAGGGGATAATGTTATTCGCCAACAGCTCGACGTCGTTCTTAGGCGAAGGCTTGGTTCCGGCTCCCGAGTATCCAGAAACACCGAAGATGGTGGGCTGTCCACCGAGGTGCTCGACAAGGGGCGCGATGGCGAGCTGTGCAGCCGTGGCGTAGCAGCCGGGGTTGGAAATCTGGTGAGCTTGCTGAATATCGGCTCGCTTGGTGAGCTCGGGAAGGCCATAAGTCCACGTGTTGTCGAATCGGTAGTCGGCAGAGAGGTCAACAATTACGCTCTTGTTGTTTGAGCTCTTTTGGCCCTCATAGACGGCCTCAACGAAAGGCTTGCAGACGCCATTGGGAAGAGCCATGACCCAGCAGTCAATCTCACCGCTCTTTTGGAGATCCCGTACGTCCTTAGGGCTCAGGTTTTCATAGATGACTTCACGCTTGTCGTAACCCTTGAGCTTCTGACCGGCAAGCTCGCGGGACGAGACATGGGTCAAGTCGAGGTAGGGATGAGTGTTGATGAGATCAATGAGAGCCTGGCCGGTATAACCACGGGCACCGATGAGCGCTACGCGAGCGGGCCTGTCGGCAGAAGCGTTCTTCTTACCAAGCGGGGGGTTGGGATTGGTCTCGGTAACATAGGTCCTGGCCTGGGTAGGGCGGGCGGACTGGAAGGCGCGAGGGCGGGTGGAGGTGGAGAAGGCTCGGGTTTGCTGGGCGCTGGGCGAAGAGTTCTTCGTGGTTGTGGCCTTTGCGGGGGGAGCGTCATTCTCGGCGGCGGAGGGCTCGCCAAGGCTGATGCGGCCGAGAGCCTGGACCTCATCGAGGATAGGAGATAGTTCAGAATACTTCTCAAGCCTGAATCCACGCCAGAATAGGACAACGTCGTCGATACAGAAGCTGCCATCACATCGGTCGAAGAACCACGACAAGTTCTCGTCGTTCTTGCTGACGGTCCACACAAGGTCAGAGTTACTCTTCTCAATGGCTTGGAAAACATTCTCGGCAGTGTTCGTCAACCAGCCAGGCTTGGTAATAGACAAGGTGACCCAGGAAGCGAACGGTCGGCTCTCAGTGGGCTGGAGGACAATGGCGAGGCAGCTCATTGCATCGTCATAGTAGGCCTTGAAGGGCCGGTCCTTGAGCATCTGAAGGTAGTTGTCAATGGAAGCAACGACCTCCTTGTCGGCAGACTGGCCACGGGCAAGAGCAGCCTTGAATGCGGGGAGGTCCTTGATCTCGGACAGCGAGGACGCAACTTCGACCTTCTCACCGCGGCGGATGAGGGTACCGGCACCGGAGATGGTGAATAGCTCGGTCTGGAGATCATCGGGGTGGATAATGGCGATACTGGAGGTCCTGGGAAGGGTATCGAGTAGCTTCTTGCCCTCCTTGATCTTTAGGCGGGTGCCCCTCTGGCACCAAGGTTGAGCCATGAGCTCGTCGTACTCCTGGTCGAGGAAGATTTCGCTGATCAGCTCTCCGCTATCGCCACGGAAAAGTCCTCCCTTCTCGGAGAGATAGATAATCTTCAAGGGCTTCATGGCACGTGCCAAGCTAGCAGCGGTGACGTCGGCATTAACGTTCAGGACCTGGCCGTCCTTGGTCATGGCCAAGGAGGGGACAATTGGGATATAGCCGGCCTTGATGGCCCTCTCGATGGGCTCAAGGTTGACATCAGTGACGTCTCCCACGAAACCCCAGCGGTCACGGTCGAGGTAATCGGCGGTGAGCGAGGTAGTAATAGGCATGTTGGAGACTCCGATATTGTTAAGGGCCTCAGAGAGCCTCAGGCTTTCTTGGTGGAACAGCTTCATGGCGACGCCGAGGGTCTTCTTGTCGGTCACGCGGATGCCTTCCTCAAACTGAGGCTCGATGCCAGCATCCTCGAGGAGCTTGTTAAGCTGGGGACCAGCTCCATGAACGACGACGGGGTATAGGCCGAGCTGGTGAAGGACCAGTAGGGATTGACAGAAGTCATCGAGGTGTTCTGTAAGGATAGCACCACCAGCCTTGATGATGGCAAAGGATTCGGAAGAAACCGAGGTAAAGTACTTAAGATACTGCTGGCCCTCCCTATGCGAGCCAATATTCTTGACCGTCTGAACGACAACATCCCTCAGGGTCTGGTTCGGGTTCGGTAAGCTGGAAGCAGGTCGGCCTCGGATGGTTGAGGTCGAGATGGGTCGGAGGGCATGCTTCTGGAGGAGGGCAGCCCGGCTAAAAAATGCACGGGTGGTCAAGGACGACGAGGCCCTAACGACCGCTTGGCGGGCGGACAACATGATTTCCGAAGACGACAGCAAGATAAACGAAAGGAGGGCGAAAGTGAGGGAGGAATGGACGGCGAAGGAAGCTTGTCGTCAAGGAGCTGGCCGGCGGCGGGAAAGGGACCGAGGGACGAAGCAAGACCTCTTTTTTTGGTTGCCAGAAGCTGGAAACTTTTTACTTATAAAGTATGAATCATTGAAGAGGCTTGTTGGGGGTGTGGTTTATGTGGGGGAGGGGCAGGGGATCTCGGGGAAGAGAAGGGGGGTGGAAGAGGAAGCGGAAGAAAAAAAAAAAATTCGACTCATACCACCGAAGTCGCACCTTCTGTGTAGAAGCATATGAAGTACAAGCACCTGTACTTCGTGCCTTCTATGTTGTTTTGACTGTTGACTAGCCTGAGCCATGGTGGGGTTCTAAGTCGCTCTACTTAACTAGTGGGCACTTTAGCGAGTAAAGAGAACACTGAACACAGTATAACCACTGCGAAGGGGCAAAAAGCCTGTGAAGTACATCAACTGGTACCTCACAGTTTACTCGGTACATTGCTTCAGAGGCATTCTTTCCCGAAACGTTTCCGCATTGCCGTGGAGCAGAGGACGGAGATGCACACCGAATTCAGCATCTGAGAGACCAGGCAATACCGGCTGCCGAAGCTAGCAGTGTGCTCAATGATGGGTTGACGCCAGATGCCGGAGCGGTGTGCAATATATTTTCTTTTTCTTCTCTCGTCGTCCACAGAAAAAAAAAAAGAAAAAAAGAAAATAGGGATCTACTTCGTAGTTGAATCGATTCCAATTTGGAAACACAGTGAGAGCTACCTCTTCTTTCTCGAAATACTATCCGAGGTATTGAGATACTTCGAACAGAAGAAGCCCTCAATATTTTGAGGTGCTTGCTTGTGTATACAGTGCTGGTCCCAAAGATGGCAGGCAAGACCCTGCTCAGTGCATATTCCATTATCGGGGCTCGACGATGAAGTCCCGAGGTACCTTCCAGAGAGCAATTGTACGGAGGTACCTTTGAATCCAGCGCGATCCGCTCGTAAAACCGCACGAACCAAGTAAAACCGCCGCTTGCCGTGCCCTGCTCAAAATGGAAAGAGAAAAGGACCTTTATACTCCAAGAGCTTCCCATCGCCTTGATCGACCTGTGTTCCTGAGCTTATTTCGAGTCTATTCTCTCTTCTCATTGTCTACCCGGCTACCCACGTTTGACGTCGTTCCTTGATGGGTTGATTGGCTTGCCCAAGCCACAAGCAAGTGGTAAATGGCAGTCAAGATGCAGACCGCTCGAAAAGGCATCGGAGCTCAACTCAGCCAGGCTTCATCACAAGTCGACGCGATGAGACAACCATATGTCTGACACCAAGGTCCATTTGAAGCCCCACCGTCACATTCAGCTACTTCGCACTTCACATCTGATGTGTGAATTATTATGGGGTTGCCAATCTTCGAACCACCCCGAATACCGCCCACTCCTGCACTCTAAACCCGATCTCGCCATCGATCAAGCCCCTCAGTCGTCCTATTGAGCCGGGAGTCTGCGAAGTATGTGGTGCAAGGTCTTCTTCAAACAACCAACATGCAGCCGCTCAGCACATCTCCTCGGAATGCTCAATGAGGACAGGATCAACCCCCAACCCGGCGTAGAAGAACGAACTCATCTGGCGACCCGCCAAGGGCGACAGAGTGCGATTCTTACTCTAGCCTCCTTCGGAAGTCTTTTGGTGTCGTCGGTGCCCTACTGTCCTTACCCTTTTCGGAACCCCTGCCGTTGTGTCGCCGTGAGATGTTTTCTTATCAATCGCATCTAATCACCGGCTGTGAAATCACAACGTAACCGTCCCGCCCCATGCATCGCGCCATCCGACCCTAGCAGAGACTTTTTCTTCACATGAGAAGACACTAAGGCTAAGGTATGAAGCAAGGATAAAGTACGCCATGTTTTCGAACTATTATGAAGTTATACAACCTCAACCCTTGTCAGTGCTGCTTCTCGACGGAGCACCTTCGTATGAAGAAGTCAGAGAAACATGAACTCGTGAACATCATTGCCAAACACGCCTAACTCCGTGCACCATTCTAACCTGACAGTTGACACTACGAAGTATGAGCCAAATGAAAATCCCCCGCTCCGCGTAGCGTACTTATACTACTCCGTATAGCATATCTTCATGCGATGTCACCCATTCCCACCCACGCCGCCGTTCTTCCTCCCATTCGACCGGACCGCGGCGTTTTTTCTTCAAGGTGGGATGGGAATGGGTATCCACGTCGCCATCACTGCCGCCACCGCCGCCATACTCGCCATTGCTTCTGCGTCGTCTCCTGCAATTTCGTCCGCTGTCCCCTGCGCCGTTTGCCCCACTCCTTGCAGCAGATTCGGCTGACCGAGTTCGTTTTGTGGAAATCGTGCGTTGAATCCTATGACGCTTCTCACTCGGTCAAAGGCTTCACGGGAAATGCTTAGCGTTTGCGTCGAGATGAGCCAGGTAACTCCCTCGCTGCAAGGAGGTGTTGTTAGGGAGCCCGAGTACCTGTTGCCAAGCGTGAGTTAAAAATCAGAAATGGTTCCCCCAAAAAGAAATAAATAAAACGCCTAACTCCAAAGTTTCTTGTTCCTTGTCCCACATCCCACATCCCACGCATGACACAGGTAAATCCAGTATTGTAGGTAAATCCCTTTCCTTTCTTCATCCAGGGTGCAGATGGTTGGGGGTGGGGAACAAGACAAGAGGGGAAAAGAAAAAAAGAAAGCCTTACGTTTGAAACTGCCCTGCAGTCAGGGTCCTCGCAAGTTCCGACAGAGCAAGGGGCGGCGTAGTAGCCGCGCTCCCCGGCACAGCGACCTCCTCAACGACGCTAAACACATCCTCCAACACCACTCCCGGACCCTGGGCGTCGATAAAGGCCGCCAGCACGAGCACTTTCCCGTGTTCCTCGCCCTCGTCCTCTCCCTCGAATACCATGTGCATCTCCATAGCCCTGCTCGTTCCGTTGTCGAGGTGCTCCGACGGGAGGTGGAAGTGCAACTGCTCCAGTCGGAAGCTGCCGTCAAGGACGCCGGCGAGAGAGGAACCCTCCTCCGCCACGACTAGAGTTCCCCCGGCTGCGGAGGCGGCGACTTCGATAGTCGTGCCGAGGTTTTCGACCGGCGCGCCGTCGGGGAGATCGGGGATGGAAAGCGTCACTGAGGTGCCTTGAATGGATGAGACACCTGTGCCAGGGAGGTCGATTGGGGATTGGCGAGTGCCAATGCTGCAGAGGATGTTAGCCTCTGGGTCGAGAGCAACCCAGTTTGTAGGCCCCTGTCGTTAGGAGTGTTAGCCAGTCTTTCTTTTTCTCTCTTTCGTTCTTCTTCTCCTTTATTTCTGTTCCCCTCCACGGTGAAAGTCGCCGCTTCCTCTCACTGCCAAAGAAATGGGTCCCGTCTTACATTGAGCCCTACGTATCCAAAGCCGTCTACTTCAACCTCTGTCTCGAACCTAGGTTGTATCGATGTTCCGTACGCACAAGAGCAGAGCCCTTGTGTAGCGGATAGTGCCGCAAGGGCTACTCTAAGTAATGGCTTCATATTATGACATAAATCGAGAATAAAAACCAAGGATCTCTATTCGTGGGTCAAACAAAGCTTAGAAAGTGAAGTGTGAAATGACGGAAGAGGAAGACGATGAGGGCAAATACACGAGGAGTGTTACCATAGGGGGAAAAAGAGGAAGCAGAAATGATACTCTCTCTTGTCTTCTCCCTTCTCAACGAGATAGAAAACTAATTATAAAAATGAATATACCCTTTGGATCCCTCACCCCAAGAGCCCCAGGTCGTCGTAAGCCTTGAATTCTATAGAATCGAGACGTGTACGATCTACCGTCGCGTCTCAGGTCCATCATCACCTACAGGAAACCTTATTGTCATCTTGGGTTTATATGGGCCGTCTGATCGCCGGCTTTGTTTCGAGTCTTATATGCAACCAAAACCGACGCGATAAGAAATCTAATATTTCGTAATTTTTTGCGAATATTCAGAGATAGGATGAATGGAGCCTGGAATTTTATTTTTATTTTTCGGGGAATAATAATATTGATCGACGGAGGCGCCAAGGGGGGGACTCCCCTGAAACGGGATGTGCTGGCCTTACCAATGTTCAGATGTTCAGATGAACAGGATTAGGTTCCCCAGTCGTTGCTCCAAAATATTTAGTATTTGCTAGGAAATTATTTACAAGAAATATTGCGTAAATAGTGAGGACAAGGCTTTTCGTAAATTCCACCTTGGGAGTGGAAGGCGTTAGGATACTGAAGCGTCGAAGATAACTTCAAACCAGACAGCTCATGGCTCCTCCTCAACAGGTGCTTCCTCCTCAACAGGTGCTTCCTCCTCAACGGGTGCTTCCTCCTCAACAGGTGCTTCCTCATCGGGGGTTTCCTCTACAGGAGCTTCCTCGGCGGGGGCGTCTTCAACCGGGGCTTCCTCCTCAGGGTCCTCGACACAGGCATCATCCTCCTCCGTAGGCTCCTCAGCAGGAGCCTCCTCCTTAGTATCGCCGTTCTTCTTAGCCCTTCGAAGAATGGTATCGGCAGCCTAAAAGGAAAAAAAAAAACGTCAATACAAACCAACCACTGATTAAAAGAGCGTCGAGGACAAACTCACCTTCTCGCCAATGGCATAGGCAGAAGAGCTGGTATGAGCACCAACAATCGTCGTCATGATAGAGTTATCCGCAACACTCAGGCCCTGGACGCCGTGGACCAACAGATCCGGGCCAACAACACCACCGAGACTCCTAGGGCCGAGCGCAGCCGTGCCGATCAAGTGGCCGTTGCTAGGGCTAATGCGAGTCTGGATCCAAGCACGGATCTGCTCGTCCGTCTCAATGTTAGGACCGGGCGAAAGCTCAACGGGAGCAAAAGTCTCCTGCATGGCGGGGCTCTGCATGAACCAGCGCGCAAACTTGAGGAACTCGACCGTAATATTTCCGTCGATGGGGTTGCTCCACGTGCGCCAGTCAACGAGCGGCTCGACGTGGCCCTGCGCATCGCCGTCGTCCTCGGGACTCAGGAGAATAGTGCCGCGCGAGGTGATCTTGATCATGATGATGCTGAAGCTCGACCGGCCCGAGAAGAGCCACTCAAGCTCGGCGGACTTCTTGGAGTCGAATAGTTCGGCTTGGACCTTGCGCTGCTGCTCGTAGCCTGCGACAACGGTCGGGTGGGTGTTTTCGGGAAGGTACTCGGCGGGGTCCTGGGCGAGCCAGGCGTCGATGATCTCACTTGAGCGGTTGGAGAGGAAGGACAGTGGTAGGAATGCTCCGGAGTTGACGTTGGCGGAGTGGGGGCCGGACTTGTCTTCGCGCCATTGTGCCAGGGCTTGCTCGGAGAAGTTGCGGTCCGTCCCGAGGTCGGCGGGATTAGGACTGAAGTTCTTAGTGACTGCACTCACGTGTTAGTTTTCTGTTATATTTGAGGTTAGGGGAACGAAATAAGACTACTAAAGACTCACAGTTGAACGAGATGGAGTAGTGAGCGTGGTCCTGGAGGTTGAAGCCAACACCAGGAAGTTCGACTTTGACCTCGACACCGGCGGCTTCGAGCACATCTTTGTGGCCGATACCGCTTCGTTGTAGAACTTGAGGAGTATGAACAGAACCGGAGGAAACGACGACTTCCCTCTTGGCCTTAATCAAGACGGGGCCGCTCTCCCATAGGGGACCGTCGCGGGGCGCAATGTGAACGCCAGTGGCACGGTAGGGGCGTTCCTCATCACCCTCGACTTCTTCGAGGACGACCTTGGTCACGCGGTGGGCGGGGAGGAGGTGGAAGTTGGTTCGCTTGTTGGCGCCGTTGTTGTAATGGCCGCGGCGCGAGTATGAGCGGGTGCGGTCGCTAGGGTCAATGGAATTGGGGCACCAGTAGACGCCGGTGGCATTGCCGTCGGCATGTTCCTTGGGAAACTCGACACCCTCGATGGTCTCCCAGGCTTTCCAAATACCAACTACAGGACGGCGGTTAGAAAGGATTAAATTGCTTGTTACCCAGTGAAAAAGTGAATGAGGAAGCTGAGTCCATTATGATTACTTACTAGTCGTGGGCCATTGGAATGGCGCATAGCTCGAGTGAATAGGAGTATCACCACCATACGCCGCGTTGTCGTAGGTCATACCGTACTCTTCTTGCATCCTCTCGTCAGGAGGGTGGAAAGTAACACTCTTCTGGAAGAAGGGGTAAATGTTATCCCATCCCCACTCGCGAGCGTACTCGTCCGCCTCGTCACCGGCGGATAGGACCCAGGCATCGTAGTCCTCAGCACTGCCACGGTCGAAGAACATGCCATTGACGGCAGAACTGCCTCCGACAACGCTACCGCAAGCGACTGGGTTTCCTCGGCCGTGCAGGTGAACGAGGGGCTGGGAGGTGATGTTGTACATGCGAGTGCCGCTAGGATAGTCGACGTTTCCGGGCTGCTGCGCATCGGGGCCCATTGCAGTGATGGAGTGAGATCCATCGAGATAGCCATATTCTACAACGAGTACCTTGTCTGCAATGGAGTGGTTAGACCCTTGTGGCTACAAGCTACACACCTCCAAATTAGTGTCGGGCTGGCCTTGGACTTACATTCGCCGCTCTCGCTGAGTCGGTCGGCGACAGTGAGACCGGCGGTCCCGGCACCAGCAACGATGAAGTCATATTCGTCAAGTAGCTCGGCCTGTCGCTTGATGATCACAGCAGAATCGGCGCGGGCTGGGGCGGCCACGACGTATTGTACAAGTGAAAGGGCCGTGAGGGCCAACTTGACCGATGGAGAGGGCATTGTAGATACGCTTTTTTTTTTCTCACTCAACAAGCACGCGCAAGTCGCAGGTGAGAGAAGCCGTTCACATAAATCCCCCTTTCCTCTCTCTCTCGCCTTCTAGCGCGAGAAGCGGGCCATAATGGACATTATATATTAGCACTTACAAGGGAGTCAATCTCACCTGAGTCTGAACGTCCCCATCTCGTCTCCCTTCTCCCCGCCGCGGGCCTCATCACGGCAGGCATTCCTTCTAGAATAATCCCTAGATTGAAGCAAGGTGGGGCGATCTCAAAATATGGCCTTCTTCGTGGCCCGAGCTAAACCGGGAGAAAACAAAGTCGACATTGTGCCTGAACGGCAGGGCCCAGGAGGATTGGTGCCGCTGCCGAATGCGGTCACTTGCGGTCACTCCCACTCAATTTGCCGTCCGCGGGCATTCTTCCGAACGCGAGGAGGACCAACCAGCGGCACACGACACCTTAGCAGGCCACATGGGGGAGCTCGGCGTTTTCTTCTCCCCGTGCTCCCTTGCGGGGTTTCCACCGGGGATAGGAAAAATGTTATTAGTTTTACGTAGGTAAAACACCCAGGTGAGTTAGTATGTTAGATGAGAAGTTCGTTCTGGAAATATATTGACCCCTTTCTGAGGTTGTAAAACCGTCTGACCAAGGCACTGTCCCGTCTCTTCGAGGGCTTTTAGCCTGTGAGGATGGCATTAGGGCGACATATACGATATGAACCTTGCAGACCAAAGAAATTGAACCATAGGGGTCCGGGACCTCTTTTCAGCAGACTCGCCGATGTCCATGCTCAGTGCTGTGTTGCCTTCGCTCAAAGCTCGGCCTTTGTTATACGAGATGTCCTGATGTTGCTAATGGCATTGCTCCTTTCCATGATCTGAGTGAGACGTTAAGGGGACTACCGGCTTATGACCGGGCCGGGATCGGATGCAAAATCGGAAGATGGCGACGGACACTGGAGGGGGGCTTAACTTCCTCACAACCATACCCTTCTTCCCATAGCATTTCTCATTCATGGTGTGCCTAGCTTTCAAGTGTTTTCTTTCCTGGCTCATTTTCGTCAAACCCGGATCTAGGGAGAAATCAGATAACTTTCCCATCCCAACACGAGGAGAGTGTAGGACAGGAGACTAAGAAGCCAAGATGTCGTGTCAGTTACGCGAGTCTTGTTGAAGTAGGTGAGAGAGGCTGACGGGCTGGGCGGAGCAAGTAGAATATGCGCTTTCCTGCGCCGTGAACCCTTGGAACGGGAACCTTTTCCTTTCGAAATCGATGGGCGGTCTGAGCGGAGTAAACACTTTGTAGATCGGTCGATTCCGCTGCAGACCTGTCTCTCGATTCGTTCGCTAATATCCGAAGTATGCTTCCCGGTTTAGACTAACATTGGCCCGCATCAGGGGTGATCACAGGATGCCTCGATCACTGCGCTGATCCATGAACGCACTGAAAATACGTAAAAGGATCGAATTGATCAAAGATGGCCAACAGGCAGGCAACAGACGAGGCTTCCCCGTCCCGGCTTCTATTCTCCCTGTGCCCCAATAACTAGCGAGCCATGTTGTGTTTCTATCTCTGCCCACTTAGGAGCCATGTCCGGTAGATTGGCTCTCTCTACCCAAGGCGCCAGTATTGCTATATTGTTGGGAATCAGAGCCCAGTCATTAGAATGCATTTCCTGTCGTAACATACGTAACGTCTTCATGACAGAACCCTCTTCCAGCTATCTAGGATGTTTGTACAGCACCCCCGAAGGTAGATCTTTCGCTGGTTAAAAGATTCTAAAGTTTTCCTTCAGTGCTAGCGGCCTCGGTTGTGACTGGTTCTTTTGTCGTGTCAGATTCGTGCGCATCCGACTTGCCGCTAGACTCCGTTTCAACGCGAGGTTCAGATTTAGTCTGCGTGTCCTTGCCTAGATGCTCATCCTTTGCTTCCTCGACCTTTGGCTTATCGTCTGTTTCAGCAGTGGGTTCAGACTTAGTCGGCGCGGCCTCTCCTTTCAGCTCATCCTTTGCTTTCTCGACCTCCTCCTTATCGCCCGGCGGCTTGCCATTTCCCGATGCATCCTCACCCCGTTTAGCTTCCGTAGTTATCTTGTCTTGTAGGTGTTGCTCCAGGTGATCGATAATTGCCTTTGGAAGGACGATCGATGATGGTTCAGCCGGGGCTCCAGTTTCGGATGGCTCCTTGGGATCTCTCGTGCGGGCAGGTTCCTGCTCTTTCCCGGCAGCGTAATCCTTCAGTGACATGCCTTCGACGCTTTCCAGGAGCGACTCGACAATCTCCTCGTCGAGCATCTTGAGATCCTGGGCCGGGCTCTCCTGTCTAAGACGCTGCCTAGCCACCTCCTCATCACCGACGATCTTTGCCCACAATTCGTTCAGCTCATCCAGCCATCCAAGTTCCTCGGCAAATTGCTTGACTCCCGCATCGCATGGTCCGAGAACGAGGACATCATCTGGACGGCCCCCGAGAGTCCCAACGCGCTCCAGGTTGAAGAGGAGACGGGGAGTTTTCGGCAAACACAGGTCGGGCAGAGCGGCAAATGGGTAGACCGTCAGACTAGTCCCGAGGATAATGACCAGGTCGGCGGCCCTTAAAGCGTCCGAGTTCATAGAAAAGTCCGCCGGTAGAGCCTCGCCGAAGAAGACAATGTCTGGCTTCACGAGACCGGAGCACCCCGGTGTAACACACTTGGGTACGCGGGCCTGATAGACATGGATTTTCATCAGCTCGTCGGGGAAAGGAGTCTTACACTCGATGCATCGCTGGGTGGCGAAGCTGCCATGAGCCTCTATGATCCTGTCATGGGGTACACCGGCTGCCCTTTCGAGGCAGTCGATGTTCTGGGTGAAGAGTTTGTGAAGAAGGCCCTTGGTGGCGAGGAGAGAAATGAAGGCATGGGATAAGGTAGGGTGGAAATTGCCGGGGTAGAGTTCCTTGGCTAGGACGTAGAATGGGAGGGGATTCTTGCGAAAGAATTGAATGTCAAAGACAGCCTCGGGATATGGAAGATTTAGCCGGGCTAAGTTTGCATAGAGGCCGGTCTTGGGAGACCTGAAGTCGGGGACTGGGTGAAAATGAGATGTGAGTTTAACGAAGTTGTCGATGCGATGAAAAAAAATCCAGGTTCAGGGATCAATAGGTGCATGAGGAACTACGTACTACCAGCAGATGTTGAAATGCCTGCGCCAGTTAAGACCACGATTTGCTGAGCCTTGCCATTCTTTATGAGAGATGCGACGGCCGAGAGCGATCGCTCCTCAAGCGTTACCGGAGTGCGCGCATCGTCGACCTGGGACTCTTCTTGACCCATTTTTTGGCGATGATTGTGGCGACGGTCCTGGCGATGGCGAGGGCGATGGCGACGTCCCATGAAATGATCTACAAGTTGGGCCAGATCTGTCAGTCAAAATCGAGTTTGACCTTGGGAGAAATCAACCAGCCTTGATGTTGATTCTTGGCTGGTGATGCGATGAGGGGCAGTCGGATCGATAAGGCAGCATTTAAATGGAACAATTCGAAGCCTACAGTCAGTTTAAAGAATTCGCCTGCCTAAGAAATTTTGAGGAGGGGCAGCACCTTCCCGCAGTAAGAAATAATACCGAACGTCACATTTGGGCTGTTTGAGAGGACGATTGTACAATTATATTGGGTAGACACCGCCTAAAACTTCATTCGTCTGGGGCATCATTGAAGTTTAGACTTGCCCAGTATCCACACTTCAAGCTTAAATTTTGAAGTGAGGATAGTAAAATAATGTTAAGGACTCGTTGAAGTCTCGGATTCATTCGAAATGAGGTTTACAGTTGTAATTGTACGGTCACGGCGATCTCCTATATTGAGGATCCGCAGCTAACAGACCTTCCTATCGCCAACGGCCTTCTTTCTTGGGATGCCGGGTTCCTGGCTATCCGACCGCAGCCATGCCATTGAGAGCTCATGTAGGACCATGTGTTGGCCCTTGGTTCCCTTGGCGTTTTGTAATATCAGCCAGGCATTGCATATTTAAAATAGCTGGAGGAATACAGGCAGCCAAGTTCCTCAGGAGGCGCAAATGGACTGGCCTGAAGACGTAAAACGAATCTTGACTTCTGCATAGTGGCATTGCGTGTGTAAAAGTCGAGAGGAAATCCGAAATCACGAGAGTGCGCGAGTCGTATATCCTGAGTTGGGGGAAAGGGCCATCAACCGAGGACGGCTTTTTGAAATTAGTCTTTTGGTTTATAGAGTAGTGTACATATACCGGTACAATAGGAGTCTGAATATAGGAACTTCGCCCCCTTTCGCGGTCCCCTATTCGACCCCAGTATGCAGCTCTCCCAACGGTTTATTGAGACGAGGCCTGGTCTGGCCGCCGGAAGGCCTGGCGAGCGATAATCATAGGCCGCATCTGCGACCGCATGTAGATTTCTTGTGCAACCGGGTGTGCGTCGGTTCGGATCACGCTACCGATAGCCATGAAGAAGCTGTTAATTGACCATGTTAGTATAATCTATTTTCCTCCTCCTCGGTAGGTATGTAAAGCTGAAAAGACGAACCCAAAGGTGGCTCCCGAGGCAGCCATGTATTGTCCGAGCGTTCGCATGATTCCGTTCGGGCCGGCGCCGTATCTGAAAATGGTTGTCGTTCCTGGAGGAGAGGAGTTAGGGATGTCTTCTATTGCAGTTAAACTGTGTGTAGCTATCCATCATACCGAAGATGAAGCCGATGATAACGCCGACGGCTATGGACCACGATTAGCGATTGCGCAAGTGTTAATGATCGGAGCAATACGTACATCCACCCATCATAGCACCCATTGCAACTATATGAGCACGATTGTTAGCTAAAAACGGCGCAGACACAACTGGGCTAAGAGCTCCGGACTCGTACGCTTCTGGGTGACAGAGGGGGCCTGGGCACCTCCGCGCTGGGGGGGAACAGGAGGCATTTTGGGCGGAAGGAGGACAGTTAACAGGCGGTTCTTAGATATGGAAAAGACTCAATTGAGGAAGAGGACAGCTTGGGGAGTTTCAATTCTCCGTTCTCTGGTTGATCTCGTCGGGCGATATGCGATCAAGCTCGAACCAGGAAATCTTCCCACGGCAGTCGTCGGGACGTCGTGGCGTGTGGCTCGTGCCTCATCCCGTTGTCCCCTTGAACCGCGTTTCTGAGGCGCAAAAAGTCTTGGACTCTACCTGGTAAAACTACTTTGTACTCACGTGGAATGGGTTTCTGCGAAGATAATCCGGTCACACCAATAAGACGCGGGGGGAGTGGATCGATGCCAAAATGCACTCCAGATACAAAGAACCTACAGTGTCATTTCTCGTCATGCACTTGTGTACGATGCTGAAACATCTGTCCAGTGAGCATGCCTGAGCTGGTTCTGTTCCAACATGGCAGCATGTTCCTGCAAATGTCACCAGTCAGGCCCGACGCCGCCCCAACCTGGAGCTGCACTATTCCTCCTTCGAAGTACCGTGCAACTCGTCACTACTTCATCACGTGCAGGTGACGAGTCCCAAGCCGACTTCGATTGTAGTGTACCCGACATGTACTTCGTAGGATGCAGAGAAGGGAAGGATCACCATTTGAGGGTGTGGCGGCACCGAAAGCACGGTTTAAGATGGTGGGTTAAAGACCATCCTCTTTTGCTGCCCTTGGGACATTCATGGGGCGAGAATGGTCCTCTGAGCCAGGGATTATTTCGTAAGAGGTTGGTACGAAGTACATTGAACTCAAACAACTTCGAAAACAGGGCTCAGCGGTCAGAGCGACTTCAAGGTCTCAAGGCAAAGTGCCCGACTCAATTTGATGTTGATTAATCTCACCTCTGGACCCAGAATGACCTTAGCCTTCCCTGTTAGTGGGCTGGCTACTGCAACTACAGTCACTAGGAAATGCCACCCTGGCACACACTGTGCTCGTCCCCTCGCCCTGTGCTCGCCCTTACTTGTGAAGTCCTCTCCGCAGTGTACAGTGGTACACTACATAGTCTTATTCCCCTGCAATTCTCGTTGGTTCAGATGCACCGTGCAACTTGGGGGCTACAAGAACCCGGATCCCACAGTGCGTACTCCGTGCCGATTCCTCACCTCTTCAGCCAGCGCTTAGCAAGTAAAACTCGGGAAGTTGGGGGGGCGACACCTCCTCTACAGTCCACTCACTCACTGTCCTGTCAGGAAAATCCTCGATTCTGTTCATTCTCTCCGAAAGCCCACGTCCAGACATTCTCTCTCGCCTCGATCCCTTCCTTTTTTTCTCCGCCTGAATCATCTCCGATTTCGAGGTCTTTGCGAAATTCAATTGCCTGGCACGTCTCACTTGACCCCCAGAGACTGGGCAAGGCCACTTTCCCCCGGCCGCCATCCCTACGGGACCCCCTGTTACGGTCGCGCCAATTGAGCCCCAGGCTCTGCTCTCTCAACTTGTCCAACCCGAAAATTCGCGACTTGTCCCTTTTTTTCAACTCGACCTTGGCCCACTATCCCCCTATCCCGCCACTCACGAATACCGAAAAGAGGATCGTCAAAACGACATCGAATAATTAATTTCTACGCGTGCCCGTCTTCCGAGATCTCTATCAACTCACCAAGCTTCGAGCGCTACGCCCCCCAGGATACAGCAACAAGCACGAGGAACCTGCCGTAGTACAATCCAGGACGGCCCTTTTATTCTTCCTTCGCTCCCCTTACCACGATCCTCCCTCATGACGGCCGTTGCAAACCCTTCCTCCTTTCCTCTCAACAAACCAGGATGGGGTGGTAACGGCGGCCAGTCAATCTCACCGATGACAGACGACGTCAGGGCGATGTTCGGACGAAAAGGCCTTCAGCGATCCAACTCGTCGTCTTCCATTTCTTCCAACTCATCCAGCTCATCGACCACCACCGTCGCTACCACCAGCTCTGGGTATAGTGGCACACCCATCTCATCCAACGGCGAAGTCAGTCAGTGGCCGAGTACCGCACCGAGAAAACGACCGCAGTCCAAAGGACCCTGGCCCGTGGGAAAGGATCATGCTGATCTAGCGAGGATGGCAGGAGGTAGGACGCCGATCATGAACGGCGGACTTGGTGGAGGAGGAGGAGGTCCTCCACAGCACCAACAGGCCGTCGGTCAACCCCAGAATCTATCTCAACAGGGTATTGCTGGGAGAACACTTAGCGACGGAATGACGACCGGCATCCCCGTGCTTTATCTCTTGTCCTTGAATGGCACCTTTGAGCGCAAGACGATACAGGTTCCTTTCGCTCCAGACACGTTGCGAATAGGCCGACAAACTAACCAGAAAACCGTCCCTACGCCGGCGAACGGTTATTTCGACAGCAAAGTTTTATCGAGACAACATGCCGAGATATGGGCAGACCGGACGGGGAAGATATGGATACGAGATGTCAAGTCATCCAACGGTACCTTCGTCAATGGCACTCGACTTTCCCAGGAAAACCGCGAATCCGAACCGCACGAACTTCAGACGGCTGATCACCTCGAACTTGGCATTGATATCGTCAGTGAAGACCAAAAGACAGTTGTTCACCACAAAGTCGCGGCGAAAGTCGAGCACGCTGGCTTCCTAAGCCCATCAAGCAACCTACTAGACATGCCCTTTGATAATCTAGACCCCGCAAATGGAAACGTCATCCCCCCCAATCAAGGAACCATGCATGTCCGCTCCCGGAATGGTGGGAATGCGGCCATAGTGAGCAACGGCCGTATAGTACCGGCCGCTGGGATGATGGGAGGACCGGCAGGTGGGATGCCGCATCAGCGTGGATACTGGGTGACCCCCATCACAGCGGAGCAAATCGTCAAACGGTTGCAGGTAAGTTTGGCTTCCGTCATGAGCGATGATTTTATCCAAAAAAAAGTCTCTTCAGACGTTTGATATCTAACCAAAAAATTTCCAGGGCGAAATGCGCGGTGCGAGGTTGCAAGGCCAGGATCTTACGCGGACTGGCCAGTTCCTGTCTACCCTCTTGTCCAAGGATGATATCAAAGATCTTGATAAGCCCGAGGTCCCTGAGCCGAGTAAGCAGCAGCAGCAGCACATGGTGAACGGAAACGGGATACATTTCCGAGCCGACCCCAAAGCTCGATTCTCCGATCCTCCGGCCCCACCTCCGCAACAACCCTTACCAGAGAAACCCGATATCCCAGCGCTGAAACGCGGCATTACCGAGCGTCCCAAATCGCATCCATCAAACACCTCGCCTATCCGTGATAATCTCAGTCAGATCTTGCAGCTGCAAGAGGACCTTAAGAACACGAAGCGAGAGCTCGAAGGTCGCGATGCCAGGTTGCGCGAGCTTGAGGAATCTTTGCAAAAGGAACGTCTGGCTAGAGAATCGGCCGAAGAACTGGCGAGGAAACTCGAGGAATCCGCGATATCCGCGACAATATCTGCTGCCGCCACTTTGGAACTGGAACAGGAACAGGTCGAACTTGCGGAAGAGCTTTCGCACGTATATATGAACGGAACCGCCAAGGGTGGTGTTGAGAAGGCTCTTTTGGAGGAAGCATTTGAACCCCCACAAGAGCCTGTCGCGTCTGACGAACCTGGTCATTTGGTCAACGGTGTCGAAAAGTCATTAGCGGACCAGGCTGAAAGCACTGCGGCTGCGGCGATAGAGTACCAGACGCGCATCGATGCCATGGCTTCCGAACTGCGAGATATGAAGGAGCAGCTAGAGCAATGGAGGAAGCGATGCGAAACGGCGGAATCGGAACGGGATGCGGATAGGAAAACGCTCTCCGAGATGGTAACTAAGATTCGCCAGGACGAGGAAGCGAGGCAAGCCGCCGCCGCCGCCGCCGCAGCAGCAGCAGCAGCAGAAGCGAGTCGAGGAAAGAGTCGAGGACGGTCGAAGAATCGGAGACGAAGCGCGTCGGGCCAAGATGATCAGCAAGGTCAAGGTGCACCCCGGGCTCTGTCGTCGACTGGGAGGCCATCCACTGAGGATGAATCCCTGGCAGATGGTGATGTGAGGGATGACTCGAGCGACAAGCCAACCCTGTCGAGGGCAAATACTATTACCCCGCAAACATCACCACGAAGCGGGCTCTCACAGGACCAAGCTGTCGTTGCAAGTCTTCCATATGCATCAATGCTTGGGGTTGTCTTGCTGGGGATGGGATTGATGGCTTACATTAACGGCTGGCAAACTTCCCCAAAGCTTGACCGATGATGTGCATCATCCTGTTCAGAGGCCATCGACTTGGTCCTTCTTCCACCTCTCCTCACTGTTCCAAATATTCTTTTCACGACAAGCTCAAGCTCGTTGGGCTTATTTTATGATTGTCAGTTATTACTGTGTGGTGTTGGCATCGACATGCTCACAGCTGTTGCATCTATTGGTCCTATCCTTGCATCATACCTCTTCTTTTCCACTGCATGGCCGGCATTGAGTCTTTGTCACTACTACAAATACCACTGTTGGTACTACTACAATATGGGGCTGCTTTGTCATGGAGGCACCGTTCTCAAGTCAAATACCCACGTCGAAACACATCTCTCTCCTTTGTCAACCACCTTCTTCCTTCTTTCCCCTAACCTTTTATATTAGAGTTTTCTGTGTATGGTCTAAAGTGTGATGAGGTTATTATAGGATTCAGGGAACTCCTTTTTCTTTTTCTTCTTTTTTCTTCTGTTTTTTGGTCTTTTTAGTCTTTTTTCCTTTGTTGAACTCATTGTATCGTCTCTCTCTTTTTCCAGCCCTCTTCCCCCCACATCTTCATTCTTTCCCTTGCCAAGTTACTTATTCCTCCTGAAAGGATAAGGAGGCTGCTGGCAACTTTCTGTCAGGAACTTGGTGTGTTGTGTGAGGTTTACGAGTCATACGGATGGATCACCTGGAAGATGGAGAGGAGGGTTTTTATAAAGGGGAAGGGGGGAGTTCATATGAGCAAATGAATAGCCAGGCAATGGAGTTGTATCTTTCTTTCCGAGACTGTTTTTCCTGTCCTCTTTTCTTTGATACTTGTGAGATGTAGAGGAGTTGTGTCTAACTAGGTTCCTACTCGATTTCTTTCCGAGGACCAAGTCGCCCAGGTTTGACGTCACGTTCGGATAAGGACCCTGATTTGGAGCCATCAGCTGGCAACAGCTGCTCTGCCGGCAAATGCACGCGGGGTTCCTGCGGGTGATTTTTAGCGCATCCCACTGATCCAGCATCCATTGTCTGGTTCTGGTGCCTTTCCAGTGTCCTGATCCGCCCACCCCGCCTTGCCCCTCCATCATCCGATTCCAGCCGGAGCGAGCTTCCAGGTCCCAACTGCAGGTTTCAACTGCCGTTCTTGGTCACAACTGAAAATCTTCATGTGTGAAACGTCGAACGACTCAATTGACAACTTTCTTCGTGTGACTGATCCCAATCGCGATATCAACCCAATTTGATACTTGACCTCTTCCATTCCGTCTGTCTTGCGACGCAGAGTCATCGTCTTCTTCCGTTGGGGGTTTTCTTTTCCGAGCTAAACATCCCACCATCCCACTTTTGCCTCGTCCATAACCCCTCCTCCTCCTTCTCCCTCCTCCATCACCAAAAAGAAAAAAGAAAAAAAAAAAACATAACCACCACGCACGCAAAAAGAACCGAAGCCATGGCGACAGAATCCCCCTCCCCCGCCCCCGAAATGCCCCTCGAAAAAGGCGAGCTCTGCCACCTCCTCCCGCCCTCCTGGAAACCCCAAATCACTGCCTGGCTAGCCGAAGACACGCCCTCCTTCGACGTCGGCGGCTTCGTAGTAGGTGACGTCCCCCGCACGGCCATCCTCTGGGGAAAATCCGCCGGCATCCTCGCCGGCGTGCCCTTCTTCGACGAAGTCTTCAAGCAGTGCGGGTGCACTGTGACGTGGCACCTGCCCGAGGGCTCGCGCATCGACACGAGCGGATCGGGACCGGAGCCGACGGGGAAGATGAGGATCGCTACTGTCGAGGGCCCCGCGAGGGGGATTTTGTTGGGGGAGAGGGTGGCGTTGAATTTGTTGGCTAGGTGTTCGGGGGTGGCGAGTTATAGTCGCGGGTTGTTGTTGAATCTGAGGGGGGCCGGGTATACGGGTATTCTTGCGGGCACGAGGAAGACTACGCCCGGGTTCAGGCTGGTCGAGAAGTACGGCATGCTTGTCGGGGGGGCTGATACGCATCGTATGGATTTGAGCTCTATGGTCATGCTCAAGGATAACCACGTCTGGAGCAGGGGAAGCATCACGGATGCCGTGACGGCTGCGAGGAGTGCTGCGGGGTTTAGCGTGAAGATCGAGGTTGAGGTGCAGTCGGAGGAGGAGGCGGATGAGGCTATTGCCGCGGGCGCGGATGTTGTCATGTTGGATAACTTTACGGGGGCGGGCGTCAAGGCCGCTGCGAAGAGCTTGAAGGAGAGGTGGGCTGGGAAGAAGCATTTCCTGTTGGAGGTTTCGGGCGGCTTGAGGATTGATAACGCTGAGCAATATGTTACGCCTCGTAGGTTTTCCTTCCCCCCCGGGCGTCCATTCATACCCCCTTTGCGCCGGCCGTCGGTTGTGCTAACCTTATGATATAGATGTCGACATCCTCTCGACGAGTTGCATCCACCAGGGCGTTCCCCACGTCGACTTCTCTCTCAAGATTCAACCTCCGCAGGCGTAAACGAAACAAGAAAGAAAATCGTCACGTTACTGGTGTAAATCATGTCGACTGTCAACGCTTTTTTTTTTAAACAATCTAAGTCTCTCTTCGAGGAGGTATACACAATAATTATACAACATACAATGAAACGATGAAGTATCCGAAAGTGGTATACTGCCTATTATACAGACGAGATGCGCCCAACCGTTCTATGTAATTTACTAGTACCATCTTTTCCCACCTTTTTACATACTCGTACACTCGCCCTTTCTTCAATCGTACACCCCTCCTTCACTCACCCACTCACTCACTCATCCATCAACTCCTGCAACAAAGTCTTCCTCGGCACCTTCCTTCTCCCCTTCGACCTCCTCTCACCACCCGAACCACTCTTATCCACCGCATCCTTAAGCCCATGCCCATCGTACCCAATCTCAATGACCTTGGGCTTGGTCTCCCTCGCCCTCCGAGCCCTAACACCTCCATCATCAGGCACCTCTGCACCCCTCCCCAGCCTCACCTTGCGATCCATGCGTGTCTTAGCCCCGAGCGCCCACAGGTCCCCCCACTTCGCCTTGCGCGCGTCGCGGTATGCCTGGTGCCCGTAGCTCTGCGGCACGATCCACCGCTCGATCCTGCCGGCCGGCGTGCAGAGGTCAAGAAGCACGTGGCCGTGACGCTTAAGCGGCGGCGATACGTTCCGCGGCAGCGAGAGCGTGTGAGGACGATCCTCCTCCGCGGCGTCGGCGTAGCCCTCGAAGGCCCTGTCCACGGCCTCTTTACCCTGCTGGACGGAGGCTGGGAGGGACAAGCCACGCTGGATGGCGACGTAGCTGAACTCGACGTCGTCATGGTTGCGGTCCTTGCCGTCCATGATCCTGTGTAGGAACGGTGGGCGGATGAACCGCTGGCTGAAGGAGCAGACGTCCTTCCGGCCCGAGGATTTCCCGGGGATGCGGTACATGGGGCACTGCTTGTGGTTCGTGCAAGGGGCGATGATCATGCCTGGTTCGCGGACCTTTTGAAAGGACGGGTGCACGCCTTCAAGGTCGGGCTGGGAGTTGGGGTGGAGGATGTACTCGTCGAGGAGTTTGGCGCGGACGTCCGCGACGGCTTCGAAGCCGCGCGGGTGGCCCTTTTCCAGGACGATCAGAACGCCGCCCTCGGGAGAGAGGAGAGACCAGAGGTTGTTGAGGATGGCCTTGCGGCGGTGGCCTTCGGGCATTTGGAGAAGGAGGTGGGATGCGAGGATGACGTCGTACGTCTTTCTAGGCTGCGGAACCTCGGGGGCATCGAGAAGCTTCTCGGCGTTGTCGGCGGAGTGGTGGTAATCGGGCAGGCGGGGGAGGAATGTCGTGCTCTCGAGGAAGCGGGATACTCGCTGCCGTAGATTGTCCGACCCGATGATCGTCGTCTTCTTCCCGGGCGGGTGTGCGCCCTTCGCCAAGCCCTCGTCTCGCATGACGTCCCACTCAGCATTGATGATGTCCTGCCAGGCTGCCAACCCAGCGCCACCGCTTCCAGCATCCAAGACTCTCGGGCCCTCGCCTTCGTTTCGGGTAAGCAACCCTCGAATCCATTCGGTGCCGAGCCGTTTCCGTACCTCGACGAGAACGCTCCTGGATGCCGCGTACATCTGTGGGAGGTAGGTGGAAATGAAGACATCGGCGTCGATCTCGGACATGCGGTGATGGCCCGCCTGCAAAGACATGGGCAGCATGGGCCTGTTTCTCTGGCCCGGCGGCGTAATGGCCGAGTCTGGAAGTCCCGGGCCACCGTAAGCCTTCTCCGCCGCCTGCTTGACGTGCGTAAGGTCGGTTCTCGTGAGGAGTCTGGCGATTGGCTCGACAAAAGAATACTTGGGTATTTGTACAGTCGACGGCCTGGGCCCGAAGTGGCCCTCTTCCGTGAGCGGGTGCGATCGGGACCGGGGCCCGAATCCTTCGATATCTACATCGTCGTACTCGGGTCTGTATTCGTTCTCGTAGTGTTCTTCGACCTCTTGGAGGAGATCAACCGCCCTAGACTTCCTCATCTCCGCCTCCTCGGTTTCGTATATTTTGGCCTTCTCGGCAGCGATCTTGAAATCATTTTCCAACTTCATCAACGCATCATACTCTCGCTTACTCCTAGCCACAATGCCAACGTAGCCATCGCCGCGCTCGGGGAACTGCTCGCCAGCATCGGACATGCCGTCCTCCGTCATCAGCGTACCCGTCGTCTTTAAGCTGTTGTCGCCGTAGCTCGTCTCGGCATAGTTCCCCGACATGTCGGCGTGATGGGGTATGCCAACGTCGTCGGGATCCGTTTCGCGCAATGGGGGGCCGTAGAGACGCTCGTATAGCTTGTACTCCTCATCGGTCAGGTACCCTTTCGGTAGCGTGTCTCGGAATCGTTGTTTCGCATCGCGCACGACTTTCTCGATATTTTCTGGCTGGCTCGACGTGAGGTCCGTTCCGGTGCCCTCCAGGGACTGAGATTGCTGGTTCTCGGTCGAGTAGTGGCGGATCGGAGCGATCCTGCGAGCGACAACGGAGCTCCCGAGAGTTCGTTGGCGGAGCGGCAGGCGCAGTCCCGCGCCATGGCTAAGCTCAAGGACACCCGAACGGGCTGTCCTACATATGGGACATATGCTCCGCGCACTCCTAGCCGCTAACATGGTGAATAACTGGGAGCAATGGCGAGATTGGCGATTCAGTGAAAATCTCCAAGTCGCAACTTTCTGGCCCCAAAATATTTTTGATAAGAGGCGAATCTGGTCACGTGGTTTCTTATCGTCCTCTCATCTTGCGAGAATTACCAACGCGATAACCCGCAAGTGCGCCACTAGCGCGTTGCTCCTAAGTGTAACCTCAGGCTTGACTTTGTGATGGAGAGAGACGCAAGATCTTGGCTTCTGGGCCGATGACAGCTTGTTGCTCCTTGAGCATCTTAAATCCACGGGAAATGGGAATATAAATAAGAGACGAATACAAAAGGGTTTATAGTTGTGACGCTTATATGAATACATTATGCTTGGTGCTGCCCATCCGTTTAATCGTGTCAAAACATTAAAAAGAAAAAAAGAAAGAAAGCCACCCATATCCGCTCAATCGCAGACCCACTCACTCCTCGTGCCCCAGGTCCGCAAACGTCCGATATGCAGCCCTAGGTCCCTGCCTCGTCGCCGGTACTGTCCCACGCTGGCTACCCGTCTGCAGCGCAGGCCCCTGCGGTTTCGGGCTGACGACATTGAATCTAGAATTCTGCGCAGCCATGTACGGATCGAACTAAAAACCGAGCAAAATAACAAACATCCATCTAGTTAGCCGACGACTTCCCCCCGAATAACCAGGTGATGACACGTGCCGATAGCAAAGAGGCAAAGTACAGCCCGCCGAAGAGGACGACCGAGCTGAGGATGGAGCTAAAGTCGAAACCGGCGGGCTGCGCGTTGCCGTTTCCGAGGGTGCGGCCGGGAGACTTGAAGTACTCGCCGGGGGTCCCTTGGTCCTTGAGCTTGAGGGCTTCGTTTATGGCGGTGCCGAGGGCGGCAGGGTTGGCGCCGCGGATGGTGTTGATGGCTTTGCCGCAGTGGAAGATGATGAAGGTGGGCATGGCGCTGACGCCGTGGGAGCGCGAGATGGAGGAGTGGCTGTCGACGTTGACCTTGCAGAAGGCGACTTTCTTGGGGACGGAGTATTCCTTGGCGAGGCGCTCGAAGGTCGGTGCGATCATTTTGCAGGGGCCGCACCAGTCGGCGTAGACTACAGAAGAAGGATAGACATGTTAGCTAGCGAAGGAGCGAGGAGAGTGATGGTGAGGGGAAGAGGCGATATGTCGGCGATAAAGTGCCCAGCACTTGGGATGGTTCGGGTCACGTACAGTCGGCGATGACGACATTGTGGGTTTTTAGGATATCTTCCCACTGGGCGGAGGAGCCGATACTGATGGGGCCGGACATTTTGAATCGAAGTGTGTGGTTGTGATGGAGTTGGAAGATGACAGGTATGATGATGAGAGGTTGCGATAATCTACAATGGAAGGAACCAACATCCTGGCATAGATTACTTAATCAGCCGTGACTTGGGCACAGTTAGTCGTGCAGTGTGCCTGCCTGCACTTTAAAAAATGTTAGCTCCACTGCCCCACTGCCCCAGTGAAGTTCAATTGACCATAGACGCTGTCATTGACTTCCATCCTCACTTGTCCACAGCTAGCAAGACACGCCTGAACCCTTATCCTCTTCTTCACTCTCCCTCAAACAACAAACCACCTTCTTGCATCCTCCCAATCTATTCCATCCATCAATTGCCACTCCTCATTCTATCATCACCATCAATCACGACTTCATTCTATCCATCAATTACCACTCACTTGGACAACATGTCGGGCAAGGAGGAAGATTTGGCCGGCCAGCTCGACTAGCTGTCAACCCAGCAGCCAACACCTCTGCAGACAACTTCGAGCGGAACGTCGCACGATTCCCCAGTGCCATCTAAGAACCCATCCTCTCGCGAGACCCAGACGTCCGCCGTCGATAGTATCATCGCCGAGATCTGCAACCGCCGCAACGGCCGACCTCAGCATGAGTCGGAGTGGTGGTGTGTCAAACTCAGCCTCGAGGAATTTAGGTCTTTCGAGGAACGTATCCAGGAAGACGAGGACGTGTACGGTTTTTTCTTAGACAAAGTCCAGTATGTCCTCCCCCCCCCCCCCCCCCCCCCCCCCCCTTTTCCCTTTTTCCCTTCTTACTCTTGTTTCTTTTTGCCCGGTATTTACTCATTTCCTTAGGTACGATTATTTTCCTCGATTTTCCCGCTTTGTCCTACGATACCCAGATAACGTTTCCGAGATTTCCAAAGGTCAAGTTCAGACTCGGATTTCGCAGCAATTATTCTCATTTAGGCGAGGCCAAGACCAACAAGCTGCGGAGTTTGCCCGGAAGGTGGTAGGCAGGGGAAGTGCTCTGAACGTCCTAAAGGAGCAGCAGCGCCACTGTCCGGATTTTTCGTACGGCCGTTACGATGCTGGTGACTCCGGTGTGGTCATTTAAGTTTCCCATTCGCATAAGCGAGTGTATCTACCATACCTAGCCAACGATTATATTCTCGGCTCGAATGGGGCTATCCGAGCGGTCATCGGGATCGATTTTGAATATCGGGAGGAGAAGGGGCTTGAAGCAAAAGTCTTCGTTTGGCGACCAAAACTCGTTGAACGAGAGGGAGTTGTCGCGCTGGAAGCTTCTCTGACGTTCGAAGGTATCTTCCGAGCCGCCGATGGGAGCTTGGCCAATGGGGACCAAACCCTCTCTATCCAGCTCCAGGACTTTGGAAACAAGGCTGCTTGTCCTGGAATCGAAAATATATCCGGGGAGGTCATGATTCCGTTCTCGGAGCTCCATGATTTTGTTCGAATGGCAGAGGAGTTTGAGAGAAGGAGCGAGGCTCTCCGGGACCTGCGCAGGAGCCAGATGTTGGCCCCAGGTGTGAAACGGCTAGTGGGGGTTAGACCACAGCCGGGAGAACCTGATGACCAAGTGCGGTCCCAAGTACTTGAGGACTAAGTCGGCCAGCGGCCTTGCGACAAGGACGCTGATTCTACTCCGAGCAATCGGTAAATTTGCTCTGAAACTAGTAAAGCAAGGAAACGGGCTATCACTTGGAATGGGAAATACAAGTTCCTTAGATGAATTAGTGGACTAGCAACTCCACAGATACTGTCCTGGGAGATTCTCCTGCGACGAAGTAGTCGTCGGAGATACATCAATAACATAAATAGAAGGCGGTGAAGAACAGCTAAATTCTGCCGTCACTTTCTACCCCACAACTAAGCTACCGCCATTTTTTATTTTTCCTCCAGCATATTTTTTTACCAGAGGAGGATCTCTGCAGCAATTTTATATAAAAATACAAAGCGAGTTTTTCAACTCATTTCAGCGTTCAGCCTCTCCAATTGCTAAAATAAGATGTCCCGATTCGAACGAGCCAACAAGGTTAATACATCCAAGACTACACCTACGAAACCAAAGCGCATAGACTCCAAGACTAACATCATCCAGAAGCGCAAGGTCGCTCACGAAGACGAGGAGCCCGGAAAGACAGCATGGAAACCCTCCGCTATGTTTACGCCCATCGAGGGCGGTAGGCAATGGACCCTGTCAGTGGCGTTCGCAGCCAGCGTGCTCAAAGAGTAATTGACGTCTTCAGGCCCCACCCGCTCGCGGCTTCAGGAATCCGCCGTGCTGACTTTGGACATTGGCTGGTTCTATTAGTACCTTCTCCGCCGATCAACAAATCGCCATTCCCGGCCGAATAGGACGCGCTCTCGCGGTCTTCAACGTCGACGAGGTCATCGTGTACGACGATAGTCCTAGGGAGGAAAGGCCTAGGAGGGTCGATCCCGCGAGCTACACCGCCGACACCGACCCCTGCCACTTCCTCTCACACGTCCTCTCGTACCTCGAGACGCCTCCTTTCATGCGCAAGGCGCTGTTCCCGCTTCATCAGAACCTCAGGCTAGCTGGGAAGCTCCCCAGCTTGGACATGCCTCACCATCCGCATCCTAGGGAGTGGATTCCTTACAGGGAGGGTGTGACCATTTCGAGACCAAAGGGCAAGACTGGGTAAGCTAGAATGAGAAATGACAATTGCAATCGCTCCCTTCGCAGAGGAAAAAAAAATCTAACAAATCCACCAAGAACCCTCGTTGACGTCGGCCTCGACGAACCCGTAACAATACAAGACTCAATCCCCCCCAACACCCGCCTAACCCTCCACTTCCCCACCGAAACCACCCTCACCCCCGAAGCCGTCCACCCCTCCGCCCCGCGCACCGAAGGCGGCTACTACTGGGGCTTCAGCGTCCGGCGCAGCGCCTCCCTCTCCTCCGTCTTTACCGAGAGCCCCTACGAGGACGGCTACGACGTCAGTATCGGCACCTCGGAGCGCGGGCAGACCGTCGACCGCGCCTTCCCGCCCGGCAAGATCCCGGACTTCAAACACCTGCTCGTCGTGTTCGGGGGCCCCAAGGGCATCGAGTACGCGGCGGGGAATGATGAGGAGTTAGGGAAGATGCTGGAGGAGGGGACGAGGACGAGGGAGTTGTTTGATTATTGGATTAATGTTTTGCCGAGGCAGGGGAGTCGGACGATAAGGACGGATGAGGCGGTGTTTATTGGGTTGACTGCTTTGGGGAGGTTGTTTGAGGAGGAGTGATTTTTATCTCACTGTTGATTTGCTTGCTTGAGCGTGAGGTTGCGCTTCTAGAGAGGAACGAGGATACCCTGGACCACAAACATTATGAGAGTGCAGTGGACATTTAGCACAATGCGAAAAAGAATCGCCGGTTTTTTCCTCCAAAGAAATACAGTTCCAATTTCCAAGGCAATAAACATTTACAATTATATAAAATAGAAGGAGAAGCTCTCAGCCAAACCCCTATTTCTATATGTACCTAAAAGAGTTCTCTCAACAAAACCCAAAAATACAAAAATACAAAGAAAAGACAATTATATCCTATCCCTTCATTGCCTTTCAAGCATCATGGTACACCGCTATCGTGTCGACGAAGCCGGCAGTGTTATTGCTCGCGAAAGCAATGTCCTCGCCATACCTCGTAATCATCCGCACGGTACCAATGGTGTTGAGGTTGTAAGTGTTGAGACGGGTGGTGCCGCCGGGGGAAGGATGAGTTCCGTTGTGGCCTGGAGAAGGGTGGGTTCCGTTGTGTCCGTGGCCGCCGTGGCCATGGCCGCAGCTGCCTCGCTTCCTGATAGACTTCGACCCTACAACCTCAAAGATCCTCTGCTGACACTCGGTACCCGAGGTAGGCTGGCAGCAATCGGTGCTGTAGTTATTAAAGAACGAATACAACCCGGCACCGAAGATGACCAGATCCTTCGAACCGATAACCCTAAGACCCCAAGCCATCTCGCAAGGGACACCAGCAGGCACACCCGCGCAGCTCTTGGCAAAATCGGGATCCTGGAGGGAAGAAACAGGAGGGAAGGGCACGCTGGCAGGAGGATTGGGCTGATAGTAAGGGGTCTCGGATTGGATCTGGGCCAGGTAGATGTCCCGCGTGTTGACGAACTGGTACTGGTAGAGAACGTGGTGCTCGGATCCCGAACCGCTGATGAAAATGCGGCCCTTCTCGGCCTCGACGAGGATTCCGCGCCCGGCGAAGATGGTGATCTGCGTGTAGTTGGGGTCCTCGAGGTCGTGGTCGGCCACCCAGACCCAGCAGTTCTCGTTGTAGAGGCCTCCGGCGGACTTGGTGACGTGAAGCGAAATGTACGCGGCGATGCACTCCTCGTTGACGACGTTGCTCTCCGTGGGAGTGGTGGGGCACTGGGAGAGCTGGAGGTCCGTCCCCGCGAAACCGCCAATGCGGACGTGAACATCCCACATGCCCGAGGGCTCGCCGGGAGAGTACAGGTTCCACTCGATGAGCTTGGCGCCTGCCGTGGCACCGCGGGTCGAAACGATGGTGTCGGACCACTCGACGCGGCCTTTGTCGCCAGCGTTGCCGACACGGATGACGGCGCGGGGCTTGTTGATGTCGGAGAACTTGGGGCCAGCGCCGACGATGACGGATGCGAGGGCTTCGCCGACGATCCGGGCGCCAGCGGGGATGGTGACTGTGTCAGTGACGACGTAGGTGCCTGCATCGATGAAGGCGACGAGGTCAGTGCCGGCGACGTGGGCGAAAAGGTCGTTGAGAGCGGCGGTGGCATCTTGGAGGCCGTCTCCACTGGCGCCGAAGGTGCGGACGGAGACAAACTTAGAGGCGGGGACGTCGGCATAGGTGGGCTAAAAGGAATGTCAGATAAGGCATGTATATGCAGGGAGAGAAATGTATAGATGAAGAGAATGAATACGGACCTTGGACTTTTCGTAGTACTTGTCGCCGTCGAGGAGAGCAGCCGGGCGAGGGAAGTACTTGCTGTCACTGCCAGTGTAGACCTTGGGTCCCTTGTAGTCATAGAGATGACCCTGAAAAAAAAGTCAGCTCACGGCGTTCTCCGCTGACGGTCTTCTTCACAGACACGCGATTGGGGGCGAAAGGTTTCAAAAAACTTACATCGGCATAACCCTCGATCCAAGTTTGGCCAGCCGAGTCACCAGGAATAACGACACCCTTGGGGCCAGTAAGAATAGTAGTCACGGTATCAAACGAGACATTCTCTAAGACGAGCGAACCCGCGGCCTTGGGAGTAGTGTTATCACCATCTCGCTTGGTCCTGATGGCCTCACCAACCCTCGTGAACTCGCTATCAAGAATGGTAAGAGAAGCAGTGTTGGTATCGACAACATCAATACCGACTTCGCAGTCCTCAACAACAAGCGACTTGTAAGTCCAACCCCAATCCCAAAGCTGGCTGATAGCAGTCTGGCAGCCGTAGAACTGAAGGTTCCTAGCAGTGTACTGCTGGTTGCCCAACCGAGCACCAATGGAACCACCACGGAAAACGAGATCGTTCAACAGGCCGCCGGAACCCTCCTCGATCAACATACCGACATGCTTCGTGCCAGGGGCGGAGGAGAGGCGGAACTCGACGTTGGTGAGAGATGTGGCCTGGGACGAGGGCCAGTGAAGACCGACAGCGTCGGCGGAGGCGGGGATGGCGGTGGTGTCGATGATGATGTTGTGCAGCTGGCGGAAGAAGACATTGACGGCGATCCAGGCGAGGCCATCGGCGCCGTAGCGGTTGCCATCGATGACGCCGAGAGTGGTGGTAGTTGGGAAGTTGGCGGAGGCCTTGATCACGGGGCGGTCGGTCGGGTCGCCGATGATTTGGGTGTAGTAGTAGTCGATGATAGAGTTGGAGACAAGGTAAGTTCTATTGTAAAGGCAGTTAGTGATACTTGGTCTCGGAGATTTCTTTCTGTCTCCATCCCCGGTTTGTGAATAATAAGATTCATGATGAGAGAACGACGTACCCTGGAGGGAAGTAGACCACGGCAGGGGAGGTCGTCGACTGCTTACACTCCTGCGGCGCACACCTGCCACCGGAGCTAATAGCCAGGTTGATGGCTTCGGTATCATCGGTCACGCCATCTCCCACGGCACCGAAATCCTTGACGTTGCGGAAGACCTTATACTCAGGATCAGAATGATATGGCGCCTTGCCCTGGTGAGCAATATCCTCCAACCAGTAGGCAGCGACGCCCCGGACGGCAAGTGTTGCCGCCCAGAAGAGCGAGGTGGACAGACGCATTGCTCGATGATCTGCCTTTCCGATGCGTCTTTGGTTGTCGTGACGCAGCGAGGGGGGGGGGAGAGAGAGAAATAGAGAGAACGACAGACGTGACGAGGAAAAATGAATTCCCTCGTCCAAAAGAAAAAAATGAAGTTCACAAAAAAAAGAATGACGATGCTCCTCGACTAATGTCCTCAAGAGGAGATGTGATGAAGCTACCCCGGTTCAAGACCCGACTTTAAGGCTCCGATGATCTTCTTTAACCTTTTTTTCCACCAAAAACTTCTTCGAGGCCGGGATGGGAGGACAAGTGACGATCACCTTCCAAGGCGGGTAATATTATCACCAGGCGCGAGAATATGTGGGCCAAAGGCAAGTCGAGGAAGATGGCCGATCTCGATCTCGGGCTGAGGATTGAATTGGACCGAGCTCAGCTTGCACGCCACACGTTTCCTACCTCACAAAAAGCAGGACGATATTAGCGAGGGCTTGTATGAACACCCTTGAAAACGAGTGACTGTCCAAAACGGACGGAAGATATTATTAAATGAGCGTGGGTGAGGGAGGATGAAAAATGAATGAAAAGCTGAGTGGGATAGAAATGAAAGACAAGGATTTAGAGAGGACCGAGGGGGGATATTATTAGACTGATACCAGATCCCGGGATGGAGACAGACGCAGGTACATACAGACAAGCAAGTATTAGTGGAGTGAGCGCAGGCGGATGGACTAGGGGCGCTCGGAGGTGGAACCGTGGACCATGGGCGGGAGGGATCAATGGCTCAAAGGTGTCAAAGACATCAAATCCAATCGATCCCACCTGTCTGGTACCTCGAAGATTTGACAGGAAAAAGAAATAAGTTCGAAATACTTTGCTGAACTGGGCTGTTCTTCCTTGATCTCCTGGAACGCGTAGAAGAATGAAGCTGTTCCCGGCTTCTTTTATATTGTGTTCATCACCTTCATCGCACCGCTCGTTTCCCTTCTGTAATGGAGAGTGATGGTATCGCCCAGCATCGCTGCTTGCAATGTGCACTTGCAGCTTGCGCCGTGTCCCTGACGAAAGGGAAGCCATGGACACTTTCATCCTCTCATGAGTTACGATACGAAGAGTCCGGGGTAAGGGACGGCTCCATCACCAGGTCCGAGTGCGCGGTCCAATGCAGGCGATACCACTTGTAATACCCCGAGACCGCGGAATATTACAATTCAGACCTGCCAGAACGGGAAGATACGATGCACGATGATTTCCCATCGAGTACGAAGTACTTCCGCGCCAACTCTGGTAACATAGCCACACCATAAGGCGACGTGATGTGTGCGAATTAGAATATTGACTTGCATCATGCTTTTCTGGCAGAGGTGAACGGGACCCATAGGCAACCTCGACTTCGAAGTTTGCCGCAGCTAGCCTCCTTTTTCTCCCTTGCTCTAGCGCCGGCAGAGATGGAACTTAAACCTGTCTCCGAAAGCAATAAAAGATGCACAGAGTGGGAGAAGGGACGAGACAGAATACTCTCTCAGCAGTCATAACAAGCAAATAGTTCATTGTGTCTGCGTCATCCGAACACAGTTTTCCAGCTTGGAAAAGGGGAGAAGGGAAAAAGTAAGCAGGAGAGAAACACGCGAGAAATTGGGTAGAGCGCGTGCGCGATGCGATCCTGCAGGTGTGGATGCAGCCCAGCCTATGTAAGTGAGGAAACGTGCGCACACAATTCTCGCATGAACGTGCCGCACCGAGTCAAAACTTTGGGAAGTACGAGGGAGTGTATACTTGTAGTATCGAGGCATCCGAGCACGCTCTGCGAGTGATCAAGGGAGCTGGCAAAACGTGGACTGAGTCCGACAACTTCCCTTTGACCCGACATCATCGGAAGGTGGGAAGGCAACAACACCTGATGCCCCGTCAGTCTAACAGTCTAATAACGGCCAAGCAGAAAAAAAAAGGTACGAAGGCCGAGTCGGGGAAAAGAGGAGACGATGGAAGACCAAGACTCAAAAAGAGCAAGCGGACCATGGGGCCGAGGACCAGGATTAACACAAAACAGGACTAGCGCAATCATAATGCCACCACAATGGTCGATGAGTCTCAATGTCCATCACTGAAGAGGGCTGAGGTTAAAATTGCGATCGCCAAAGCGGATGCAGGACAATGGGAGGACGGAGGCAAGGGGAGGGTCGAGACGGCGTCATTGTCGAATAGAGAGTCGCGCCTGCATAAATATTTGCCAGGGGCACCCGGGATTCTGCCGAGAAGAACCCTTGGCTTGACCTCGAGGAAGACAAGCAAAGTACAGTAGCATTGCATTTTGAGCGGTTGAGAAGTTGAGTCTAGTGGAGTGCACTGACATTGACAAGACGGGGTCTGGTGTCAGGTACGGCAAAGGGATCAGGGACCACCGAACCTAAACCGGGCGATAGTGACACCAAGACAGATTCGATCCGCCAGCCGTCGCCACCCAGGTCCAGCCGCCATGCCATTGCGATCTCGACAGTGTTATCCTTCCGCGATTGATTGCCTCCCATGAGATGAGAGAATCGAGATTATACAAATCCGTCACAGAAGAAACATCCCTACTCTCACCAGAAATGACATCAACTGTCGTCTCAGGTTGACTCTCAACATCACCTCATTGACTTGGTGCTGGTGTACTAGTGCCTACGAAGTACATTGAAACACTTCCCCCGTTCCCGCTTCTCAACTGAACCCCCATGTTAGACTTCAGCTCGTTCCCTCCGTCCTATCCATCCTATCCATCTACCTAGCATCGAGTGACACCCTCGCAAGCGCGCTCTGCATACCCAAAAAAGCAAAGTAAGCCTCTCCCGAAAAGCAACTCTCACTCTGCGGCTTGCTGTAATATAGTAGCACTATTATCGTTGAAGGAATCCGAGGGGAAAAGAAGCACATTCGACCCCGATCCAATGTCTGCGACGTGTCTATGTGCCGACCACAGACCCGGTTCCCATCCAATGATTGTCCCTCTTTTCCCATCCTTCTCTGCAGTGCTTACCTGCACATGGCATGAGATTGAATTGGTCCATGAATGGAGGAAAGATATTAAAGAACACACCATTGGAACAAAGTGAAGGAGGGCAGCTACACCAGAAAAGTCCAATGAATGAGAAAAGCGAAGAAACCGACGAAAGGGCCTTCGGCGCTTCTCCCCCGCTCGGCGAGTTCGCGATCCGTGAATCAAGCCGAGCTGAGGCGAAAACCCGCAATCGCGACTCGCGTTATCGCATCCGATCACTCTGACCTTCAAGCTCAAGCTCACCAATTGCCTCGAGATGTAGAAGTGACAGTAACGCGGGGGAGCCCGCGAGAACCAGTTTTCAAGCTGTGTAGCGCGGTAGTAGTAGTCTATGGTGAATAGATTACCTTCCCTCATCGTCCTTGAAAGAGGGGAGGGACAAAATTGCCGAGGAGCGATGATGTAGTTGATCCCCCATCTATCTAGTAGCAGAACCCGAACGCCAGCCCGGGAAAATAAACCGGGCCATACGACAAACCAGAGAAGGAAATATACAGCAGCGGAGGCAGACGCCACCACGGTCCCTTATCGGACCATTCGTCCAAGACAACCCCCTTACTGCTCCTTCACTGACTCGACACCTTGCCCCTCCGCGGCAATGGCCTCGTTCAACTTTTGACCATCAATCGCCTTTTGCCCCGCCCGCTTCTTGAGCACGTTCTCGATGAAGGCCTCGCCCGCCTTGTAGGACGAGCGGACGAGGGGCCCGCTTGCGCAGTACAGGAAGCCCATTTCCATGGCGCGGTCCCTCCACATGTCGAACTCGTGAGGCGGGATGTATTTCTCCACCTTGAGATGGCGCTTCGTGGGGCGCATGTACTGGCCAAAGGTGACGACGTCAACGTCGACCTTGCGGAGCTCTGCAATGGTTTACTTCAGTAAGGAACCGCAACAAAGGGAAAGGGCTGGGGAATAGTAAACAGCCAAGCCGTAAAGGCCGAACATACCTCGTAGAGCATCCATCACCTCATGCTCCTGCTCACCAAGACCAAGCATGATGCTTGTCTTCGTAATGATACCCTCCTTACCCCTAACCCTCTTCACCTCCTCCAACACCTTCAAACTCTGCCTAAACGTCGCCCTCCGATCCCTCACATACGGCGTCAACTCCTCCACCGTCTCGATATTATGCGCATACACATCCAACCCGCTCTCGGCAACAACCCTCACCATATCCAGATCCCCACGGAAATCCCCCGTCAACGCCTCGACGAGCAAATCCGCCCTCTTCGCCTTAATCCTGCGTATCGTCTCCGCGAAATGCCTCGCACCCCCATCCGCCAAATCATCCCGATCCACGCTCGTGAGCACCACATAACCCAGCCCCCACCGGCTCAACGCCTCCGCCACGTGCTCCGGCTCGTGCGGATCCAGCGGGGGGGGCTTCCTGTTCGTCTTGACGCTGCAGAATCGGCAGCCGCGCGTGCACGTGTCGCCCATGAGCATGATGGTCGCCGTCGCCGCGGACTTGCTCGAGCCGCCCCAGCACTCGGATACGTTGGGGCAGCGCGCTTCTTCGCAGACCGTGTGCAGGCCTAGGCCGCGCAGGTCGGCCTTGATCTTCTTGTAGTTGCTGTTGCCGGAGGGGATCGGGGTTTTGAGCCATTCGGGAAGGCGCGTGATGGTCTTCTTGCGGCCGGCGGGTCCGACTTCGGCGGTGCGGAGGGTGTAGGCCTCGGTTGGTGAGAGCGGCGCGGCGGCTGAGGAGGTGCCGACGAACTCGGAGAAGGGCGCTACGGTGGTGTCTTTGAAGTAGGTTGGTCGCCGCGCCTTGGTCTGGCCTGATGGCGCTGCCGTCTCGGAGGGTTCGCCGGGGATGGTTGCGAATGATCGGATGGTCGTGGATGACAAATTCGCTGCGAGAGCTCGCCGGAGCGGCGGCTGCAGGCGTTGGAGCGACGTTGGCGGCATCGTCGATTGATTCTCAAGAGGGAGATTCCGCTGCGGGACGGCGGATTGCAGGTCAATGGTCTTGACAGCCAGCGCCCAAAAGCTCTGGTCGTGGGCGTAGCTATCACAATGCGTGTAAATGGAACTTGATGTGTTGAGGGACCAGCCACGAGATCGTGGTTGAGATTTCAATAAAAATTGGCGAGTCAATGATTCGTCAACGTAAATTTTTGGGGGCCCTGGTTCCCGACGACACCCACTGAATCGGGTATCTCCGGCCTAAAACATTTCCAACTTGCACTGGAATGAAACGGCTCACTCCCCAAGTCGTGATCAATGATGACTAACAAGGGCGTTGCCCAAGCCTGTCTGGGGCCCCATTCCTCTGTTTGCATTGAGTTTAAGCGTTGATTAAGCCTCAACCCCTTTTCAGTAGGTCTAAACGTGACACTGATCTCCGAGGGGATTATCAAGACCATCCGGCGATCTTAGTGCATCTTATAGCTTCAGTTGGAGGCCTATCCATTAAGACGGAGAACATGAAATCACCAAGAAAACGTTTCAACGCCAAAGACTTGGTCCGCCCCGCGAAGGAGACAGACCTCTATATTTGACATCTTCCTACTTGCTATTTTCTACCAAAGAAACACCACCTCCCCCACTCCAAGTATCAAAAAAAAGAAGAAAAGACTCCAATCACACCATTCCCTCGCCTCGCTTTCACTTAAACAATGGCCTTAGAAAACAGAATGGGAAGGGCTAACAAAAAGCCAACATCTCTCAAGCCAAAAGGTCAAAAAGCTAAGGGCTTGAGGATGGGAGAAGAACGTGGTTTCAAGAAGGTAGTATAGTTCAGGGGGTATGAAGAAGTACACAGCGCCATCAAGGGTTCCTTTCCTCTCATTTTTTTCCGGTCCCGCGGTTCGTTCGTTGGTAAGGTGGTCGTGAGGTTTCATGAGCCGACATCACATCCCCATCGAGGGATATGAAGCAGTGGTCCTCGGCCCTCGGCCACTTTCAGGGCGGAATGACGACAAGTCGTCATATAAGAGGCAATGCAGGTAGATTTGGCCAGCCAGGAAACGACCTGTATCGAAAAGAGAATATCCGTCGCTCATCCTTCGATTTGATACAGTCGTCTCCTGGAAAACAGGTTCGCACCATCAAGGCGTGGCGGCCCTCCGATGAGGACTTTTTGAAAAAGAAAAAGGGTCAAAAGGTGAAAAAGTGGGTATTCAAAACGAAGAAGAAGCGAAGATGGGTTTTTGGTTGAACAAAGATGAAAGCGGCCCTTGCTTTTTTTTCCGAGTTCATCGTTGATCTTCGTCAACGTACAGCCCTCATTGTCGTTCATCGTCATGCAGGTAAACAAAGGGAAATAATACTGGATGGACGGATAGGATATTCGGCGTCGATACGGCTCGAGTTCGGGCTGCATCTTCGACCCAAGATCCCTCCCATTAACAACGTCACGCGCCCGTCCCCTTTCAACTTCCTCCTCTCTCTCCCCTCACTCAAGCCGCGTGAACGCGACTTTTACATGAGGGCGATAGCAACCATACCAGCGAAGCCGGCAAAGGCAACGTTAGCGACGTCCAGGACGCCAGCGGCCGAAGAGGACGATTCGGTGGGAGCCTCGCTGGTGGTGGAAGCGGGAGGGCGCACGGTGGTAGAGGCTCCAGCAGGGGCAGACGACGTGATGGTACCGTTGGAGAAGGCAGTCTCGGTGTACTTGCTTAGAGTGACGGTCTTGGTGAGAGTGGTGGTCGAGGTGAGCGTGGTGGTGGTGGTAGCCTCCTGGGCCATGGCAAGCATGGGGAGGATGACGGCTGACACGAGCGTGAAGAGCTTCATCTTGACGGCTAATCCAAAGCGACCTTCTCCTTTCTTCCTTCTAGGATTGGTTTGAGATGAGAAAATGGATCGACTTGGATCGAACTGAAGCGCCAAAAGATCCAAACGATGGATGTTTCTGTTCGTCAAACGTTGGGTTATGTTTCGAGTGGCTTATAAGCGCGAAGAGTTTGTGTGTGTTTTTGAGTGAGTGGTTTCGTGAGAGAGATCTCGAGTATAAGAGTTGCCGGTTATAAAGCAGGTTGTACGATTGGAATGGACTTTGCCAACGAAGCCCTGTGGGTTTGCTCAAAGAGAACAAGTTTTGCGAAAAGAATGGACGGACTTGCGAACTCAGGATCGTGATAGTGAAAGGGAGAAGGAGAATAAGAGGAGGTGTGGACGAAAAGAGAGGGCGAGCAGGGACATGATAATAACAGGCACAAAGCCCACAAGCGCAGGGCAGGAAATGAGAGAGCGGCCGAGATTGTGAAGGGAGGGGGGTGTGGTGCGTGTAAGTAGAGTAGTGCCGTGTGGGAAATTCCTCGAGGAACCAGGGGGTGCGTGCTTTGGTGTCGCAATAGGTTTGGAGGGGGTGTCTCGATGGACGGGTGAGAAGAGGTGGTCCAACCAGGCGAAAGCGAAGGAGAAATTGGGCTTTGGAAGCATTTTTTCCCTTCCCTCTCGTCTCGATGCGAGCGTACCACCCTGTGCCAAAGTCGCGAAGATGGGCGGGCGTTGGCCGAGGGTGGTGCCGACTTTGCTCGAAGACGCTAATCCTGAAGGAGCAGCCTGAGCCTTTCTCATGGTCCGTCCGTCCGTTCTGTATCCTGTATCCACAGCAGCCACAGTCTGGGGGTCTGGCGACCATGCGAGTTTGAGAAGAAAAGGAAAAAAGTCGTCTCCTCACTTGACTTAGACTAAGTACATAATAGTACTTCTATATGGCTCTTTTAGTGGCAGTTTTAACCAGAGACAAGCAGACGAGGATGTACATGATTGTACTCTATTAAAGTCAGTGCCGGGATGCCTTGTCAGAAGGTGGTCTCCAGTGTTTCCACGAACGGAAGAATAGCCTCGGTGTCATTAGCCAGCAGCAGACAAGCTTTCACGCCCGAGAGTCCTTCCGAGGCCGTCGTCGAGATCAATTGATGCGCAACAAAGTATATAGATCTACATCTCCACTAGACAACGGCGGCAAATATCGTTGAAATGAGCAAATCAATGGGTCTTCTCGATGGACCGATCTACACCATCTAGTATTGATTGGTATCCACCGACGACCGTTGCACTCTGATTGAGATAGAGTAGTGTATTGAGCGTAGTGGAGTGTGCGTGTGCGCTCTGGTGGCTGCGACTGACCAGTGCATGTACACTACACTATTTCCATAGTGGCGTGGGAGGCAAATCCAGAGCATCCAGGTCCTTTGCGCTGGCGCCATCGCCGTCGCATCGCTCATCTTCTACCAACACTGGAAATATGAATTGGGGTTCTGCGAAGCAGATAAAATAATATAATAGAGGCGATGACGGCAGCTCTATCGATCTGTCCACCGAGGGCCTGGTTCCCCGAGGCGCGACAGAATCGATTATTTCTCGTCGATGAATCGCAGGTCGAACAATCTTTATCTGCGCCTGATAGCGCAAAGACATTGCACATTATCTCGACCATCCCACCTTCCGCAAATTATCGCAATTCTTCTCTCGTCTCGTGGGGTGGACAGTGGGCCACCGATGCTATGCTGTGTGTGTTAAGGTGTAACTGACAAGGGTTCAGGCCCAGCCAAGGGGGGGGCAACGGGGGACCAGAAGAGATCCATATCCAAGGGGCTTAATGGTCTGGTGGACACTTTTTTTCACGGTACTTTGTCCCTGTAAAATGAGCAACAGGCACTTAAAGACCTTAAAGAGCCCCGCTAAGTAAAATCTGGGGTTCGCTTGGTCGATTCGGTCGTCGCAAGTGTTCTCGTCTCGTTCGAAATCCCTGTCGAGAGTGGCCATCGTGAGAGGTGCGCAATTTCCAGATCCACTTTTTTGGTTGATTGGCTTCTCGCATCTTGCAATTGAATGGTCCGTTCGATGGGATGTGCGCTCGGGTGATGGATGGTGAGTGATGGACGAGACGGGTGATGGGGTTGTCGGAGGATACATTTGAGGTACACTGAAGAAATCGGCGAAACGTGCGTGAGCCGAAGGTACCTTGCAAGGCACTCGATCAACCTGGATACTTCGCCGTGTACCTCAGTACGGAGTACACACCTCTTCTTACTTCGTCCATTACGCTACACTGCTCCGTACGTGTGGCCCGTTGAATTACACTTCCCCCGTTCCTGCATTCTCGTGCCTGGCGCCAGACCGAATAAGGTGAAATCGTCACATCCGTTCCTGGCACCAGGCACCATCGAAGTTGGCACCGGGGCGTACTCGTCAAAACTTTGGAAGGTCTCAGAATCCGGGCGGTCGACGAAGCGGACAAAGAATGGATCCTCGGCGGTCTGTGGTGTCTGTGGTGAAATAAGGTCATGGTTGATGGACCAACGAATTTACAGAGTCTGTCCAGGGGTGTTACGGTTTAATGCTCCTTGACTCTTCGCCGACTCAAGTGTGCAAGCCAGAGAGAGAGCAATGAAGCCCAAGATCACCCCCCGCCACATGGACCATTGCCATTCGCGCCACGCGATCTTGCGCAGTCAGACTCGAGTTGACATGCCAGGAAGGCGACATCACAAAGAACACCCCAAGATCAGATATTTACTAGAACTGCCATGGATTTCCAGGAATACCATTGATTGATCCCACTTTGATTTACATCGCTCCCGCCATGCATTCCATTGACCGACTCCGGGTCATCTCACTCTTTCAAATCTTCCGCTCTTTGCCTTTTCTCCCGATGCCGCGTCCCCCATGCCTTGGCGGCTATTTTATCCAAATTGTTTCAGTTCCCTGCAATCGCGGCCTGTTGATGAGGCTATATACTACGGCCGGGTGTGCCTCCAATCAAGGTCAAGAAATGGAGTGAGGAAAAAAATCCATTCGCTTCTTTGTGTGCTTTTCTTAGTATTAGTCTTGCTGCGTCTGTACGCCTAGCCGACATTCCCCGGGTTGCCACGCCACACCCCCAGTATTATTCTTCCTTTCAGACGTGCAGATGGAATGTCAGCTTGCATCACCGCACGTCGGACTGACCTCGTCCTCGGTAAGACAAGCGAAGTGTGAAATAAATAGCTTTTTGGGATTCTCACGACAGGTGTATTTCTCCTGTTCGAGCGGGAGCCTGCTTATCAGATGAGAACCATGGGTGGCGGTGAGAATCCTATGATCCGTCTTACCACCCAAGAGCTACTTCGTAGCGTGTGAAATGCAAAGTTTTCATGGGACCCGGACCCAAGAATAGCCTGGCTGCCTGGCTATTACTTCATAGTATCTACCGCACCCCATGCTCTCAGCCTTCTAAGCCACCGACCTGGCCCCCTCTAGAACCCAACTATCTCGTTAGGGCATCCTTCGACGCCCACCCATGTGGACTCGGTTGTTTCAACGGGTGCTAGCTTCTTTGCGGGACGCTGCTGGGCAGAGCAAGGATGAAGCTCAGCTCTCGAGGCTGTGGTGTCTCGGCGAAAAGGCTCTATCCATCTTCGTATTAGCGGAAGCCGACAGTAATGTCGCCATTCCCACGCTTCGAACACAAGCCCCCGTGGGTCACAAAGGAAACGCCAATCCGCAGCCGCCCATATCATTCGAACCAGGGCATGGCTTGAACGCGAGGACACGATTCCAGTCTCACAGGTAATAAATGCAGAGCAGCCAACTCTGCAGTCTCCCGAAAGCCCAACATACAAGTACACCATCTCCTTGCCTGGCGATCCGAGTCTCTCCGAGGGTCCTTCGCGCAATATATTCCCCAGCCCGGGGCAACGGCAGTTCTTATTGCGGACAATCTCAACAGCTCGCAGTCTGAGATAATGTAAAAGCCCCTCCTTTAAAAAAAGAAAAAAGACCTCGACAGAATAATTCTGCGGGATATCCGTGGCCCGGTGCACAGCCGCCATGCGTTTCGCCAAGATCTGCTTGCTTTCTACTCCCCGGAGCGCCACAGGCTATTGTTGTCTTACACTTGAGTCAGGAATACCATGCAGAAATCGAAAGTAGGATGGGGGCCGACTCGGTTCGAGGAGCTAGCCTGTTGTGAAAGTCCTTCCCTATGGAGATATTAGAAGTTGGAGGGAACTACTGGGGGGATATCCATCTCCATTTTGGCACCGGCGAGACAAGTAGCTTGGACCGTACCATTTTCGTCATGACAGAGGGCGGATCTCATCTTTGAATCGTGAAGCAACTTATATGTGCCCCTCCAGCACGGTGCAGTCATTTCTTCTGTGGGCAGTTGCTTTTGCGCCTGTCTTGTATCCCCCATCGCCATCGCGTACGTGATTATTAGGAGCAGCACGGGCATCGCTTAGTAGAAGACGGGTTCTGGAGTGACGCAGAATGACTCGGTCGCGGATAACCTCATTTCCCAGTGTTATCTCAGGCCTAGAGATAGATATGGGCTCAACTTCTGGTATGCCGCCTCCGTCGACAATGTCTTACTTTTATCCCAATCATTTCCTTGGGGGGTTTTAAAGCCACCTGCTTATCTTTGATATTGCGCTGTTGGTTGCCAGTTTAGGGCCAACGAGCCTCGTGTACCTGTGTAGTCCTCGATTCCAGACGACACACGTTAAATCTACAGTGGTTACTTTGAATTATATTCAAGGCTCTTTTTCGAGAATATCAGCCTTTCGATAAGTTATATTTCCCTAAATTGGTGGTTCACTATGAAGTTAGGCATGTCGTCTCTGGCTCCTCAAGATGGGCCCTGGAGTGTAAATGGGGATCTCCTCGTTCTGAGCCCAGATACTCCTGTCCCGCTGCTCCAGTCGACCAACCAGGCAATGTGAAACCCATGATAGGGCAAATAATACATACACCGGAATCTCGTGTTACCGACGAGGGAAGAGGTAATTTCTTCTTAAGCCCTCAAGAGCCTGTATCAGTCAAGGTGGCATCCGCGATGTTGATCAATAATTCTGGTCGAGTCGATGTGCACGGACCAAACGGGCCGTCGGTGGGCGTTCGTCATTGTTGACTTCACTTCATCTCCTCCACCAAACACCAAACCGCGACAAAACAACGACCACTCTCCAACGTAAATCCTCCACGACTACCATCGCGAACGTCCTCACTCCCTACGAAAAGGCACCATCAGTCGGCAGAATCAGATTTTGATAGCCCCATTCAACAAGTCCGCGCGATTCCCTGTCCAAGCGACCGAGCGGTGCCCCGCCGGGCCCAAACCACCACCCCTCCCTCCACATTCAACCACCGCCAGCACAAAACAAAATGTCAAGCCAAAATATTGCAACATATAACGACTGCGTCACCTCCCTCCGCACCTCCCTCAACTTTCTCGAATCCTCCGTCGAAACCCTCGGCAACGGCGTCTCCGACTTCCCTCGCCTCATCACCATCCTCAAGACCGTCCGCGTACGTTTCTCTCCTCCCAGATCGAATACCACCCTATCAGAAAAGCAAAGAATATTATAGAAAGAGCATAAAACTAACGCAACACATAACAGCACTACGAACTCATCCCCCAACCCACGCTTGCCGCCGCAGAAGCTTCTCTCCGCGACGAAATAGGCCCGTACATTTCCCTCCTCCTCGACCGCGCCGACCGCCAGCTCCAGCGGCGAGAGAGACGCATAGAGACGCTGAAGGCCCGCGCCGAGCTCCAGCATGGTCGCCTGGCGGAAGGTTCTTCTTCCTCCTCCTCTTTAGGCAATAAGACGAGACGAGGGGCGGCCGCGTCGGCGACGGGCAGGAAGCTCGGAGGAGATGAGAAGTTCAGGGCGAGGGTTATAAGACAGAAGAAGGAGGCGTTAAAGTACAGCGTAGAGAGGTTAGAGTTGGAGGTATTACAGAAAGAGAGGGAATTAAGAAAGAGGCTAGACAGTTAAAATATCAACTATCACTAACAAGATATCATCCTCAATCACACCAGCAAATCGTTTATACAACGGCGCTCTATACATCTTCCTCTCAAGAGATATGAACGAAATTAACTTATAAAAGTAGATGAAAAAAAAAACCCTTTCCCCAACTCCATCCTTCTACCCCAATGCCCCTATCATCGGGGGCCTTGCGGGGCTGATCGGCTAGGAAATCCTGTTCTAGCTACTTTACGGTAAGGGAAATCCCTTCTATGGCATACCTAGCTAGGAATAATTGGGCGCCCATTGATGGTAGATGCGTCAGGCGCTGGAGAGAGCCGAGCTTCCGCTTTGAAAAATCCGGTGCCCGCGTTTTTGCACGAGGCGTGGATCGAACCGGTGAGGTGCCGGAGGGATCGTCAACCGTGGGTGGTTACCGAATAAGCCAAGCTTTCACTGACTAAGGGTGATGGCTTGCTCCCGAGATTCCATATATATATATGGCTATTGAGACCGGTTTGAGGGAGGCGGGAAGAGGGAAGGTGCTCCCGTCGATGTTGGCTAGGTGGGAGGAGTGAGATTGCTCCTGCGGGACTTGGTAGACAATGAGCAGCCGTGACCAGGGGTTGGATATCCATCGGTGGCCCTGCTCATACACGTATCGCTGTCACCGGCTAGAGACACGATACCAACATCTTTCCTTCGATACCTGAAGTTTCCAGGCCTATCCAAGGTCTCCTGCTTGACTTTGACCACTCACTTCTCACTCTCCCCCGTTCCCTTCGCCGTGGCCGGTATCATCGCAATCTACACAGTTCTTATCATCGTCCTCGTCACCCGAGATCTCAACCAACCCCCATCCGTCCTTCCTAGAAAAATGCAGCCCACTTCAACAGTTTTCACACACCTCATCGCTGGACTGTTCATCAGTCAATAACCAGGTGCTGTTTTATCTGGAGGAACTAGAGCCTTCATCGGAATTAGTTCGCATTCTCATTTTCCGCCAAGTCTTGGCTCATCGTCACTCGTATCAAGCCAAGAAGGGCAAAAAGTTCTACTCACATTCGGGTGGTTTGATGCCGGAATCCCTCGTATGTGGAAACGTCGTCGTGCCTTTGGAATGGAATCGATGCATCCGTATAAGCTTATTTCTCTTTTGACCAAGAGAAGGGCGCCTTTCACACGGCCCGGGTGGTTCTTCAGAATCTCTTCCGTGCGTTATTCTTATCTCCGTTCCCCTTCCCCTGCATATAAAAGATGAAGGCCCTCTTGACTGCACCAATTGCCGTGTGACCGGTGCTTAACCCCGATTGTCATAGCGGCCGTCGATTTCGAAGATGATGGGAGAAGCGGTTAATGGGGTCGTGGAAGACACCATAGTTCTTTTGAACGTATATCACGGAAACTTGCGCACATACAGGAACAAGACCAGACTACTGAAACGCAAAGGTCGTCGGTAATGAGTATGTAGGAATGAATACAGAGAATGGTGTACTAAGGAAACAGTGGCTTGAAGCGGCGTGACGACCAGGCCACAGCAAAAGTATGACGATTCACCCAGTGCCAGAGATGACGAGTGGGCTCAAACTTGGATTCGAAAAGCATCGTTATGTTCTTTGCATGTTTACCCAGATATACGCCGTTGATAATAATAAAGAAATACAGCTCACAATCCCACGTTGCCTACCCTATCGACTCCCTCCCGGGCTGTTGGTATCATCTCCTAAGACGTCGGGATGTTCGTCCCCCCAACAGAAATCATAGAGCGGATATAGCCCATTAATCGTTTGAGAGCGGCCGCAACAGTAATCCCTTTTCCAGCGCCCCCACCGGACAGAAGAAAAGAACAATAAAAGAGAGGAAGAATCAAGACAATGATCGAATTTTGAAACAGAAGAATATGTCAAGAAACCACACTCTGGCGAACACACGCCCCGAGTATAGAAGAAGTAATGTTAGAACAAAAGGAAACGGATCAAGTCATTACAGTATCGACCGTAGTCGTAGTTCATAACAGGATGAGATAGTTGCTTGGCGCGATGCCTGTCTCTCCGTTCTCCTTCCGCGCCTGCCACCACCTTCCGCTCACGTCGCTCACTTCGAGGATCTCGTGCTTCGAGAACGAAATTTCGTTGGCATCGTCGGGGTTCGCTTCGTAGCTGTAGATGGCCTTGGCACGGTAGGGGTACTCTGTTGGGGGTACCACTTCGGTGTCGGCACCGCTGGCGGTGGGGCCACCCTTCACGGTGCTGTTACCAAACGTGGGAGGGATGGTGGACGTCCGGGCGACGCTCGTCATGCCAGCGACAGGGGACGGGTTCTCAAAGCCGTTCAGCTGAGCCGAAGTGTACATCTGCGGAGGTTGAACCGAAGTCGAAGTCTCGGGCCTTGCCATGCCACCATAACCATTGATAGGCGGCCTGTTCATGGTGGATTCCTTGGCTAGGGCGAACGAGTCGAGGTAGGCGCGGGGAACAGCGGAGGGGGCCGATCCAAAGTAGAAGATCCAGACAATCTGACCCAACTGTTAGTGGAAAAAAAAACCTACACTTCGAAACCTGTCACCCCACTCAAGAACGTACCTGAACCATCGACAAAAGGATGAAACCAGCGGCCGTGGCCTGGAAAGAGGACATGGGGGAGAAGATGAGGAAGTTGACTGAAGAAGAGGAAAGGATAAGTCCAGCGGCGAGGTATCCGACGACGGCGACATGGTAAGTTTGAATCGTATCGGATGCAACAACAACGAATATTCCTAGTATCAGGAAGAGAATGTAGACGGTGGACCACCACGCGAATGGTGGGAAGTTTCGAGTGCCATTTACTTGGATCTGAGCTATAACACCTCCAATGAAGGACACTAGCCAGGCAAGCTATCGAGACTCAGTTAGCGATTTCATCCAGTGGTTGCATGCTCTAATATGCCCATCGGTAGAGTGAAAAGGGGTCGCGAGATTTGTATGTCTTTCGTCGACTTTTGAGGGACCCCCATCCTAGAGCTGCACTTGGTGCTCTTCTTGACAACCCGAGCATCCTCTCGATAGTGGTAGGCAACATTGGGGCGGCGAGAGGGCTGACAAGTTCGGCATGGCGTGGTCGATCGATTGGCGGTAGGCAATTGACGATAAAAAGACAAGACAAGAAGCATCGATGCTACTTACAATTGAAATAGAGATCGTGGCGAGGGCGAAGGGGTCGCCAATAATGTTGGCCATGTTAATCCCCTTACGCCCATATTGGACACGCGAAGTTTCCATTTTCTTGAGCGATGGGGAGTGTAGGGAACCGTAAGAGGGCATAAGGGCCGGTTCGACTTCTCTTTCAGTTGATGTAGATGTCGGAGGTGGGCGGCGCGGGAGAATTAAAAGGGCCTCGTTGTTATATTCTGATCCGGGGTTTGGGGCGAGAGATGGGTGAGTCTGGGCTATAACCGTGATCGACACTTAGTTTCAGGCGACCGTCGCGCTTCTAAAACATCTGCGTCGTTCGATAATAACGGGCGGTGGATATCGTCAGAAAGGAAGTCTCGGAGCCGGTCGAAGAGTAATTTCCCTTTTATCGTTCGCTTATGCTTGCTTGCGTGCTGGATTTTCTTTTTCCTTCACAAAAGTCGACAATTCGATAGGACGACTATAAGGGGTGATCGGCCTGGTCTGCACGAGTGAACTCGACGGCTTCGTAATTCTTTTCTCTTTGGTTATTTACTGGAGTTTTGAGTTGGATAAAAAGGAGCGACTGCAGTTGGTAACTGGCTGGAGATCTTTTGGTGGTTGGGTACGGGAATGGTAAAATGGGATTTAAAACAGGGCAGGTTGAAAAGAGTGGTGGAAAGGAGGGGATGGGATGGGTGAGACAGGTGGTTTTGTGGTTTTTGGTTGTTTCGAGGGGGCGTTTCGGCAGTCACAGAACGGCGGCTTGGCCAGCAGCGCTGCGGACTTCTGGGGGATCTCTGGCCGCGTAATGAACAGGAATATCGTCAGGATCGACGACAGAAGAATAAACAATCTACGAAAGTAAAGAAGAGAACGGATCAAACGTTCGAAAAGACAAATGAGAAGAAGAAAGGCAAAGGGGAAATGAGGACAAGAGGACTGGAAACCGAGGCGAGGGTCTACTTCGTACTTCGTAGAGGAGGGAGCGAAAGGATAATTGAGGAAAGGTAGAGGGGAGAAAAAGTGGCGACGTGGAACGGGGTGGAGATGAGAGATGAGGAGATTGATTGGGGGTGGTTCCTTCTCTTCCCCTACCTGCTGAGGTACTTGATGGGAACTGCGCCTCGCCCACCATACGAAGAAGGCCAGTGTAATCAATTAATGGTCGAAAACGGAAGAATAGATGAAATGGAGGACGCGACTTCTCGTCCAGCGTGGGGATGAAGATGGACCAGGGAGTGGATGGCAGCAAATGTCCGAGTCCCGTCGCTAGGAGTACACTACGAAGCACGAAGTACTTCGTAGTAGTAGCGTTATTATCGTTTTTGACTGGTAACGGTACCGCCCCGTAGGGTACACCGTAAGCCCTGTGAAGGGAGGCAGGTATGACCCGCCTAAGGGAGCAAGCCTGGTTGGTCGTGGGCAGCCCAGTCCCTCTCGCGTGTCCGTTTAGCTTAAAACTAGATTAGTTTAGACGGTCTGGTAACCAGAACGGGTCCGAGGTGCTCCGTAATTATGTCTACCCAAATATTACGAGGGAACTACCTCTGTATCTCCCAGGGTATTGCAGAACGCTCTTCCACTCTTGATCAGGCAAGTTCCCTCAATTCCATCAGCAATGCTAAGATTAAGCACATCAGAGATTGTCAAATTTGTACATCTCGGTACCCTTCTCCGCTCCGTCAGAACAGTATGAAGGATGTCAATTTGATCATTCAACAACATTCGCAAACTCAATTTACAGTCCGCGTGCTTTTTGTGTGGAGACTCCTTTCGTAGTGTAGCGTACACTACCGCTTGACAGAAGGCTCTTCTCGAGATGCCGACTGTTCCTGCTGGTTCCTGAGCCAAGTGGGGGAGAAATAGAGTCCGGTTCACGATCAGGTGCTCTCGACAGAAACTTACTCCGTACGAAGTACTTTGTTCGACCTTTGATGTGATGACGACGAACTAGGGGGTGGTTGTCCCCAGTCGACACGACGCCATTTTTAAAGTGGATGTCAAGGGGTCGATGCTCCATGCGGAATGCGACTGAACGAAACACAAAACGCCTAAAGAAGCCTCCGTCGTGCCTTTTCCATTGACGGTTTTCGGCAATCTAGTGCACAACCGGAACCAGAACGACCCACGTATTTTCATCGGACTCTTCGAGGCCCGACCAGCGTCGTAATGCTTGGATAGTGTAGTGTTCTTCATCCTCTCACTAACTAATATTCCACGCTCACATCTGACAAAGAAATCCGCAACGATGTTCCCCAGGTATCCTATCCCTATCAGTTTTCGCGGGCCCCACATCTTGAAACGACGGGCAACTGGGCCAGCTCCCGTATTGGCTTTTGCTCTTTACTTCACACTTTGCCAATTGTTATCTGCCCACCATCGCATCCTCGGATTACAGTAGCGCTGCAAGTCGATTTGGGGCTTCCGAATGAGTAGAATCGGAATCGGTTGGTTCTCCCAAGATGTACTCCCAAACATCAATACTACAGTACCACCGTTCCTCCCGTTCTGTCTAGAGAAAAAAAAAGACACTGATCAATGAAGTAATATTGGTCGAACTAACTGCTGGTCTGGCCAGCCAAGCGAGTGGTCGGTGCGATCTTGACGCCCTGTGCCGACTGGGGAAAGGGGCCTATCATTGATAGGCTAAAGATGAATCCATATCAGCCTGCGCGTCGTGAACGGACCAGATCTTCAGTTCTAGAGCAAAAGAATTGGATAGAAACCATCGGGCCAATTGTAGCTTCCGCTTCTTCTTAGGAGATCCTGTCTTTTCGTCTTCGAGACAGAGGGGAGAAAGAAAAAGGAAAAAGAAATGCAACTCCTATTTCTCAGGTTCGTGTGGCCTGGCTAAGATACGTCCGTGACTCCCCGTGAGGTCGCTTCCCCATGCAGGGGTTCCAGTAAGCGGACCAAGAAGAAAAGACTGGATGGGCTTGAGAGTATTTGAGTGCTTGCAGTAAGTGAGGGTCACCGCGTTTTCCTGTGTTTCCTCACGGACCTTCAACACGACGCTGGTTCATCATGACTAGGCAAGTGATCACCTACAAGTAACAGCCCAGGCCCGGCCTCCAGTCCGAATCGCAATTCGTTGAGGCAGGGGAGTCCAGTGTTACGGCCCTGGAGATAGTCAGGTGCATTTCGTCACTTCCAGATCTAACGGATTGAATAATAGGGCTGTGGCCTGTGTTACAAAGAGCTTTCTCCGGACAGCTTCATCGACGTTGGCGAGATCGGGACGTTTTTATTTAGTGACGGGGACCAGGCGCTCTCTTCAGATTCAGGTGTGACCATACCCCCTGTCGACACCTCGTGGCTTTGATCGAGTTTCCACGATTTTGGGAAAAGAGGCTTTCGATTTCCTACACTACTTCGAAGTGACATTCTCCAAGGCGGACAAGGATAGGGCGGAGATTCGATCAATGCGAGAGAGCAGAGACAGTTTAAGCATTTTGTGACTAAATCTATCACCATCGGCTCCACTCAAATTCCGAGATTTGTGGATGTAGTGCTTTTTTTGGGGGGGGATGGGGGGTCTTTGGTTCAGAGTGGGAGGACCTGCAGGTGTTCGCTGTCTGAGACCGCGTTGCTTCCAACCTCGTTCCCCAATCCGTTTCTTTCGTCGAACAGCAAGAGTAAGACCGAGGACGCGTGACAACTCCCTCGATCTCGGTAGGGGCTGAACCCAAATGCGGTTGTCAGCCCCCGAAAGACAGGAAGCGAAAAGCAAGGCTTGCCAGCCATTTCTCCGAACGGAACTGTCGAAGCTGTTCTCGCGACTCTTCTCGATCCAAGCTTTCCAGGGTTTTTGAAGGAATAAAGTAGTTTAATTAACAGCATGGACCGCTCTTCCTTTGGAGCCATTAAAAATTATATTAACATCGCTATAAGACACCATGTATCGGCCGGGTCAGCGGTGATCCTAGTTTAGCTTTGCCGTCGATGGTTCTCGCGGGGCCACTCTGACTCTGAGGACCCATGACAGGATTCATCGGCAGAATGATCTTCGTATGAGCCCGTAAAATCGATAATGCTTTGTGATAAGCGGAGATCGAGGCACCGGTTACCATCGCGGTACACATTGATTGACGGAGACATTGCCATCAAACCAATATTGCGGAATCGGTTTGTACGTCAGTCCACGCCTGTTTGTGCAGCGTAAGACCCGATCGCCAGCCCGGTCGTCGGTCTCTTCGATTCTTCTGCCATTTACTACTTCGTGATTCACATTGTGGGGGGGAAGGGGGGAGCAAACGAAGCAAGCCAATTGATCTTCAATATTCTACGGATCCCAGACCAGCCGTGCAACGCGACAAGGACCACGAGCACGGGGGCGCCGTGCTACCGCGGAGGCTCGTCTGTCCAGGCTTGTCCGTCGATACTTCATCAATCTCTCCTGTTACAGTCCACAGCGCTTTCAGCTTAGATTTCTTGGCGAGAACTAACTTTTCGAGATTAATTGACGGGAACATAAATTTCGAGTCCGATCGTCCAAGGTCCACGGAGTACAAAAGAAAAAAATATAATTGGTTGGGGGCTGGTTCAACGTTACCCAGCCATTTTCTTCTCCGGCGTCACCAGCCTTTTTACCCTTCCTCAAAAGCTTCCATCGCTCGGGGCTCCTTGACCATTAGAATCGTGGTAGAATTAGCAGTGGTTTTCCTGGTTCGCTGTTACCCTCCTCCTTCGCACAGCAGAATTCTCCACGAGCCTTGTTCAGACGACGGCAACATGCAGGAGTCCGCAGGGCGCCTATGTGCGAAGGACATCCGTTTACTGATGAGACGCCTCAGGCGACTGCAGCCCCTGCACTAAGAACTTTGAAGAGCTCAAGCTCCAACCAGCATTACTCGTCGACGATTTCTTGGCGACGGTGGGCTGCAGCTGTGGGGGAAACAAGGGGCGCGTTTTCTCATCCATTGAGCTCCATCTTTGAAGATTTATTAGAAACAATTTTAGAAAGTTTGAGATACATTCATGGATCCCAAGCGTGGGGATGCACGGGGCTTATACTCGGTGCTCTTGGTGTTTGAGGTTTCGTCACGGATAAGAAAGCGTATGGACGTCACAAGGCTTCGATTGATCATTGATCAAATGCTTCCTCAGTCAAGTAGAATTTACAATAACCTCGTGCTACATTCAGCTCGGCCTAAACACTCCTCATGAAGATACTAACGCTGAGCACATTGATCACAATAGAAACAAACAATGATGTTCTACGATGTGCGCTGGACGGAAATGGACGCCAGAGCGTCATCAACATTACCCCAGACTGCATCCAGTTTATCCACATAGCCGATACCGAGGATTTTTGTCCTTGCTTCCCACCACAAAGTGAACGTTCTATCCCAGGAGTTGTAAGATCACCTTGAAACGCGGAGATGCAGCTCCCGACCACAAGGTGCCGATCTCAACTCTGGTCGCCCACTTACTAGTGCGGGGGGGGGCCTACTTCGTAGATATATATAACTGAAAAGTTTATCGGCGTTTCCCGAACAAAAGTTTCGTGAGCTTGAGGGTTCCGAATCGGGGTAAGTTTCGAATGAGTCGAGGAGGATGAGATTTCTCGAGGGGACGAATCCTTTTGAACTTTTCTTCCAATATTTTTTTGTGAGGATGGTATATGTAACTAGTGAGCTTTAGAAGAACGTAGACGTCCAATTGAGCGCTCAAGCTATCATTCTCCGAGACTCCCGCAAGACACATCTCGTCATAGTACCCACCGTGGCCAGCCCAGCTCCTCATCTCACCGTCGTGGCAATGTGTACGGGGTAATGCTCGACTCCGTATTTTCTTCGTCGATGTGGCGGGTTTAGGTCATCGAGACGAAAGCCTAATATTGCTTAGGGAGGAAATCCATTCCTAGTTGAGCCGTCACGGGGATTTGAAATTCTATGGGGAGTTATTGACGTGACAAAATATCTATCGCATTATGATGGTGACACCCATATGCTTAAGACACTTGGTGTGCTAGTGTGGCCTAGCTACCTACTTTGTCTTAGATCAATGCCATGGACTTCTTATGGACTTGTCATGGCCTTGAGGATATCTGACCCGGGTGGTGTACACACATGCCTGAACCCATCTCAACTCTGGTCTTGCCAACACCAGATCTTACATGTACGTTGGAACTGGCTTTACGCCACCTGCAACTGGGAATATAAAGAGGATCTAGGCACTTTCGGCAAGCCCATGTTTCCGGTCTCCCTCCCGCTCTCATCTAGAGACATTGACTGATCCCCCTATCGGCGAGGTTCAAGATCCTATTCCAGAATCAACATGTCTCAGGGCATGCTCCAGTCAAAGCAAGAGGTTCATCAGGAGGCATGACGTGGCCGTTCGGATAACTTGAGGTGCCATGTTAAGGAAAGCGGTGTGTGAAACCTGCGTCTGTTAAATTCTCCTCATATGCCCTGTGATTCCTCCTCCTTCTCCGCTCGCCTGACCAATCTCTCTACCAAGGAAACCCGGTGCTCCATCTCCGCGATGAACTCAGACGAGGCCAACGCGTTATCCTCATACCAACCGCGGATAACTTTCTCACTTCGCGTCCGCAGTTCCGCAATCTCCGCTGCCTGCGCGAGTTGCGTCGTCTCGAGGGCCTTCATCCTCTCCATCTGCGAGATCAACGCCGCGCTCTGCGCAGGGTCTGGGACTTGGCAGTCATTCACCGCTCTTAGAGCGGACTCCGTCGCAGGGAAGGATGACGCCGAAGCTAGAACGATGGATTTGACAGCGTCAAGGGGCATGTCTGGCGGAGGTGTGGACGGCTCCGGGTCGAGGAATAGTGACGGGTAGGCTTTATCTGTGGGAAAGTTAGCCTCATCTCCACTTATCTGATAAGATTGGGTTGAGGCTAGGTGAGAAACGACAGGGTTTGGCATATGTGCTCTCATACGATTCGCGCCGTGGGGAGGCGGAGACTCACAAATCTTGAAGAGTTCATTGTAAACTCTGACGTGGGTGACCAGGGATGCAAACCGCCGCTCTAGATCTTCGAGTTTTTCTGCTATGGAAGCGTCCTCTGCCGTCCGGTTTGGTGTCGGTTCGCCGTATAAGATGTGCTCGAGACGGTGCAGCCGTGACTCGAATAGGAGAATGGTCGAGAGTGAAGTCGTGTCTAACGTAGACTCCATGTCTAGGCTGTAATATGAAATGAGGGTGTGATAAATGTCTTTCGGAGTGAGAACAGTTGAGAGACACTCGGTGTAGTCGAGGAGCACAGGGCTAACTCTCGATCAGCTCAGTTGCAGAAGAGCGCTTGTGCAAACAAGCCGAGTTCAATGATGTACTCCGTACGCCAGGGCAATGTGCACTCTAATTTTCCTATCTTGCAAGTACTAAGGCGCCGATAGGCAGAAAGATTAGCAGCCCTGGAAAGCCGGAGGTCGTGTGAGTTATTACCTGATAGTGGAATGAATTGAGTCGATTTCAGGGCCCATATCGCCACTCCCCTATTCGGGTCGCTCTCTGTCAGTCCTACCCTCGATTGGCTTTTTCATGGCGCTAATCCTGGACCAGGTGACGTGGGTGGATGATGTAAGCCACCCCCTGGTTATCTCGGATTTCCATTGGACATCTTTGAAAGCCAAGCCCCACCAAGCCATTCCTCACCACTCAAATGGCAGAAAAGCACTCACGTAAGGTCCCGGTCCAAGGCGGCGAAGCTTTAGATAGGACACGAGGTCTCCCCATCTGAAGTCAAAGCAAAGTATTAGATGTACACTGTCTTGTCACACGGCAAATTATCCCAACGTCTCTCATTCCTCGACAGCCTCGACTCCTACGAAGCCTGACGGTAATTAAACCCAGACAAAGCGCCGCGATCCCGCCTTTCGATCTCTAACTGCCCCGAGGCTGAATTGATAGCTCGGCTAGCTTGGTACTCTGTTCTAGACAATTACTAGGGACCCGCCGCCAGTCTTCTTCGCGGCCCCACGGTTTAGTTACTTGGGGCGTGATGGCTCGTGGGAGGTGACAGGCGACACTTCCAATTTGAAGCGATCAAATATCATCTAAAACCGGGACTGCGCTTGCGCCGAACCTGCCCGTTGGATTCCTTGCGGAATACTACGGTATCCTCCAATTTCTCTTGTCCAGGCGACCTTGCTTTGTTCGACGACGTCATCATGACTGTCTACCCGTCTCCATCACAGGGCATTCTAGCCCCAGCTGGCTACGGGAATGACACGAACCGGTACGGAATCACCACTTCTACGATCTCGCCTTTCCCTCGGAAGTGAAAATTGTGTTGCTAACATTTCTGGGACATGTAGAAGAAAAAGCCGAAGCAAGGAGAAAGAGGGTGGGGGCAATGCCTCTATCATCAGTAGCATCGTCAACCTGCTTAATACAAGTGTGTTTCCTATAACTTTGCATGCCCTGATTTCAATTGTATCTAACCAAATCGCATTAGTCGTCGGCGCCGGCACCCTCGCCATGCCCGCTGTTATGTCGAAGATGGGTGTCGTGCTCGGAATCTGTCTCATCGTCTGGTCCGGCATCACGGCTGCCTTCGGCCTATACCTGCAGTCTCGATGCGCCCGATATCTCGACCGTGGAAAGTCCTCCTTCTTCGCCCTGTCGCAAATCACGTATCCGAATTTGTCCATCATATTCGACGCCGCCATTGCCATCAAGTGCTTTGGTGTCGGTGTTTCCTACATGATCATCATTGGCGATTTGATGCCGGGCGTCATGCTGGGATTCAACAGCCATGCAGAGGAGATCCCGTACCTGATGGATCGCAAGTTCTGGATTACGGCGTTCATGTTGCCAGTCATATTGCTCGCTTTCCTGAAGCGACTAGATTCTCTCAAGTACACGAGTGTGATTGCGCTTGTATCAATTGGCTACCTAGTCATTTTGGTCGTCTTTCACTTTTTCGTGGATGACCTGAGCCAGAGGGGTCCTATCCGCGTCATTGAATGGGCAGGTCCCGTTGCTACGCTTAGTAGCTTGCCTGTGGTGGTGTTTGCCTACACTTGCCACCAGAACGTATGTTTACCTGTTTCTCGCTCCCCCTATGATTCTAAGTTCTGAGAAGCGAGAACGGAGACTCACCAGCCCTTAGATGTTTTCAATTCTGAACGAGCTAGAGGACAACTCCCCTGCCGGTGTCGTCACTGTGGTGGGCTCTAGCATTGGATCTGCCGCTAGCATCTATATCTTAGTAGCCATCACTGGCTATCTTACCTTCGGCAACAGCGTCGTCGGTAATATTGTCTCGATGTGTAAGTCTATGGCTCTTTTTTTCATCCCAGCAACCAAGTACTCACACATTTTCAAGACACTCCCTCCGTGGCATCAACCGTCGCGAAGGCCGCCATTGTCGTACTCGTCACCTTTTCCATCCCTCTACAGATCCACCCATGCCGTGCCTCACTCGATGCCGTGGCGAACTGGAGGCCTAATGGTGTCCGAAACAAGAACACCATCACCCCCTCCGGAAGCCGGCCTCTGCTTCCCTCCGCAAGTGATGACACCGCAAAGTCCGACCATGGTAGTTCTGGGGGCATGTCAGAGCTCCGATTCGCGGTCATCACCACCCTCATTATCGTATTCAGTTACATTACGGCTCTATCCGTCAGCAGCCTTGATACAATGCTTGCGTACGTCGGCAGTACTGGCTCCACTAGCATCAGTTTTATACTACCTGGTCTCTTCTACTACAAGATCAGCGACCCCGACGGCCTACATCATCAACGCCTCTCTAAGGAAAGCGATGATCTCGATTCTGTGGGCTCCGATGACGAGGCGGCACTAGCCACGAGCACCACAAGCCTCCGAAGCCTCGTGAGTGCGGCTGGTGCTACCGTGCATCGCTGGCGTACCTGGAGATGGGACCTTGAACATTTCGACCATGACATCCTGCGCAAGCTGGCCCTCTGCCTGTCTTACTACGGTGTCGTCGTCATGGTCGTATGTCTCGTCATGAACACGTGGTTCAGCGTCACTCACTAGGGTACTATAATCCAAGCCCAAGCAATAAGTTGGGAGAAACCCTCCCAACGAAAACAATATCCGGGTTGACGGCTGGCGGCGCCCGACTTAAGATTCCCCTGTAGAATTTTCCTCTTTCCTTTCCTCACTCGTCTCCTCAAATACTTTCTTTCTTCCTTTCTAAGTCATGACTAGGCGCAATGGGGGGTTGCAAGGGACGATATATATTATAGTATGGGCATCTCGCGAACGGAGTTCTGTTTTCTCATTCCTTTTCTACCCAATGTCAAAAGAGATTTTCTGGCCCTTTCATTTCCGGAGATTCCCTTCCTTTTTTCAAGAGCCCCTCAATTTATACTTCTTTCTTTGGATACTTGATTACTTGCGAAAGCGTTGGCTTTGTTGCGGTCCTTCATATATATATACTAGTTTGAATCGGAGTTGGGCCAGAGTTGATGACGAATTTGATGTAGCTATCAATTAGACCTCGCTATTTTTAAGGAAAACTTCTTTATACAGAACTCGGTGGCTACTGTTTTGCAGGAGTGCCACTATGAGTTTCATGACCGTGTGGAGCTCTGAAGGTGAAGTGAGGTTGGCCTTCTTGAGACCAGCTATCACCAGGCAAGCACATTGTATCGCGTATGTAGCAAAGGAGCACATTTCAGACTGTACAATCCCAACAGAACTCCGCATTAAATGCTTTCTAAACTTTTTATACATGTTCCAGATAATCCCGTAAAATTACATCAGAAAGGAGGATAGAGGTCCGACAGGGAGGAGAGACCCTAGGAGGAAACCTTGGCCTCGGTCTGGGCGGCCGGAGCTTCTGAAGCCTGTGCATTTCCAAAGTTGCGTTTAGGGAGGATTCCGGCCTGAGGATGAGAGATTGGTTAGCACACAAGTTCCCTCGCAAATTTCGGCATCCCAAGTGAAGAGAGTCCATCGACCACTGCATCTATCCTCGCTCTTATACATTTCCGTTTTGGAAAGAGGAGCCCATTCATCATGGGTAAGGTTTGCCGGGCTTATCTCGTGTGCCAGCGTCGAGGCATCGGTAGGACGAAGAGCGTAGAGACTCACCATCGATAATATCCTCCACGCCGTGTCAGAAGGCTGCGCGCCTACACCAATCCAGTACCGAGCCCTCACCACGTCGAGTTTGATGTCCTTGTGGAACTTGCCGGAGTTGTCGTAGGCGTCGAGCTTCGGGATAGGGTCGTAGGTCCCGATGACCTCCATCGGCTTGCTGTTCCTCGCAGAACTATATCCGCCGAATCGAATTGTTAGCTAAGATCGATCGAAATACGGGCAGGAAGTGCAAGGTCATCCGAACTCCCTTGAGTGATAGTGATATGTTGTAGGAGGCCAAAGGAGGCAAGAAAAAAAAAGAGAGGCCGGGTACATACCGTGATTGCGCAACAACAATGTTGTAAAAGGGCTTGTTCCGGCGCCCAAAGCGCGCTAGGCGAATTCTCACAACCATCTTGGATTTCGGCTTTCGTGTGGCTTTCTGATTCCCCCCGGAGTTCCCTGTTTCGCGCAGATTTCGAAGTTTGATGGCCTCACACGACTCGGGAGATCGCGAAAGGCTCTGCAAGATTCCAAGAGGGTGGGTCCCGAGATTTATTAGCCGACATTTAGCCAGGTAGGTGCGTGCCAAACTGCCCCCAGCTAGAACGGCACGACTCGTCGGAAAGGGAGGTTCACTAGAGCTAAAGGATGCCGATGTGAAGAGGTCCAGGTCTAATTGATACCCCGACAGATCAATTCTCATATGACCCCATTGAGACTGATCAAACCTAGCTCACGGTAAAATGGAGAGTCGTTAGACCGACTCCTGTCGGTGAGTTCCCGGTCCGGGTTGGTCACGTGGCAAGCGGGAGCCGCCGGTGCAGGAATACCGAAATAACAGCGTTACCTCACTTTACCTCCGGGAAGAAGCAATTGCTCTTTGGGCAACCTATTCCCACTAATTTACGTCATTGAATCTGTTCCAAGTCCCGATCATATCATTTTCCAGCATCCTGGGCTTTATTAAAAAGGGAAGACCCTTTTCGATTGAAGTTCTTCAATCGCCTTGTAGCCCCATTTGGGACGAAAATAAAAAGAATCAAAAACAAAAAATATAACGACATCCTCGTGGAGAGCTAACATTCTATCATCTTCTATCATCAAGTACCGAGCCCAAATATGACTTTCAAGGTAAGTTGCCTCCCGGCAAGGAAGACACTCACATTCCCTGGCAGAGTCCTGTAGCGACGTCATATAAGTCCTTCTCCTTTTGCTAAAAAAAAATGCCAAGACTCTCTCAGCAACGGCCGCCGCCGCCCTCGATAGGGAGCTCATGAGCACCTGCGCCTTCTCCATCGATCAGCTCATGGAGCTCGCCGGGCTGTCCGTCTCTCAAGCAGGTAGGTCTTACGGATATGCTCGCCTTGTTTTTGTCACATCTATGCCAAGTTTTCTTCTCTTCTCCAAGAACCCTCTTGACTAGTTAATACATTTTACGAAACTACGGCTTACACAACGCTCTGTCATCCCCCTAGTCTTCAAGGTCCACCCCCCGAGCTCTGGGAGGCGAATTCTTGTTGCCTGCGGACCGGGAAACAATGGTGAGAACTTCCTTTCTAAGATGCGTTGAAATTGCCTCTGCCTTGGTCCAGCCCGTGATTAACCTGGCACAGGTGGCGACGGCCTGGTCGCCGCGCGGCATCTACGCCATTACGGATACTCACCCTCCATCTACTACCCTAAACGGACCAAGAACGATCTCTACCAGGTAGGTCAACTTCTCTTCGTTCAACTCGGCGTGATAGGTGCTTTGGTAGTTCCACCCTACACCTTTGGGGCCGCATTAAGTGTGTTTGTGTGCATCTTCCTCCCAGATGTCGGTAGCCAGGGTTTGGAATCCGGGACACTGAAGTCATTGTTTCTTGGTGCCCGATTCACGCAAATCTCAGTGCAAGACGGAAGGGAAATGGCCCTGTAAATCGAGACTGCATTAAAACATGTTGCCCGCGTCCCCTTAACGCTGCTCATTAGAGAGTAGTTTGATGCACCGGCGCCCCTCCTTCCCATTGTAACGATGCTTTCCTATCCAACTCGGTCTGTGTTGTTTGATCCGATTTGTCCTTTTCTGTTCCCGCCCCTCGTTTCGTGTCATACACCCTTCCTGGTCCAGCAAGTCGAGTTCCATATCCTCCGACCTCCGCATGAAAATGTTCTCCTTTCCAAGATCCTCGTATTAACCAGCTGGACTTCCGTTTAGAGACTCACCAAGCAGCTGGAAGACTTGAACGTTCCCTTCGTCGACGATTTCTCTGAGGCCCTTAAAGTGTCGGATCATGTCGTGGACGCAATCTTCGGTGTGTGATCCCCTGATCTCCTGGTAACGCCGCCCGCTCCCCTGGGTATTGTCTGATCCGTATCCGTAGGCTTCAGTTTTTCCGGTGAAGTCCGAGAGCCGTTCCCTGCCGTGATTCGAGCTCTCCAAGAAACCAAGCTTCCGGTGACTTCCGTAGATGCCCCTTCATCTTGGGATATCGAAAATGGGCCGCCTAAAACCGGGCTCGGAAGCACTTTCAACCCTGCTGTCCTGGTTAGCCTCACAGCTCCGAAGCCGCTCGTGAAGTATTTTGCCGGAAGGCATTTCATCGGAGGAAGGTACGGACCTTGTTCCTCCCCTGAATTCAGCTACCAGGAGCTGCAACAGCGTGTCGGGTAGTCTCGGGTGGGGTCCGATTTCTATCTCAAGATGAGCTGACACGAAGGATAGGTTCGTTCCGCCGGGTATTGCGCAAAAGTACGACTTCGAGCTTCCAGAGTATGAGGGGATCGATCAAATTGTCGAAGTTGATTCCAGCGGTCAAAAGCTCTGAGGAATGTCGGACCCCGCTCTGAAAGGATCCTTGATTTGGAGAAAAGACGAGTTCGCCGGGTCCTTCGTGGAAGTCTCTGAAAAGGCGGGCCGGAGGTGGAGGAGGAGAACGGTTCGCACTTTGACAGGGGTCGGAGGTCAGACGACGGGAATCAGGGATGGATTTTCTAACATTTAGCGAGATGATTTGCTGTCATTCTCCGGCTTCTTTCATATAACCTGGCAACCTCCCACCCGACTATTGGGGCAGACAGGACTTGGGCACTGCCCTTCTTGGGGTGGGACTCGATTAACGGCGGTCCCCCTGGGACAAACCAGGACCGGAGGGTGGTACTGAGGACAGAACTCAACATAGATGAGATATTGTTTCCCGCAGACTGGGCAGCCACCGATATGCTCAGTGCACATTAAAACCGTTCTATGAGTGATGATGGAACAATGATAAACGTAAAAGCAACGCAAATAACGCAAAAGGAACGACAGTATCGGCGGCGTCGGGAGTCGGAAAGGTAGCGGGAGAGAGTGTTAGTGGTAGCAGGAGGGACATGAGAGAGTTGAGGGCTTGGTATCGCTGGCTATACCTTCCTCGACATCGAAGAGACGAAAATGTGGCTGAGATCTATATACAATTATAATCGTCGAAGAAGAGGGTGTGGCTTTTGTGCGCAACAACCATAACACCGTAGGTAGAACATCCGTTGTCCGGCAGGTTGGTATACGTCTGGCAGATGTTTCGCGGGTGGTTCCGCTTGACCACGTACTCACATAGATGGAGTTCTGTAAGGTATTTCGCGGTATTTGATGTATAAGGGGCGTGTGAGGGTGTGAGTGGGCTGGATGGGGCGTGTGTCGCACAGCGTGGCGTATCGGCATGGAATATGGAGGAAGTAGTGTAGTGTGGTATAGTGTAGGCCGTTGACGGGTGTGAGTGGACCGGGAGAGTAGGGAGGGTATTAAAACGGTGGTTAGTCGATTCACTTTTTCCAGGTAGGAGATGTCCTTTCTGTCGCGAGTTTGCCACCGCGAGATGGGCGCAAGATTCCTCAGCTTCCTTCGAGTGAAGGGGACAATGGAGGGCATGCGCGGAGTGGGCAGAAGACGGCGAAGACGACGAAGACGACGAAGAGGTTGCAAGCGGAGCTAAGGCCGCGGGAGGGGCCCGAGAGGGAGGAAGCCAACAACACCCCTCTCTTCGTCTTTCTCTCTACTTTTAGTTTCTCGCTTATTATACAGGTAGGACTGGAGACTTGGGCCCTAACAGAAGACAGCCGCCTGCTTGAGGCACAGGTGGTAGCGAAGCGGTAGCATTGCAATTTAGTGACACGAAGCAATGATGGTGAAAGGCCGGACAACAGGACCTGGAAGCAGAGAGAGCAAATGGGGAATTAGGGCTGTGGGAGGTTCTAAGCAGTTAGTTGGAGTGGAGGTCGCATGGTCTTGCGCGGTTTCCTCGCAGCTTCCTTGTCCCTTTTTTTTTTTTTTTTTTTTTTTTTTTTCACTCATCTCCTCCTTCCTTTTATTACACCACTTTCCTTTCACTCCTCCTCTCCGGGGGAGGGAGCATTGAACCGTTATTTCCTTTTGTAACGCTTGTTCCTTCCCCTCCCGGCCCCTCCCCCTCTACACTACTTCGTACTTTTGCTGCTAAAAGTATAAACGGGTCCACGGGTCCACGGGTCCACGCCCATGGCGCGCAGTGGACCGAAGCAAGTGTGGAGTGCAGTTTGCGACTTGGAGGGCGAAGAGCAACCAGGGATGAAGAGGTAGCAGGAGTGGAATACCCTATGACACGACAATTGATCACTTGCGCTATGCTGATGTGCTGGACGCAAGTGTTCTGATGTGCTGTCTAGGTGCCTGGAGAAGAAAAGAACCCGTGGTCTGTCGGCTCTTGGTGCCCCATTCTATCTATAGATCCGGGGCCGGGATGGGTTATCAGTGATGGGCCATGATTGATGGGAGAAGATGACAGTGGCCGGAGCAAAAGCTCCTAAAATCCATGTGATAGGTGAGTGCGGCAAGGCGGCGCTTGTGGTGGGGTGCGCCTGGCAGTTGACAACCTGCACTTCGGACAACTGCAGCAGATTTCAGTTGTGTCTGCGCTTTGGAGCCAGCGCAATGAGTGCTCGTCGGAGTTGTAGGTCAGCCCCGCACAAACGGTCAGCAGCTCCTTCCCAATCTCGTGGGGTTCGGCTATACCCTTTCGTATAGTGTATTTCTCGAAAAGAAAATTTTATTTGTCGTGAGAGGAAGGAAGAGCACCTCCAACATCTGCCGTTCCTTCTCAGAGGGGATGGTGATACAAGCGTCAGACCTAAGGCACGACCAACGACCGGAGACATCTGTCAGTAAAGCCAATTCGGACCGTGGTTCCTGAGTTCCTCCCCTCGGGATTCATAGCCTTGTCCGGGTCCGATCTTCAAGGCTCCCTGTTCTTTCTTCGCAGTGTAGTGTATATCTTCACAATATTGATTCCTTATTCTTTTCGCTAGCCCAGTAGATACAATTTCTACCTAGGGATCCTTGACGAGGTACGGAGTTTTTCCAATTGATAGACTCGACTAGTGGCACAGACTATCTATGTACAGCGACTTGGATCTCAGACTAGTGAAAAGGTCTTTGAATTCAGTGATTCCTGCCTGGTTAAATTCATCTACCAAGTACCAGGCTTTTCAAAGTATTTTGATCGCCTTGCTGTCCTTGCTTCCTGGTGTCATTTGGCTTTTGGGCCCCCACCTGCATAGTGTGGACTTAATCAGAAGGGGAGCAATTATCCCTAGATAGAAGTTCAATGGCACATGGCAGGAAGCTCAAACCGTCCATGTATGTACACTGTTACTCTATTGTGTTAGCTTGTCTCTTTCTTGATCTGGCGCCGGGGGGGCCTTCCTTTGACTTCATTCTTCGTACTCGGTCCTTGGCATGTTACGGAGTACAACATTGCTGATTGCCGAGTGAGGTAAGAGCGAGCGAGCTTCTGGTGTCTCATGCGAAGTTACGATGTTCGTTCCTCATGCCAAGGTCTGCGAGCTCTCCTGTAGCAGTTGTCCTTGCCGCGATTGCCCCTAGGTAATCTTACTAACTGGGAACCATCAGTCTCCCGCCTGGCCTCTGCGAGTTGAGCCATACAAAGTACGTAGTGCCGTCGTCCTATCCAGCGGCGCCGAGCCCCACATTTGATGCATCCCGCTGGACCTGGCCAGCCAGCCCTCCAGCCCTCCAGGTATTCCGAAATATTCGCAACCAACTTCATCCTCGGGAACGGCCTCAAAGGCGAATTTGCCCTAATTATCCCCAATTAAGGCAGAGCAGGGGTCACACCACCTAAGAAATGGAGAAGATTTGACCCGACCAAAACCAGACAGGTTCGGAATTAAAGACTCACACTCGCAATCACATACATAAACTACATACTCACTTATTATAGTTTACCTGACTCTCGGGAAGACCTCTAAGGATAAGACGAGTGAAGAGCATCTAATCCTTGTCATTTCATCTCAGACGGCCTCCAACCTGCGGAGGCTATATCCGTAAACTCGCTTGTTTTATCCCATAATCGAACTGGGAGCCGATGTCGATCCCAAGATACAAAGGCGACGGTTGATCGATGCACTTAATGTACTCAGGTACTTGAAAGATTCTCAGCTTCCTGCCGAATAAAGATTCAATGTAACTACTTTCCTTTTCATGTAAGCCGTCCCTCCTCACTCAGGTCCCTCTGGTTCTCTGGTTCGGGGTTCTCTTTCCCCGATTTTCCAAAGAAAGAAGAAAAAGGTTCAATGCAGTGCTCTTTCCGTCTTCCATGTTAGCCCGATGCCGTCCTTCTTCGCCTCGTATTTGTGGGTTGCCGTAAAATCGAGTTACAGCCAATGCTCTTGACTGGAGGCTGGAGCGGAGAGTGACTCGTCATGCACTTTCACCGATCCGACGACCTGTTCCTTATACGAAGGTAGGGAAATCTTCTTGAGCATGGCATAACTAAGGTAGGCTTAGATGCTGTTACATGGCTCTGGAACTACTTACCAAGCCCCTGGCTGCAGTCGAGCGATTGCCCTTCACCTGATGCCATTGTCGAACTGAAGACCGGCATTTGACAGGTCATCCTCAGCTCGCATTTCCCCCCTCTTTATCCTTGGGATGGATCCTTTTGCTGCCCAACGATTGCAGTGGTCTATACACTACGCTATTGACTATTTCTGGGACCTACCACACTGCGAAGAACACTATCCCACAGCCTGGCTCGCCTGGCAATCGACCTTGACAGGTTTTATTGCCCACACCCTAGTGGCCGACTGGACAAAGTGGCATGGCAAATTGAGCCCCCGAATTTCAAGGTACTACCCCACTCTCCATACCAGCATTGAACCCGGCCTCCACCGCTCTATCTTTCGTGGCAGGCCTGAGGGGTTTTGAACTCGAAACGAGAAGACTAGTGTAGTTTACGCTAGGCCAGAATGTAGGAAACCACTGGCTCAAGTCAGAACTGGTTGCCACCTCCGCCTTAATGCTAGGTCTCAGGCTGGGAGATGCCTTCTCCGAAGTACACTACACTACAGAGTGTACAAAGACGTTGGCTATGGGGCTGTGACATTTCAATATCCCAAGGATTGATAACGGGTCTGCGGTGGAGATCTGATAGTTTCAAGATCTGAACCCCGCCAACTATATGAGCCGTCGACCTGGGATGGAACTGGAGTATATTCATGATGGGCTTCCCGACCTGAGCCAAAGTTGGTTAGTTCACGGATTCTGCTTCTCTCGGTCCTTGGCGCTCGACACTAAAACAAGATAGATGACCGAGGCTGGCCATGAGCCTGGATTACAGTGAGGTGGTGCATTTACCGAGTTGGTCCTTCCCCTCCTTTTCCAACAGCCACACTACATTAGGCATCTAGCAGCTGCATACGGGCGGACATTTCTCGATTCGGAAGAATACTCCTCCCTTTCGTGGGCTGTATGCACCTGCCTGCTGTTTCGCATGTTTTCGGTGTCGACATGGATCTTTCCAGGCTGCTGAGATCACTCACCTGACCTGCACTTCTTTCAGGAACGAGAGTGGTCCGCTGGCTGCAGTATAATAAGGTGGTGCTGGACTTGGCTTCATGCGTGGTGGATCCAAGGGAGACAGGTGGAGAGGCGGGCTATCAAGGGACAGGACATTAGGGTTCTCACTGATTGCAATTGCCTAAATCCCTAGCGTGTCGGTGGTGAAGTTGCAATTTGACGCTATCGTCGGTGGGAACTTTCTGCTGCGAGTGGTGATTCCCTGCCTGCCCCTCTTCTCTTGTTCTTCTGAATCTGGAACAGTATCCGCACCTCTCTGCATTCTGTTTACAAGATCAAATTTCGCTTGATTTCTAAGCTCGTCATCGGGATGCGGGCTAATGAACGTCTAGAATCGTTGCTTGCCCGGTCTGATTTCTATGCATCTCTTGAAGTCAAAACAGTCCGCTGAAATTCCTCCGGAGCCGGATTCGTGCTCGCCAACGAATACTTTATTAATTTGGATACGCCTGGAGAGGCGGACATCAGAGTTTTCGGACGTCCACGCTTTCCTCTACCCTCCAACACACTTCGCGGAATACGAGCAAGATGAGAATGCACCTGGACGATTAGGTTCAGTTCCTGTCCCAATTCGGACGTTTCCAAGAGCTTTCACCACCTTATTGCGCCCAAACTTCCTTCCTCTGAGGTGGCATTTCTCCTCGTTTGGTATAATCGCCACATGGCATCGATATATACTGGACACTGGTGACATCATCCCTCACATCAAACACAACACACTGCGCTGCCTTTTGCTGACGATACGGTGAATTTGCTGGCAATACGGTGAAAACGCTGCCATGCCACAACGAGGAGCCACACCTTAAGCCACTGCGGTAGGGCGAATTACATTTGCTTTTGGCGGCTCTTAGTTCTGGCGGTTGATACATTTCTGCACGTGGCGCTTTCCTCAACGTCGTATCAAAATGCCGGCTATTAGAATCTTGACCCTCTGTGATGGTGCTAAGCCAATGTACGGACGTTATCCGCATGTCTGTTAATTGGAGATTATTGGCATTTCCAACAAGTACTTGGTAGTTTGTCCCTCGCCCCTTTCTTCCAGACTAGGCTCTGAGGGTGCCAACCCACTGGTTAATTCCTCACCAGGAACCACTAGCATCATGCATATGTGAAGCCTTGTGCAGCCCCGAGGCGAATATCTCCGACTCGTGGTCACTATAACTCCAATCGCCACGAATCCGGCCGTCATCTCCTATGATTTCTTGGCGTACTGGCTGTGCGGGTTTCCTGAACTTACGAGGCTTCTGTGATGAGTCCAGGCGGCCACCGAAAACTCCTAGTCCGGCTCCCACTGCGTGGTCGCTGACGAGGCCGGCGACATACGCCTGATGCTTTCCGGAAGTGTTGAAGCTACATTTGAGATGATTCTCTACTTCGTACACTACGCTTCGCTACGTAAGTCTACTTTCGAAAGCGGATGATGCCCCGGACCCCCCGGCGTGAAATTTTTTCCTTCCTTTTCAATCTATGCCGCCCGATAAGTGGCCCGATCCCCATGTGAGCTCCATCGACTTTACGATCGACCCCATCTTGATCTGGTAAGGCTCGAAGTTCCATTCTTCCGTTGACCCACAGCGCCGTGGATCAAGGGGGCTTGCAGAATTTTGAACTCAATTCCACATGGCTCCCGAGAAATATCTCATGAGGCCCCACTAAGTAGGGTGTAGCGAAGCCAAGTTTTGCGGGAATGGGTGAAAATTCGACGGGCCTGTGGTGTCGTAGTTGTTTCAACGGGTTGCCAATGTGTAGCTTGGAGTGCACTACCCGACATTACAGGGAAAGATCAACGGCTCCCCACCTCGATTGAAATTGTATTCCCCGATTTTCTGGATCGGCTTCTCTCGTTTTAAATTATTTTCTTTGAGATATCGTGAGATCTTTTTTTTTTTTTAAACTATTCTTTGTGGTTTGTGGTTTGAGTATGCTGGTTTTCATCGACCCTGCCTGATATCGGAAGAGACGGAGTGGGGCCGGGACGGCAGTGGGAACGGCAGTGGCCGTATGAAGATCTCAAATGCCGGCCAATGCCGACATAGGGACACGCCTCCACGGGTCGATAGCAATAACGCGTGACAGCCCTCGACTATTCCATCGGCTTTCAGCGGCGGTCATCATCCGATGCGACGGAGTTGGATAATCAGTTCTTTTTGCGAGTCAGAAAACCCAAAACTTGGTTCGGTGTGCACCTCCTCAGGACACTACAAGGGGGGGGGGGGGGGGGGGGAGGAAAGAAGCTACCTGCATATGCATTGCGTCAAATGCATCTAGATACTTTGAGCGGCATCGGGAATTTACTTTGTGAAAAAGTTTGACACAGTGAGATCTCTGGGATCTCGGATGCCGATGCTGCAGGGAACCCAGGGTACCTAGAGTGACCACATTTGGCTTCATGCTAGCGGTTTTAACCTTGAATGATGGGTGGTATAGGGCAGTGCGACCCAAATCTTGACGCCAGGCTAGTTACTAGCTCGTTTCCTCGTACCTCTTCCTGTTTAGCGAAGCTTCAAGGATAGCATAGGGCTCTCGATCTGCACCTCTCGGCCGGGAGGGTGGTTGACAGATGGACACCCTGCAACGTGTTGTGGCGCACTTTGAAGCTATCGGATGTGTGCTGGATACATGTCGCGTGTTACTCGCTTCCAGACACCGCTCGACCTTCTATTTTCGGACTAATTAAATACAAACTTTATACGAGCATGAAACTTTTCAACTTTTTTTTTTTTCTATTCTCTGCCCTACACCCTCAAGTGTTTGGGCAGATGCGCATCCGGAGAAAGGGCGGAGATGTAATCGCTAAGCCGGATTCCTCTTTAGATGCATAATAATCATTATCGCATTTCTCGCCACCAGAATAAGGCAACCTTCGAATGTTCTTCACTTCACGTTTCTCCGGATCAGCAAATCAAAACGGCACAATCTGAACTGTCGATATCATCGAGACACCCAAAATTCTCGAAAACCCGTGGTGACACTAGTACCGTCAATAGTTCTTCCAAAATTTTTTCCAAAGAGAAGAAAAAAAAAAAAAAAAAATTCTACTGCGGACCCACATCCTTGATCCCGGGTCTAAGGCGCGCCTGCCATCCGAGGGGATCCGCTAGTGTCTCATCTCCATCCACCGACGACACCCACAAGACCACATGGCGACTCTGACGGGCGCGCCTCAACCCGTGAAGCTATCGCTGCCGTTGGTATGACATGACATCTCGTATCCTCTTCCCTAGTTTCTATGAATAATTGTGCTTCGTCAAGTCGGACTGGCGTATCACGTCGAGGGAAGGCTTTTTTTTTTTTTTTTTTTTCCAAATCAAGATGAAGCAGAGCAAAAGCTCATCATGATCCCACCGCACCACAGACACCACACCACACCGTAGTAGTCCCTCACGAGACTGACCTGACGGCTCGTGTCTAGGAGTACCAGCAAATCCTCTTCCAGGAGCTTCGAGCCGAGGATGAGCTCGTGGTCATCGCCCGAGGTCTCGGGCTCATGCGCCTAGTCACCAATCTCCTCCACTCGTACGACGTAGCGGGGAACAACTTGATCCTCATCGTCGGCGCTACGGACCGGGAGAACGGCTGGATCGGCGAGGCCCTGGCCGAACATGCCGCGGTAAGCATGGCGCCCAAGGCCCGGGGCCTGACCGTCGTGAACACGGACTTCACGAGCGTCGGCGCCCGCGAGAAGATGTACTCCAAGGGAGGCATCTTCAGCATCACCTCTCGCATCCTCGTCGTTGACCTACTGACGGGCCTACTCGTGCCCGAGTCGGTGACGGGCGTCATCGTGCTCCATGCTGATAAGGTCGTGGCGACGTCGTTGGAAGCCTTCATCTTAAGGATTTACAGGCAGAAGAATAAGGCAGGGTTTTTGAAGGCGTTTTCGGATAATCCGGATCCCTTTGCTACGGGGTTTTCGCCTTTGGCTACGATGATGAGGAATTTGTTCTTAAGGAAGGCGTCTTTGTGGCCAAGGTTCCATGTTACTGTTGCGCAGTCGCTCGAGGCGAGGAAGAAGAAGGCCGAGGTCATTGAGCTTGAGGTGCCGATGACGGAGGCTATGACGGATATTCAGAATGCCATTCTGGAATGCGTCGAGATTAGCATTCAGGAGCTCAAGAAGGGCAACACGGGGCTCGAGATGGACGATTGGAACATTGATAATGCCCTACTCAAGAACTTCGACGTTATAGTACGTCGGCAGCTTGAGCCGAACTGGCACAGAATTAGCTGGAAGACGCGCCAGATCGTCAATGATCTCACTGTTCTTCGCGGCATGCTCCATTCCCTCCTTTCCTTCGACTCCGTATCCTTCCTTCAGCACCTTGATACCATACATGCCGCTCATGCCCCGGCCCCGGGGTCAACGAGACAAACCGCGTCGCCGTGGCTTTTCCTCGATGCCGCGGAAACCATCTTCGCGACGGCTCGGAAGCGAGTTTACGCTGCTGCCGGAAGGCATGCGGCATCCTCTTCGGACGGCAACATCGATGCCTTGCGGCCAGTGCTGGAGGAGCTCCCCAAGTGGGGTGTTCTCGCCGAGGTTCTCGAGGAAATTGATCGGGATCTGTACTTTGAGCCTCCGATTAGGGATGACTCGAACGGCACGATACTCATCATGTGTTCGGATACGGACATATGTCGCCAGTTGCGGGATTACCTGCAGACCATGCACATCAAGCCGCGGACGGAGGGCGGTAGCACCACGGCGATCGATCCAGATGAGGAAGCCGAGGAGCGCTACAGACCCTCAGCAAACTTCATGATGAGGCGAAAGCTGCGCAACTACCTCCGGTGGAAGAAACAGTTTGCCCAAGTGAACGTCGCTTTGTTCCACGAGAACCAAAAGGCGCTTAATGGCGCGACCGACCCGCGGCTCGCGAGCAAGAGCAGCAGGGCGCCGGCGAACAAGCGCAGGAGAGTACGCGGGGGTGGTAACGTGGGTGCCAGCGCCGGACGGACCGACAATGGCAGCATTGCACAGTACTTTGAGCAGCCGGGCCAGATGGCAGAACTCATGTCCGAGGTTCCGGTGACGGAGGAGGAGGCTGAGGAGAGGGCTGACGTGGTGGTCGATACCCTGAACGACATGGAGGAGTACTACCAGCTTTACGAGATGAAAGACCTCGTTATCGTTCATGCGTACGAAGGTGACCAGGATGAGCACGTTCTCGAGGAGGTGCGACCGAGGTATATCATCATGTACGAGCCCGACGCGGCTTTCATCAGACGTGTCGAGGTATACAGATCGTCGCATAGCGACCGGAACGTGAGAGTCTACTTCATGTACTATGGCGGCTCGGTAGAAGAGCAGCGGTACCTCTCCGCCGTACGGCGCGAAAAGGACTCCTTCACGAAACTCATCAAGGAGAGGGCAAGCATGTCCCTCGTCATGACCGTCGACCCGGGTAGCGAGGACCCGCAAGAAGCCTTCCTCCGCACCATCAACACCCGCATAGCCGGCGGGGGACGCCTCGCCGCGACCGCTGAACCCCCCCGCGTAGTCGTCGACGTGCGCGAGTTCCGCTCGTCTCTGCCCTCCCTCCTCCACGGGCGCAACATCGTTATCGTGCCTTGTATGCTCACGGTGGCGGACTACGTTCTCTCGCCTAACATCTGCGTGGAGCGCAAATCCGTTAGCGATCTCATCTCGTCGTTCCGCGACGGGCGCTTGTACAACCAGGCCGAGACCATGTTCCAGCATTACCGCAATCCGATGCTCCTGATCGAGTTCGACCAGAACAAGAGCTTCACGCTCGAGCCGTTCGCTGATCTTTCGGGGAGTTTGAGTAGTGTGGCGCCTTCCAACGTCTCGTCAGATCTGCAGTCCAAGATCGTGCTGCTTACGCTGGCGTTTCCGAAGCTGCGCATTATTTGGTCTAGCTCTCCGTACCAGACCGCCGAGATCTTCGAGTCCCTCAAGAAGCAGGAGGAAGAACCCGATCCCATCGCCGCCGTTAGAGCTGGTCTTGAAAAGAGCTCCGGCGGTGGTGGTGGAGGCGGAGAGGGGCAGATATTTAACCAGGACCCGCAGGATATGCTGGCGAATGTTCCGGGGGTCACGCCGAAGAATATCTGGACGGTTGTACATGAGACGGAGAATGTGAGGCAGGTGGCGAATATGAGTTCGAAGGAGCTGGAGCCGCTGGTTGGAGGGGAGGCGGCGAGGTTGATGTATGGATTTTTTAATAGGAATGTGGTGATGACAGGGAGCGGAGGAGATGATTGAGGGATGGGACCTGTGGATGATTGGAGTTAAAAGGAACGAGAATATGACTTATGATGTACTATACTAACTATTCTAGGGGAATGATATAGGGTTATAGGTGTACGGCTCGATATCATTCTGTGAAGCCCATGCTAATCAGTCAACACGGAAACCGGTTTCCCATCCCACTCTAAATCCCATATTGCCACTCCTATCCGGAGAACTCCGAACCTTTCTCATCGTGCCCGCGCGTTAAGAGAGAATCCTCATCACAGCGCCAAGCTATATCTCAGCCGATCCACGAGACGAACTCCTCCCACTCCATTCCCGTTACAGCCAAGAGCACCGCGAAGGGCGCTTTCGAGATCCGAGAAGAATGTCCTGAGGGCGTTCCAGGTGTTTCCGAGCCCGGACCGGATGGAGGAGAGGAGTGTGAGGAAGGAGTCAACGACTGCTCGGATCTAGGGGATTTCGTTTCTGTTAGTTGTTCTGACTTTGCCATGAAAGTGCCTAGGGTAGATAACTATAGGGGAGAGGGAGAGAGGCTTGCGAGGAGGAGCGGGGTGTTTGGCTTACTGCATCTGTGAGACGGTCGGCCATGTTGGCGAGGATTTGATTTGGGTGACCGGTTCTCTTGTTCCTTTGGGGGATGGTTGGGATTGGCGGGGATTGAGGTCGAAAGGTTTAGTTGTAGGTTGTTCTTAGGAAATGTATAAGTGTGGCGAGTAGGTGGTGATAGAGCCAAGCGAGTGAGGTTGGTAGTATTCTCGGGATGAAGGAATCTAGGTGGTGGTTAGAGAGAATGAAGATTGGAGATGATGCTGGTACGAGTGTTAATTGATATCTAGAGAAGAGAAGGGGGGGGGTGGGATGCCGAGTCGTCCTGCTCCTTCTAGTCTCTCTCTTCCCCTCTCCTTCTCTCCTTTCTCATTTCGTCTTGATGCTCTTTCTATAATTGCTCCTCGAGCCCCAACGCTCTTGCCCTCGCAGCATAACTCGACACATGTGACACCCCGATGGCGCCAGAAACCCAAAGGTCCATCAGGTAGGGAAGGCACTCCCGTATTTTCTTTGAACTAATGATGTACATATTCCATTAAGTCGCTAAATCTTACATGTGCTTGTCGCTATTCCACGTCTATGGGTATTTGCTATGAACCCCCTAATATATTCTTGCAAAACCATCGGAGCTGAGTTCATCGGCCAACATAATCCACCTCCTGTCGAAGGCCATCGAAAAGAAGAAGAAAAAAAAAAAGACGTAAGTGAGAAGAAGAGAAGAGTGGGAAAATAATTAAGAAACGAACCAAAATTCCACGCCACGAGACGGAATAAAGATCCTCGTTGCCCGCAGCCGTACAAACGCCATCTATATGCAGTGTAGTTGGTATGTGTGCTGAGCCGATCCTCGCAGAACAAGTGATCCAGGAAAAGAATTTAACCGGCAGAACGAAGCCGAGCCGAGTCGAATAGATCGAGGAGCGTAACACTTGTTATGCTCGCCCGCCCTCCCATCTATTACCATAGCCACCACCTCTTTGCCTTCGGCGGCGTCTTCTGATTAATCATCCTCCTCATCCGCTCCCGGCTTCTAGGGTCCAGCATGCTGTCGGCACCGGGCTGGCTAAGCCAGGGCTGATGAGGACGCGGTAGGGTAGCACGCTCGTCGCCCATCATCTTGATGCGCTGAACCTTGCGTAACTTGACGAGGCCATACCAGCAGACGATGAGAGAGAAAAGGATCGAGACACCCGTCACGCCGCCGAATCCCCAGTTCGTTTCCTCGATAAAATTCTCGAGGTTCATTCCGTAGAGACCGGCGAGGAAGGTTCCCATAGCTAGGCCGAGGGTGCCGATGCTGAACTTGAGATCCAACAACATGAGTGCATTTCGGTTGGCGTCGAGAATGGCTCGAATACTGTTCAACCACAGTTAGCCGACATACCATTAGTCTACGACGAAGAGGTTGGGGGTTTGTACACACATTTCCTCAGTATTTCTGATACTAGAGACCAGGTTGCCGGCCTCTTGTGCGATTTCGTCGCAAATTTTGTGATACGATTCGAGCAGAATCTCAACCTCGGTATGATCTTCAACCCCGCGATATAGGTCGTGAGCCTTCTCCGTCAAGTACATGTCTGCGAGGTCATCGTCCGCCTCCAGGAGGTCGTCAATTGCATCCCGCACGAGCTTTGCCTTTTGCTCGAACGTGCCGACCCTCTTTGACAGGATCAGGAGAATTCGCAGCTTCTGACGATCGATGTCATCCTCGAGCTCACTTAGTACTCTAATGACGGGATCACGGACCGCTTCAAAGTCCGCCTCGAGCTCCGAGGTGACCGAGGTTAAGACGGCTTCGAGGGCACGGAATTCGTAGGGTAGGCCACCGACACCCGGAGCGTTCTTCTGGCGCAACTTGGCCTGTAAATCGTACAAGAAAGCCGACTGAGGGTATGACGTTTTGGAACCGAAGACGTCAAATAGAAGGACGCGATCATGCTTGATCAGGACCTTGAGATGGAGAAGGTTAAGGAGGATCGCGGAGGGGCGTATAAGGATATGAGGTAGGTTCGACGAATCAATTTTGCGCAGATCGCGAGGCAACAGCCCATACTATAAATTTCACGAGTCAGAGTACGCACTTTAAGAACCGGAGAGGCATAGACAGGCGCCTGCCTACCTTGGCAATTAGCTCCGTCTTCTTGAACTCGCCGTCAGTTATTGTCGTCTCGCCATTTTCGTCAACTTCCGTACAACGCAGCCGTGGTTCGATCGCCGCCTTGGCACTAAGGGTTCGGCGGAGAATCGCATCACTATCGATGTCGTCGCGGCATGGCAAGTCGCCAGGCTTTAGTTGAGGGTCTCCTCGAGACGCCGAAGTTCCCCAAAGCCTCTCCTGCCATGTGAGGGTGCGCGGCTCGGGTGTGGTATGGTCATCGATTTTGTCATTATGGCGGGCAGAGGTTTTTAGGAATGCAGTATGATCAATTCCCGAGCCTGGTGCGTGGCGACATCGTGGAGATGGACGCCAGGATCCGTCACTGCTGAGGCATAATGGCGAGAGACGGGTGGAGCTACTGCTGGTGGTATGCGCGCGTGAAGAGAAGGCCCTTCGGGGAGTCGTGACGGCAATCGATGGGCTAGCGATGGGCGAGACTTTCGACCTGGGTAGTCGGTTGATTCGGGGGCTACAGAGAGAGCCAACAAGTACCGAGTCTTCTGTTTGCGCTCGGAGAAATCGGAGGAGACTGCGGGATGGCACAGGGAGGCGCAATGCTCGAGACATTGCAAGCATCCATTCGCTTCGCAAATGGGACCGGCGACGAGGCTGGTGTACAGTACAACGGGTATTCCGGCAACAAATTCGAGCTATATTGGGTTCTTGCTGTAACACAGAGAGCAGCTATCAAGGGAATGCTGCCCTGATGCTCTCATTTCCTGTCTGAGTTGTGGTGGATTCTCGAAATCTGCAAGCTTGTGAAGTCTTTAAGGTGTCGTCCCCCAAAATCCAGAGGAAGAGAAGCCAGAGGAGAATTTTGACGCACGGGCCAATAAGGTGGTTTATGTACAAAGTACTTTGAGCTCCAGACTGCCCCACTCTTCACCACACTACATCATCGCTCTTACCCTCAAATTGACCACAGAGAAAGACAGGCCTGAGGAGGAAAGAGGACTGCAAACATACATTGTATCAAGACTGGAAGGTGCGCATCGAGGACATAACATCTAAGATGTAGGAAGCTGCAATAGAAGACCTTTCTTTCCCTTTTGTCTGTGAGAGAGCACGTGAGTTGAGATAACCCTCAGAATCACCCAAAGTAGGATTTTGGAATTTCGGTTCTTCTGCTTCTCTTCCCATCTTCCCTCCACCCTCACATCCTCTACATCTATCACCAATTGCCACCGACTTCCAGTCCAACCTCCCAGTTTCATCATCTACAACTCCTGTAGCATGGTATTTCATCAATCTTATGGTGTCTGGTATGTTTTATCCCTAACTCTCCCTCAAAGCTAGATAGCCAGGCTTCAACGGAAAGCTGCTAACCTCTCTCTGTGTAAAGCTCTCCTCGCAAATCACAGATTTTTGTTCTGGAAATTCCACGTCCTTCTTCTGTACACCCTGAGTTTGGTGTCTGTATATATTAACAAGGCGACCCTCCCTCCACCCCCTTTCGTTTCTAGTTTCTATCTATCGCTGCTCCTGCAGCTGCGACATCCTACACAATGCCTCCCCTCAATCCCATCCATGTTCGCGGCAAGAAAAAAGGCAGTGCTTCTAAGGCAAGTACTCCTTCACCAATTGGCTCATCTGCTGGAGAGGACAAAATGAAGCAGAAAGATCAGAAGGTCAAACCAAAGAAATTGTCTCGCCTGGAACGCCTCCCCAATGAGCTTCTTGCCGAGATCTTCATTGAGAGCTGCAGCTATAATCTTGCCCGTTGCAACCGTTATCTGAGGAGCCTGCTTCACAGCGAGTACTGTCTGACCAAACTTGTGGCTAAAACCTTTGCGCCCACTTGGTCAATGTATTTTGACGAGCCTATGGACGGGGACATTGCTGATCCCACCACGCACCGGTCTATTGGCCGGCGTCTTGACCGAAGCCGCCGACACATTGTTAAGGCTCAGGTATGCGGACGAGACCCAGAGGGAAACTGAGTTGCCACTGACTTTTAACTAGGAACATCTACTCGGCTGGAAGTTTTTCGACATAAATATCGTCTTGAAGGCTCAACAAATCTGGTATGATGAGACACAGCCAGAGTGCAATACTGGCATAATCCACTGCCGGAAATGTAGACCTCCCCATACCGACTGCGATCAGCATTGTCGTGGGCGAAACGGACATAGGTTCAATGCCGTGGCTTGCTTCAACCACGATTACCAGGCCGCCAAGAGGGGAATCCGCAGTCGTCGAGTCGGATGGAGTCAGTATAGAAGCCGCCAGGACGTCGAACCGGGAATCTACCTTGGGCCTCGCCGCCTGCACGGCCCCTGGAGTGAGGACCATGCGCGCCTTGTCTTCTGGCTATATACCGGCGGCGCCATCGTTGACAATGAATCTTGGGATGGCTACGTACGCACTTCCCCTAACTATAGATCCTTTCACCTCAGAAGAACCATCCATCTAACATACCTCTTTAGGTCTCCATGAACCTCACGGAGAGCCACTCGCACTTGGGGGACTTCAACCCTTTCTTCATATATGGCTCCTCGCAACTAGTTAACGTCAAGACTTGGCCCCTCTATGACGCGTACCATTTTTATCTTAGGTGGAAGGTCGCGTGTGATGACGAGCCCGGGTTCGAAGCCATGATAGATCTCAGAGATCGTCTGAGGAGTACGTTCGAGGACGATGATATGAACGCCATTCGAAGTCTCAGACGCAACGCTGGTAGAGACCCTAACGACTCGGATCTCGAGTATGATCCCGACAACGATTCGGACATCGATGCGCCGTTTGACGGCGATAGCAACTTGGAGCGGATTCGACGCGAAGTGAGATATCAGAGGATGCTTGATGCGCAGGACGAGTCGGAAGATGGAGAAAATGAGGAGGAGGAAGGGGAAGAGGAGGAAGAGGACGAGGGTTTGGAGGGCTATATCTCTGGACAGGACGAGGACAAGGATGGCGAGGAGAGTGAGAACGAAGAGATGAACGAGGAGAACAATGTTGTTGCGGCTGCTGAGGCATGAACTCGCCTGGCATTTGGCGTTTTGAGAGATGAAGAGATTATATCCATGGACAGAGAGGTTGAACGGGACTAAGTTGAGGAGGAGAATGAGAACGAGGAGGACGAGGAGAACGAAGTTGTATTGCTGCTGATGCGGAAGGTCTCATCCAGACCTGCGATATATACGCTAGCAGGACATTTGACGTTTTGGCAAACAAGGGGGCGATATGCAGGGCCGGAGTGAGGGGGAGAAACGAAGTTATGTGGCCGCTGAAGCGAGGAAGAGTCAAAAGGTCTCACTCACCTAACCTGTGGATATCTTACCCTACCAGAACACAATTGACGATTTGAGAGGTCCAGTAACAAAAGAGAAAATCACTTCAAGTTCTAGTGCAACATCTATGTCTATGTTCTGTTCAATCCCCCTTTCCAAGGACGTATGTAAACTGTAGGTCATGTCAGTCCCTTTCCCTTCTGTAGAATCGGAGCCAATATTACGAAGACTTGGTGAGAGTAGACGTCACGAAAGGTCAAGAAGGAACATGAGATATTACTGTTATAACCATTTAAATTAAGAAGTCGGCAAGACTTAAAAAAGGGGAGCAAGAAGCGTCCCCAAGCCACGGTTTCCCGCGCCCGAGTACTTCCATCCCCCCCTTCTTCCATCCGCCATGGTTGAGTTATCCTATTTACCAAGTTGATTTGGGGTGGGATATAGGACAATCAGAAGAAGATGAAAAGGGAACAGAGAACCAGTCTGTCAGAGATAGATCCAAAAAAAAACCTTCCCCCGCCTCGTTTTCCCTTCGTCTCTCGTTTTCCGGGCCTGTGATTCCCTCGGAGGCGTACTAACTTTTGCTATTTCCGAGCCTCCTTTTGTTTTCTTTTCTTTTTACCTGGCCAGTATCATGCCTCCTTCTTTTTTGCAAGTAAGGAACAGAAAGGGACCGTTTCGTAAACCTTGATTGAAAGGAAAGAGAAGAAAAGGAGGACAAAAGGGGACAAGGGGTGGAAGGGTTTCGAATCCGCCGTCATCTCATGAAAACATGTTTTCCTCCACCTTTCTGTCCTCGTCTGATTTCCTCCCCAGTCCAGCTTTCTTCCGCTTCCTTCCTTCTTCCTCCTTACTTCTTTCAGTAATCGTACAACCGCCTGCGACGGACGACAGAATGAGAAGAAAAAAAAAGAAAAACAGAAAAGAAAGCAGAAGACTTCGCAACTTAAAATATCAAAAAAAAAAGCAAAACACCCAGCGGGGACTTGGCCACGTACAAGCCAAATATCCCCTTCCCTTTACCTTTCCCGCGCAAAAACTCGATGAAGCAAATCAGACAAAACAAAAAAAAAAAAAATCAGAAACATCCTCCCCATCCGTGTAAAGAAACCCCTTTAACCCCCGGCCCACTAAAATCCTTTGCGTGTTGTGTGTGTGGTGTCTGGAAAGAACGAGAAGAACCAAACAATGATGATGATGCCTTGGGTATTAGATCCCCCCAGTTTGAAGATGCATGCAAGTGGAAAAGGAAAAAGAAAAATGCTAGCTTTGCCCATAACCCTTTGTTCGCCAGCAACCTTGGGAACGCCATCTATATGTTTCTTGCTTTCCAAAGCTTGAGAGGGAGAAGAGAAAAAACATTGATAGATGATGTTCTTGACCCAAGGTGGTATCTTATCAAAAAGCAGCCCGTTGGGGTTGAACAATAAAAGAGAACGCACCCTATACCTCTCAGGACACCCCAATCAATCCATTTGTCCTCCAAGTGAGGGAGACCCGGACATCTTGCGATCAGTGGCGAACCGACAGATAAACAATTGACGGAAAAGCAAAACATGAACGTGCTTAGGTTAAAGCGACTATCTGTGTGGTCTCCTTAGTCGTGGAGAATGCCGGCCCACATTCCGGACCTTCCTAGACCGCCAGTGAGGCTAGGGAGCATGTATTCGCCTCGGAGGTCTTGTGAGGCCTCGGTCGAACAGCAGAGCCGCTTGCTACCACGTCGCGTCAACAGAGGAGCAGGGAGCTGGAGACGTCGCTCGGCAAAGGACTTGGATCGAACAAGCGTCTCGGGCCATCGCTCTACACCCTCAACGTTAGTGTTAAGGATATCCCTAACATTTTCCTGGAGGGAGCTCTCCAAAGAGTCAGACCTGCCTCGCTTCGAACCGGTCCTCGCGATGGAGCCGGTCTTGGCCGAGGCACAACCCCACTGCTGAAGTTCGTGCAGGGTGCGCGCAGCGTCGTTGACAGACTCGCCTACCATGGCCTCAAGTTCGCTTTCACGGCGGCCGAGCGGGGTCTCAAGGTACGCGTCACCAAGCTTGCCGGCAATGCCAGTGTAAGGCTCGGGGGAGGACGAGAGACAGTGCTCGTAATCTTCGGGAACCGACGAGATGATGAGCGGCTTCAAGCTGGGCCTCTCGGCGCGGAGCTTCGCAGCACGGAATCGCGATGGAACGGCCAATCTGGCGTTCGAAGTCGCGCTTCCCAGCGAGGCAGACGACGAGATCGAGGACGAGCGAGAAGTGCGCGAAATATCGGAAATCATCGACTCGGGAGAAGAAGCCGTCGAAAAGGTCGAGAGCGAGGGGCGACGGGTAGGAATCTGGTTCTGAGGAGAAGGCGCAATGGCAGTGCCATTCCAGCAATCCAGAAACTGAGTAGCGGAGACGGCGCTGGCGTGGTTCATGGCCAGGCCCATAGACGAACCCTTGCCGAGAAATTGGGGAACAGTGCTCGCTGCAGGAGTACTGAATCCACTGGGCTGAGGGGTCAGTCTGGGGGTCGGGAGAAGACCAAGAGCGGGGACGAGTCGGCCAGGAGTATGGACAGTGACGGGAGAAGGCTCCAAGACGACGGGGGTAAGAGGAAGTTCCTGAGTCTCCAATGCCAGGACCGGGCTGGTCTCGCGGGCGATAGGGGACGAGGCGTGAGTATAGTTCCTCAAAGGCTCGACGTTAAGGAGGTCGGAGTCGAGCTGGAGCATGGCCTTCTTCCAGGCCGAGATTTGGGGGCTCGAGGGCATCATGCTGATGCCGCCAGGAGAAGGAGGAGTCGAAGGTGGCCTGAAATCCAAAAGGATACGAGTCCAGCGCTTCCATACTGTGTTGGTAATGTGCAAGTTCCAGCTGACTGCGTGGAGGAAAGCCGTCTCGTTCTGGTTGATCTCCTGTGTGTGCAAACCAGAGATCTTGCTCCAGGCGCGAGCCGAGTAGTTTCGGTCCTGGAGGTACTTGGACGCGAGAATGAGCGCGGCAAGGAAGACGCGGCGGCCGCATTGCAAGGCACGCGTAGCCTGGTGGTCCCGAGGTTGTTCCATTGTGAAGTCGAGTTGCGGAACATGGTCCTTGATGAGAATTAAGTAGTACATAGTTACTTGTAAGGTAGAGTAGCTAGTGCGAGACCTCTTGAGGGTCTCTTGGATGAAGGTCCTCAAGGGTAGAACGGACTTGTTGTTAATCTCATTTCGGCAGACAGCGGAGGACAAGGGCCAGATGGCCTCGACCAAGAGTGCTGCTGCATCTGCGAGTGCCATATGAGTTTCAGTAACAGTTGTGCGAAAATAGCTCCTTTGATCAGAGCTTGTTAGATCGAAGTAGTAGTATCTTACCGACGAGGTTGTCAACGAAGTTAACCTTTCGGTCATGTTGATGCACGAGCTTGGGAGGGCACCCGGTGCGTGAGGTAAGACCGCTATTGGTGCGACGGGGGTTTTGACGCAACTCGGGAGGAACGACATCGGAGGCGGCGGCAGCGGCGGTAACAGCGGCAACGGAAGGTAGAGGCTGTCTAGCGAGGGGATCGCAGGACGAGTCGGTTCTAGCTGCGGCGCAGATGGAATCGATGGACGAAGATGAACGGAGGCTCCAGGATGAGGATGCGACGGATTCGAACGACGATTGAGAGGAGGCGTCGGACCAATCGGAGCCGGAAGAGGTGGTGGTAGACTGCGAAGAGAGAGAGTCCGCATACTGCGGCTGCTGATAGAGGGTCGGTTTTAAGGATGAGTCATGATTCGTAGTAGCGCACCTCATCTTTGCAAGAGAGGCGTATAGTTATGGGCGGTAGAGGTCGTGAAGAGAAGCTGTTACGCAAACATGTGCGAACGTGATCTCGCAAGAATGAGGATGGGTTGGAAATAGAAGAATAGATACCAGAGGGTGAATTGCTAGGATTTCCCCTCCAGTCGCTGTTGAGCAAAGTCGAACAGGCCAAACCGTGTTATACCATAGAACAAGTCGAGGATACCGTGTAGAAGAGGGCGAGCTCTGGGGCTGCAAGATGCGGCGACAGAGCAGAAGTTCTCAAAGCGCTGGAAGGAACGAATTGCGATAGGTTCTTTTCAGACAAGGTGAGAAGTAAAACCTTCCTTTACACGAACGAGCTGGCCGTAAGACGAAGCAGAACAGACGACTGGAGTGGATTCGTAGATTTCGACAACGTACATCTCGCTGTCTTAAATCGTCCCAAGAGGATGGAGGAGCCTCGAGGTTAGGCGGGTAGAGTGGAGATGTTATGGAGAGAAGAGGACAAGTTGACGTTATGCCGATGACTCTAGACGATCTAGTGACTCGTCACGATATGGATCATGGGAGCTGGAAAGCGGAAGGGGGGGTTAGATAAGAATCGAGGTCAAAATGAGGGACCGTTGGGGAGGTTTATCGTCAACGATGAGTGACGTGTTATCGTGGACGGTGGCGTAAGGTCGGGGGGGAAGCCACTTTGATTAAGCTGTGTTGCCTATGCAAGGTACGATCGCTGGCAGGCGGCGGCTATCAGACAGGCAATCAGCAAGAGGCAAAAAAACGCTAAATAAATTATCGTGACGATAGGCACAAGGCATGAATGACTCTTTCTTCGGCTTTGGCTTTGCGACGTCGGCCGATGGTTGCCTTTGAGCGCGTTGGGTGTTTGGGGCGTGCGCCAGGGTGGTGTGGTGTGGTGGCAGCAGCAGCAGTTTGAGCAGGCAGGGGAGGCGCTGGTACCTAAAATGGGGCGACCAACAGGGAGCAGGGGAGCAGGGGGGGTGGGAAGGTTGGAAGGTGGAACTGAATGAATGATTCAGCCTGGGCCGTGTGGCAGTCAGGATGACTCTTCCCTTGTGCGCTGGGTACACTTGGTACACTAGTACAGTACACTAGTACATTGGTACAATTGTATTGACCGATGGCGAGAGGGAGAGTGCGGCGGCGGCGAAAAAAAATAAAAAGGGCAGGCGTGAACAAGATTGGAGCCGGGCTGTCTCGTCGTACCTTAGAGGGGGGTGGTGACCTCGGATCGCCGATAAGTACCGCTAAGCCGCTAGAGTCACAGTGGCTTGGTTCTGGTCTTGTGGGCGCTGGCAGCCTGGACAAGTCCGAACACTGAACAGAGTGACTCGAATTGTTTCCCCGAAACTTCGAAAGTGGCAAAAACGGAAAGAAGAAAAAAAATTGGGACGGCGGGCGAAAAGCTCTAAAGGAGAGGATAAACGAGGGATTCAGGATTTCGCCGTAATTCTCGTCTTCGTCGGTTAGCGGTACTGTTCGCTGCGCTGGTGAACTAGACAAGGGAGCAGGATGCGATTAAAAGATCAATAGATGCGAAAGTCGTTTCTTTGGATACACTGAAAAGGAACTTTTTTGAGGGCGTGTCGGCGACAAGTTGAGTAATACACAGGAGAGCGTTGAAGGAATGTGTTGGTATTTTCGAGGTCGAGGATATAATAAAAGCCTTTTCCTTTTTCGATATTTTTTTTTTCTCTATCGAGCCTTTCGGCCTTTTTGATCGTTATTTTCGTGACGTTTTGAGTGGGTTGATTTCTCGAGTCGTTTCTTTGTCGCAAGGAACAAGTGAATGCCGCTGCGAAAGAAGGTCCAGTGCTATTATTTCCGTGAAAGGCAAATAAAGACCGGACTCGGTCAACTGAGAAAACAGGTGCGAGGATCCGATTATTACAAAGTTTCGAAGAGGGGGGGGGTTTGAATCGAACTGAGAAAAGAATCAGAGCGGAGAGAGAGATGCGAACAAAAGAAGTCGTGAGGATTATTCAACAGACATCCAGCAGACCTAGAACAGATCGCCTTCGTCTTCTTACATGGAAAGGTCGAACATGACGGCGGCTCTGTTCGTTGAGGGGGGAAAAAGAGAAGGGGAAACCAAAAAGGCCAGACCTGCAGGGTGGGAGGCGATTTAGTTTTGAATAAACTGGAAACCCAGCTTCGATGAGGAACAAGCAGAACGCAACCACCCAGATTGAACCGATGCGAATGGACGAGGTAGTGTACACTGCGAAAGTATTGTGTGGAAATGTACGAAGTACGAAGTACACAATGGCTGGGTGGACACTGTATGTGTACCTGATGCCCACCAGGATGAGCTGCAGCGAAGGCAGGATTGATCCCCAAGGTCACTTCGAGCACCGCCAATCAAGGGAAGATGCAGCCAGTAACAAGGTCGAAGGTGTCGCTCGTTACCTCATCAAACGTGGGAACGTGTCGGCAACGCCTGTAATTTTGGTTACCACTTTGCTGAGAAACCTAAGAAGAAGCACGCACCAGTGTACCACTCTCTTCTTCCAAACTTTTGCATCATCAAGGATGGATGTAGAATAGTACAGTACAATTAGTGTTGGAGCAATTATTACGCTAACTCCTCAATCAATCTGGTCCCCTCCCCCAAAAGAGTCTCGATCCATCCTGCTTCCCCCAGCTTGAACACTCTTTCTGCGCAAGCTGCATCGTTGATTGGCTGCACATCCTCGGATCTGCCACTGGCGCGTCGTGGTTTTCCCCTCCCCTGCCACCCCTGTCGGCACCACGAAATGCAAGAATCGTCACTGCAAAGGAGAATGAGAAGGCGAGACTCAGTACATGACAGTCGGGTACATCCAGGTATATTGGTACTTTCCGTCCATTGTCCATGCCGTTTCCCGTCGAGTTTACAGGCAACCTGTCCCATCAAACACACCCTTGACAATTCGTTTGGCTAGACAACAGGCTATGTCCACACTGATTTGGGCATCGACTATTTTGAAAGTACGCCGAGTACTCCGGAGTGGAGTACCTTTTAATCCCAAGGTACGCGAACCCCCCGACTGGCTGGCTGAGCAGAGAGGGAAAAACGACTAAGATTACCTGTGTACTTCGTAGAGCACTTATTACCCATGAAATTTCCCTTGTCATCAGGTAATCCTGTAGTCATCATGTGGATGGTACACGAGTACCAAGACTAATAACGACCACGTTTAATCGCCTTATCTCTTTCTCCACCCGATCTAGAGCAGGGACAGCCAGTGATGGCATTTTAGGCAGGAAGACATATTGCCCAGTCAATCGGAATTCTCGTGCAACGGAAGGGAAGACAAGGGATGGAGAGAGAGGCAGTGGCAACGAGTGGCTTACACACAACGCCGATTACAAGTAAATGGAAAATGAAGGAGGGGGGACCGAGAATTTTTCTTTTCAATCTGGCAACCATGATGACTCTTCTCGAGTGGACAAATGAACGTGATGATGATCCCAGCTTGGGCCAAATCAATCAATACCTTCATTTCGGAAATGGTAGGTTGAACAGGTGGTCAGTCTCCACACGACACGACGCGACATGAGTGGAAGTGGCCTGTCGCAATATTTGCTGTCTGCTGTTTGGGTGGTCGAAGCACTGGTCGCATCTCGCCACCTGGCCACACCTCCCGGAATCCGCCAAATGACAACGAAGTAAGCCGAGTAATCAGATGCGCCCAGGTGTTCAAGGTGCTCATGCCAGAGTACCCGACCCAGCAAAGCAAAATCTCGCCATCTGTCAATACGACAGGTTGAGGTCTCCATTTGCTTTTGAAAAAGCCCAGAAATTTGGGCGAGACAATTCTTCTTCTTTTGGTCTTTTGTCCAACGAGAAAAGACTGAATAAACTCGCCGTAGCATCGAAGAAGGCACTGTTGCTGCACGACTTCGCAGTTTCCTTTTTAGATTAGTTCTTACAAGTAAAAGCGCTAAACCTGGTCAATCTTGGAGGACAGGCAAAACCTCCGATCCTCCCGAGCTCGCCAACCAGTCGGATTCCCACATAGTCATCGTAAAATCAACGTCTTGAGCTTTGTAATTTGCTGGGTACGAGGCGCCGCTTGATTCTTCAGCACCCCTCATTTCACTTGGCGCCCCAAAAAAGCATCTCCTGACGTTCTCTTGTCAACTGCGCTTGTGAACAAAGCTTCTTGACGAAAAGGATATGAAGCGACCTTGTAAAACACCTTCTGTTTGGTAGCTCCGGCTTCCGAGCCCGCCCAGCCAGAGATCTTCTCATCGAAGGGAGACGCACTGCCCCCCTCTTCGAGATCTCAACACCCCTCGGCGCACGAAATGGGGATGAGCCTCCAGGAGTTCAGAGTGACCTTTCGGATTCCACATTCCACTCACTTCGTAGAGACTCCGCCGCCCTCTCCAGAGAGCACTTTACTTGCAAACTCCCGCGCCACGTCGCAGAAACACGCTTGCTGGAGGTCCGCCGTTTCCTGTCTTCGGTGTCTTAACCCTCAACCACCCAACTTTTACCTTTTGTACAGCCGCCGCAAAACGAAAGTGGGCTGCAGGGACATCCCACTTCGTAAAAAAAAAGATTGTTTTGAGACTGGAGTGTGAGGATGTACTTTGTACCGAAAGTTCTCCCTCTGCACCTCAGCAGAGCCCCTCCTTTAGACCATGCCCCTTTTTACTCAGGTTTCACATCGAGCAACTCCGGTGCGGGTGCACAGCCTTGCCGGCGAAGCTTTTTGCTTAGGCCGGGCCACACATTGCGACTCGCAATCAAGCAAGCTTGCGTCTTCCCGGGCGGCTGGGGCACACAAGAGCACACTCGAGACGTTAGACTTCGACGCTAATATCCCTGCCTCCTTTCTCTGTCGGGACGACGATAATAATAGTAATAGCCCTTGCTTTGTTCAAGCTTCGCGTCTCGTAAGATCTAGTCTATAACGAAGGATGGCTTACGCCGAGAACTGTCGTAGTCAGCCGGGCTTGTGGACGAAGTGAACCAACTTCACAATGGCAAACCGTTA